CCAAGAGCAACGTCACAGTTGACCAAGAGCAAAAAAGGTCTCAAGGTAGTCAAAGTTAGTCGTATATCAAGTTACTCATGTAGTCAGGGGAAGGAGGCCCAATTTTGGGCCGAATAACGCAAAATTGGGTAGAGCTTAGCAAAGGGTGGTTTCTGGGACAAAAATGACCGCTGAACCCGAATCTGACCGGTGCGCACCTCTAACTAATGTTGCACCACTTCCAGAGCACGTGCAACTGCGTGGTTCTTCTTTTTTGAAGAATGGTACCCTTTTTATATATTTTAAAATAAAATTAGTCGTGTAGTTGTGTTGTATTCCAAAACTTTAATATTATAGTCAAAATTTATTGCATAAATGAAAATCCTAGTTAACGCATATCGCAGACAATCTATGACGTCACTGTGACGTCATTTATTCGTGAAATGACGAGAAAATGAGGTGTGACAACAAAACATTTAACTTTATTCACAGGATACGCTCATTGGCGGGTTCAAAATGCATTGAGCATGCTCAGAAAATATCTCCCCGTTGCAAAAAGTAAAAATCGTCTGGATGGAGGTGCCATTTTGGCCTACAGGGGGCGAAATCCGCGGAGTGTGCGTCTTTACCCCAAATAGTTTTTGTGCAATAACTTTTGATACAATGCTTGCATGTCGTCCATTTTACCATCGTTGTGATTCTCTCACCGAGACGCATCGAATGGTATGCAAATTGGCTTCGATTGGTTAAGATTATATTTTACCGCAGTTCATGAGCTCAGGTCGATTATCACGCTAGTGAAGGTTATGACCTGACTGGAAATGGTCATGTAGTTTACCAACCTCTTTGGATTAACAAGATAATCGCATGAAAAATGCTTTCATTGTTCTTATGTGGTTTGATCAAAAGCTATAGCTGAAAATTGCTGATGACGTTTTCAGGACGTCACATGACAAAATTCAAAGGTAGGTATAGAAGTCGTTCATATATGTATTGGCGCTGCAAAGCATTCGTAGGGCATACAGTATGCTTGCGAGATTTTAGAATTAGATGTGTGCTTAACAGGTGTAGTTTTAGTTTATTACGTTGGCATACGTACCTAATAAGGTGGGCGTAAATTTCGTCACAGAGAGTTTCACATTTGTTATGTCCCAAGTTCTTATCAATGTCTTATGGTTATTCATGTTCTTAGACGTCACATACCCGAGCATTGAAGAACACGTAAAAACTAACCGGAGAGAATTTAATTCTGGTTGGTTGTATTTATCTCTTCTCGTAAACACACACACACGCACAGGCGAACACACATAATGCAGCACGGCTACTCTCAGGAGGCGTTCGGCTGCCGGCCGCCGGCACGGTGACTGTGCACCCTGGGCGGTGGCCTTAGCCCAGGACGTCTGCCTCGTCCATCCAGCGGACGCGTCTCGTCGTAATGATACAATATGTCCCGTCCCATTCTGTACAGTACACGGCATACGCACATAGGTAGTATCACGAGTGCTTGGCACTGCCGTTAAGTTGTATGACGCCAACCAGCCGGTACGTGAAGTCGCCGGCCAGGTCGACGGAGCAGAGCGACTGGTCGTTCTCGACGCAGGACTCGGATAGATGCACCTGTTCCGATGCGTCAGCCTGCTCTCCCTTCTTCTTCCGCGCACTGCCGACCGTGCCCTAGGGCGCGGCAGACCGGGGCTGGTCCACAGGTGGCGTGGTTCGCCCCACTCGGTCGAGGAACTCCGTGACGCATTTAGCCGGCCCCGAGAGCACATCCTAGAGGGTGGGGAGCGGCCCCCAGAGCCGGATTCGCGTTCTTGCGCGGCCGGGCACTCGCATAGCAGGTGTGCGACCGTGTCCTCTTCGCCGCACTGTCCGCAGAGAGGGCTGGTGGCCAGGCCAATCCTGAAGAGTGTGGCCCGGACCAGGGGTGAGCAGCCGCTGCGGATCTGCGAGACAGTGGTCTGTCCCCATCGGTCGAGGTCGTCGTGGCCAGGGGTGTTCTCCAGATGTGGGTGGTGCTTGGAGCGATCGAGGGTGAGCAGGCCGGTTCAGTGTCTGAGGGCGATGCGCGCACAGGCCAGGTCAACTGGGATCCGACGCTGGTCGCCTGGTGTCGCCGCGATGTTTTCTAGGCGGTCCGCTTCTTCATTATCCTCGACCCTCGCGTGGCCCGGGATCCACTGGAGACTAATAGCTCTGCCCCTGGCCGCGACAGAGTGCAGGAGAGCCCAGATGCCCTGTGTCAGGGCCGATTCGTGCGCTGCCGGGCCTCGGCTGAGCAGTTGGAGGCCGGACAGGGAGTCCGAGCAGAGCAGGACAGACCGAATGGCAGCGAGGGATGACTCTGGCAGTCCCAGGAAACATTTTAACGCCTCCGTCATCGCCGCCAGCTCCGCCTGCATGCTGCTGCATACGACTTCTGCCGCCTGCCGGTACGGTACATTCGATCTTGCGCCCCTCACGGTGCAGTTCGAGGAGGGCTCATCCGCCGCCTTTCTTGGTACCGTCTAGGGCAGAGCCATCAGACCAGAGTGAGGTCTGGATTTGGGTAAGCGGCCAGGGCCTCCAGGGTTGCAGCCTTCCGTAATTCTGGTGGGTCAGTCCTCTTGGTAGGTTTCGGAAGCTTCAAGCCGAAGTGGACGTTGGTGTGGTACTGCTTCCACGGCGGTTCTCCCTGGTGCAGTATTAGTGGGCCTACGGGCACTCGAACCAGCCCAGCTTCCTCGCACACCCACTTCCCCACTCGTCGGAAACAGGGTCGATGCTGGAGGCCAGCAACGTCCTCATCTGGCGGCGACGACGCCGGCACTCCCACCTCCTGGGCTTCCTGTTTATTCCGCATCCAATGGAGGTGGGCTCTGTATTACAGTCTAGGTGGCGGTGTCTTATCAATGAGCTTCCGAGCGGGATCGTCCGGAGGGAGTCGCGTCAGGCGTCCATACTCCCGGCCTGCCAGCTCCTTGGCCCGTACTGCCAGCTCCGGCTCTCCCTTCTCCAGCAGCTGCATGTTGGTATTATTCAATCTCTTTTGGACTCAGACGGGCGAGTCGGGAGAGCTCCATATTCAGCTCGTCCTGCCCGTCATCATCAATATGCAGCTTTGTCTAAAACGGTTCCATGTGTGCACCAAGAGCATCTGATAGTGTCGAGCCGCATGCATGCTGAAGGTGTCACCAAGCTTCAACTTTATAGGGCAATCACGAATCCATGCTCGTTTGATACAAATGAATTTTCACTTGCAATGTACTCCCAAGAAAATGCACTTCACACAAAACAGGTTTACGAGGAGGCATTCAGTTGTCAGATCATTTTTGTAGGCACTGTTTTGTTCCTGCATCGTCTATCGCGTGGTCTCGCTTCGATCTTAGATTGTTTTCCTCAATTATCCAAGATTACAAAGGTGTTTTTTGCCCTTTTTGATAAACCACAGCTGTTTATTTTCTTTCTCAGTCTTCATGACAGGCTCAATTCTGGATCATTTTTTATCGCTTGCCAAACGCGCGTAACGACTTGACTTTCCGTTATTCATAGGAATGGATATTTACTTGAAATAAATAAATAAATATACAATTTGAACTATAAATAAGACCAAAGGAACGATATTTAGTCAATTCAACGCTAACAGCATTTTGATTTAAATGCCGTCGAAGCGCCAGAACACGGTAAAAATGATAAAAAGATATCCTGTTTCACGTGATTTATCAATCTGCTGTACTACTTCATCCAGTTTGACCAAATCTGTCAGGTGGTGCATTGGACTGTCACGTTCTCAACGTGACTCACATGTACCTCTGCAAAAACGATTTTAGCATGGTCCGACTCAGAAATGTTCATAGATCATGTTTGATTATTTTCCCTTCTCTGATTCGCATACGACGGGAATAAAGTTAAATGCTTTAAGGACAAGACAACTTTTTCAACTCATTTATAGGTAAATGACGTCACGGTGACATCATCGGCTGCCCGAACATTGCAAAACTTCAGCTTTCAATTGCGCCACGTGTTTTTAGCACAGGGACAAAATCTCAAAACAATATCTCAAATATCAACGACGTTACACTGCAATTCATTAAAAAGGTACCATTCTCCAAAAAAAGATGAACCACGCAGTTGCACGTGCTCTGGAAGTGGTGCATCATTAGTTAGAGGTGCGCACCGGTCAGATTCGGGTTCAGCGGTCATTTTTGTCCCAGAAACCACCCTTTGCTAAGCTCTACCCAATTTTGCGTTATTCGGCCCAAAATTGGGCCTCCTTCCCCTGACTAATGGTATATTAGGCAATTCCGACGCGTTTTAGTGTAAAAATAAGGGAGCTGATTTTTCCCCCAATTGACTTAGAATGGGGTGGTCAAGAAATTGACCTGATCTTAGGTCATCGGTATTGAAATTCAAAACAAACTGGCGCTAGGCGAAAGCAAACACAGTGGTGCCTGTTCCACGTCTCTTTCTTTATTAGATCAAACGGTACAGACAAAACTATTTTGACTTCCTTTTTACCCCTGTGACGTCATCTTTGACCTGACCTGAAAATGACCTCCGTAAAAATTGTAGATCTTATCCGTGTGAGTCCTGTACCGTTTACCGCTTGTCGCTATCTTGCTTTATTCTCGAGATCTCGCGTCTCTCCCGCTCGTAATAATGGACAGGTCATAAAAATGACCTGACCTGAGGTCAACGCAGGACGATAGCCACTTTTTTTATTTGCGCATATGAATGACAATTGATAAGGCTTTAATCGTCATCAGACATAATTGCGACTTTCAGGTGGGAAAATATCAAGGTCACTCTTCGAAAAAAAGGTCAAGATGTCACGTGATCAAAATTTTCAAAAATCGAAAATCCGAGATAGCCAAAACGTTTGTTGGTTGATTGCGAGTTAAACCATATAAAGTTTTTACCATAGAAAACCAATAGTTTCTGAGTTATAAGCCGCCAAACATAGGGTTGCAGCGTGACCTCCAGGAATTGCCTGAGGCTATATCTCGGAAACCGTTGTTCGGAGAAAAAAATCCTTGGCACAGCTGGCTTCCCCGCCCATCACAACCCATTAGACCAATTTTAAGCGAAAAATAAAATATGAGAGTGTACGGCTTTGGTTGATCTATCGTGGAATGCCCCCGCTGGTACTACAAAGCTACAGCCTACAGCGAAGAGAATGGATGCCCGCTGTGCTGAAGCGCCCGTTGAGAGCCTGGCCTTGAGCGCGGCTGAACGGTCCGCGGCAGAGGGCGGTGTGGGTCGGACCGCCAGTGTGCTCTGTGCAGCGAGAGTGTCCGGGCGCCGCACAGGTGACGTTCTCAGGGGTGCGGAGTGCTGACACAACCCAGCTGCCGGCTCGGCGGGCCGGCTGCCAGGTCAGTGCACGCGCGGTATGCGGTTCTAGAGGTCAGGCGTGCACTGTCACTGTGTGTGCGTGTGTGTATGTGTGTGTCCACCGTGCGTGCCCAAAGGACTCTCTGTCACAATCTCCAGTATAGTGTCAACGAGACTTCGTCACCGTTTCCCGTATTGCCCAATGCCCATGGGACTCTCCGTCACAACTCTTAGACCATCCACCTTCCGATGGCCTAAACGCGGTTACTTGCGTGTGCCATTACATCGAGACGATGTAGTTTGAAAATCAAGCGTCGGCATCGTAAGAAGCGTTAAAGTAGCCGATTTGCCCCACTCTTCCCTACCTATATATAGCCTTAAAGCCTTAAAGCGTTCACCAGTTTTGTCTCTCGGTATGTAAGCTCACCAATGCATTCCATCTGACACCACTGCCCTCACTTCGGGTGCTGCTGGCTGGTCCCACAGGATGGGCTCGGAGAAGGACGCCGATGACCCCCTGCTGAGGCAGATCGGACGCATCGGCAAATGGCAGGCCATCACCTTCGTCGTCCTCGCGCTGTTCGGTGAGCATTCGTCGGCAGAGCTAAATCGCTTCAAACGACCCCACATGCTGTACATAATACATATACCATTGGCGAGTGAAACTCGCACCTGGCATAACACTGCTGCAGCTATATTTCTCCAGCGCGAGTAGAGTAAAACTCGCACCTGACGTAACATTGCCGCGGCCCTCCTGTAATCAAGTGTCTGATCAGTGATCAGTGATCGCAAATGCTGGGCCAATCAAAAATAAATTGTGAATGTACTCGTATGTTCCCTCCGACTTATGCATGGATTTTTGTAGTAGAGAAGTTATGTGCTAAAGGAATTTCGTTAGCACAAAATACCAGACGACATAAAAGAGCAGGGACGTGAGAGGGATCGACGGAAGTCCATGCTCCGGGACCGTCGCGACCTGACGCCTGCGCCGCCACTGCCGCAGCCGCGCCGGTCGCCTGGCAGATGCTGGTGGTGGTGTTTCAGTCGCCGTCCGGGGTCGATCACTGGTGCAAACGACCGGCCGCCTTCGCCAACTGGAGCGTCGAACAGTGGCGCAACTACAGTACGCCGTACACGACTGATCAGGTGGGCGCAGGGCCGACGGCGTGATGGGCCAGTGACGCACATACCAGGAGGGGTGATATAAAACACGTGACACCTACTGGCTGTGTCTGATATGGCACATCCGAAACAATGCGTAACATGATCGGTGTAACATGGATAAGTTTTCGTCTGTACGATAATAGCATAATATGACCTTTCCCATTGCGAATTGACCACGGGCAGGCGACCGAGTTCCCTGCCTATTTCTCGACCTTCTGGTCTACGCGAGTCGCTGTTTCAAACACTTCCACTTCGGACGTCGCCACTGCAGTGAGCAGCTGTTGCTCGGCTGCCATTTTCGAGTCACTGTTTTCTGAGCTGCGTGAGCGGTGCTGTTATGACGTGTGATACGATTAATGATGTGTAGCAGATCGGGGCTCACCGGCCGGCTCTGCGTGCAGGCCGGCGCGCTCCACTGGGACCGATGTCACGTGTACGCGCTCGACTACAGCACGGCGCCGCAGGAGCCGGTCCGGCCGCCCAACGGCACCGAGACGGCGCCCTGCCCGCGGCTGTACCGCGTGCACGGCCGCTGGGAGTTCGACCACTCGTTCTACCAGTGGACCATCCAGGAGCACGTCAGTCGATCACAACTGCTGCCGTATAGGCAGAGACATCACATCACTATTAAGACGCCAGAGGAAATAATTTTCTAGCTACCAAGAAGTGTTCTTTGTGTCAATGCCAGAGTAGGTTTAGGCATGTGAACTTTAAACAGCCATTGTGGCTTGCATATTATCCAGCATCTTGATCTTATTAATCTAGTGACAAGTGAATAAGTGACTTTATTCAGTGACTACTAATTCAGTCACGAGGCAGCTTTGTAACGCTTAACATGCCGCCCTTTATCCGGACGGCACTTTGTCTGCAGTTTGGTCTGGTCTGCGAGTATGAGTACCTGCTAGCGCCCATCAAGTCCTCCTACATGGTGGGTGTCATGCTGGGGGCCCTGCTCGGCGGCATGGCCTCAGACAGGTGAGACAGAGGCAGAGAAAGAGGCGTTCAGGGTGTTCCAAAAAAGTGAGCCCCCTAACTACTATTGCTTATATCTCCAAAACCATATATCCTACAATGGTTAGAGACCATTTGTTGGAAAGAACGGCCAATTTCCGTACTAATAGGCTACCTAGTGTGGCTCTGAATGAATACGTATGACACCGAGAACGACCAGAATAAAATGTGTTACGAGATCGGGTGAAACACGGCGGCGGCGGTAACCGTGCATTGTAAACGTGTATTACTGACGGCAACGCACGACATTTGAACGCACATGCATCTCTTAAGTAGGCTCTGGACAGGCTGTTCACCCCTCAATATACCCTGGTTCACCCATTCAGTCTTCAATTTTTATAATGAAAATCCACGTGCGAACGGTGAATAAACGCAGGTAAACTGAAATGTGCAGTCAGATGTGAAGAAATGTCGACCATATGCGATACTGCTAAATGTTTCACCAAAAATTTGGTATTGAATTGTACTTTTCACAATGCTGGCCGTGTTGTGCGAAATATGTAACGGAATTGCGGCCTATCGGGATGGAATTTGATTGTTCTTTCTAATGAGCGGCTTTCCAAAGCTGTAGGATGCACGGCTGCAGAGATACAGTCGATCTAAATTGAAGGGCTCACTTTTTTGGAACACCCTGTACAAGCCCAATCGAAGCGTAGAATTTTTACGGCGCCGCAGTGGGGATGTTAATTTAGATATCTAGTGTGTAAGTATTTAGTGGTTCATTTAGTTATTTAGGTACCGCATGCGCATGAATCAGTACAACCGCAGTCCGAACGGAACATTCAGTTGTGTTGGACCGCACTTCGGCCAGTCGAACCGTAAACCGCTCACCGTCTGACCGCACTCCGGCCTATATCCGACCGAAGTGCGGCCTATGTACCGCAGCCCGATCGAACTCTGACCGCAGTCCAGCCCATGTACCGCAGTCCGGCCTATGTACCGCAGTCCGATCGAACTCTGACCGCAGTGACCATGCGCCGCAGTCCGGCCTATGTACCGCAGTCCGGCCTATGTACCGCAGTCCTATCGAGCTCCAACCGCAGTCCGGCCTATGTACCGCAGTCCAGCCTATGTACGGCAGCCCGATCGAGCTCCGACCGTCCCAGCCGGCCGACACCTGACGGCAGCCCGGTGTGCCCGGCAGGTTCGGCCGCCGCCCGGTCATCCTGGCGCTGCTGGGCACCCTGCTGCCCCTCTCCCTGCTGGTGGCTCTCTCTCAGACGGTGATGGTATTCATCGTGCTCAGGTTCCTGGTGGCCATGGCCGTGGTGGCCGAGTACACCGCCATCTTCGTCTACTGTAAGTTCGTCCCGAGAATACTAATGAGTACGAATGTAGGGGAGAGTGGGGCAAAGCGGCCACCCGGGGCAAAGCGGCCACCCATCGTTTTAGCCCTTCATAGCTGGCGTCAGTTCCAATTTAGGGTTTCCAATTATACTTCTCTTCACGGTCGTTTGAATGAGCCAGACCGGGGTTTCAGGCCCATCACCATTGTTCTGTGAAACACGGAAAAGCATTTCTTGCCAGGTTACCAACTATGTTTACAATTTTTAAATATTGTGTTATTCCATAACCGTTTGGAATTTTTATAAGCGTTCTTGTCCATGCATTGCGTGGTTATCGTACATGTATTCTACCAATTTTAATGTTTTTTTACCCCACTAATAGCTAAGCTGGAATATTTTTTTTTTCTTGGACGGTATGCGCGGGGCAAAGTGGCCGGGGCAAAGTGGCCACCCCCCAATTGGCCATAAGTTGCTTCCATCCGGATAAAAAATTATTTAAATTCAAATGTGTCGTCATGCATTCAGCTTGGCCACTTTTCAGTTGCATGAGTTACCAAATAATGCAATTAAATGTTTATTTTCATGAAAATCCTTTCTTTGTTTACCTACAGGTGGAAGATGATAAAGTAAACATCTATCCTCGCTTAACCTTGTCACCATCAAATACCCTAGTCGTACACGAGGCAACTATTTTGTTTCTCATATCGGGACTTGAGAAGACGCCGGTGGCCGCTTTGCCCCAGGGTATGGGGCAAAGTGGCCAATATGCATAGGTTTAAAGTTTTGTCAATATCTTTCATATGTGAACGCCTTTGGAAATAAAACGCAGTTGAAATAAAAGGCAACTTAATAGGGATCACATTGGTATAGAAAGAAACTTTCCAAGTTTAAAAATCAAGCGTTGGCATCGTGAGAAGCGTTAGGGTGGCCGCTTTGCCCCACTCTCCCCTACATACCTTACAACCTTCGGGCTGCGCCCCGATGAAGCGAATGGTCAGTAGTGGTCAATATAACCAGCTCACTTTACGTACAAATCGTCAGGCCGATTGTGTACGATCCTGTCGTGCTTTCAGTACGGCGGCACTTTGAGTATGACGACGTTCTGGTTGTGGTATGGCTGAATATAGCATGACGTAGTGAGTGTGGTATGGCGCTGTATCTGGCGCTCCTGGGTCCGATATTATGGACGTCCCTGTGGGTGTGTTATGCAGCAGTAATGCGGCTCTCCGGCAGGTATGGAGATGGTCAGCGGTCGCTGGAGGATCATTCTAGGCATGCTGATCCAGCTGCCGTTCTCGTTCGGCTTTATGAGCCTGGCCGGGATCGGGTACGCGCTGACAGACTGGCAGCATCTGCAGGTGGCCATTAGCGCACCCATCGTCGTCTTCTTCTTCTACTACTGGTGAGAGAAAACTCTGCACACTTATTTTACCTTCCCGATATTCGGTTATGTTCTGATTCATCGGAGGCAAGGCCGTGATCATTGATCAGCTATGCACTGTCTCACTTTGCCAGCCTGCCAGGTTTCTGGTGAATAGGTACGAAAAAAATCAACGGAAACGATCTCCCGGTACGGACTGTGTGGATGAAACCAGCACGACTAAACATTTGTCCTCCACGATAAAGTGTATCATGATATAAGCTACCAAATCCAAACGACAGCCGACTCAACAATGTCAATAATGTCGCTCCGTGGCCAATAACTGAACGGCGCTATGAAGCAGAAATGGGAGAGGCGATTTGGCCGGGCTGCGAGCCGGTTCCCGGCGCTCCTCTGGCCTCGGGTGCTCCATCCGTCGCCTCCCGGTACTAATCCGCGGCAGCTCAATGTCACCCCTAATCCTCTCCACCCGCCGGCTGGACGGACCGACCGACCATCGGCCGTACTGGGAGGCCTCAGCGACCGACCGACCGACCGACCGGACGGACGGACAGACCGACCGATCCGGACCGACCATCAGCCGTACTGGGAGGCCTCAGCGACCGACCGACCGACCGACCGACCGACCGACCGACCGACCGACCGACCGGCGGACGGACGGACGGACCGACCGACCGACCGAACGACCGTGCGACCGAGCGACCGACCGACTCGGACCGACCATCGGCCGTACCGGGAGGCCGCACCGACCACAGCCGTGAATAGCGGCGCGCTTCCCTGCCTCACTATCCAGCGATCGTCGATCGGATAGGTAACCGTTTGCCCACAGTCGCCATACCCATATCATCGCTATTGCTTATTAGTTAGAAGTTTGAAAGTCTATTGGGTAGGATACAGGGTAGTACGATGCGTTAGGCGTGAATCTGGGTCCTAGCCGTGTCATTGCATGGTGCCAAAAAGCAGCAATATGCAGGGACATGCCTCACGCTGAATGGCATGTGGTCTATTTTAGACGGACGTTCTTTCCGACGACGCCCGACCGCCTTTCAAACCCACTCGTGATAGCCTTCGTGCCTTATCATATTGATGCCAAGAAGTGTTTGTGATTCCGTGCCGAGTTCGTGCGTTCCTGTGTGCGTGTGCCGTGTGTTGACCCGATCGGAATCCCATCAGGGCGGTACCCGAGTCGCCCCGGTGGCCGCTGAGGACCTGTCTCTCGCCGCTTTGTGCTCGTGAGTCCGTGCCGCGCCGTGTGTGCGTATCGTGTGTTGACGTGGCCGCACGGACTCCCACCCACAGGGCGGTGCCCGAGTCTCCCCGGTGGTTGCTGGCGGCCGGGAAGGTGGATAGGGCGACGGCGCTCATCGAGTCCATAGCCGAGATCAACGGCAGAGAGTTCGACCCCGACATTCAGCTGGTGCCACCGGTGAGTCGCCACGGCAGTGGACCTCGAGAGCGATAACATAGAATATTTTCACTCTCCAACAATTTCGTATGCCCTTATTACACAAATGATGAGTTTATAATATGAAGGTGCGCAATCAGTCACTGTTACGCAATATCCCCCGATTGACATTTACAAATACATAAGCACCTGACATAATTGCGTTGGAATACGGTGCGATCTACGATAATTATTCATACATACGGTTATGTATGCGATTATTACCGGTTATTGTTTATACTGAGGGGCTAAGCGGTGCGCCAGTCGATGCACCATGGTTTGACACCAGTTCACGTCTCGCCGATCGGCCATCGTCTCTCGGTTCGGCACGTTCCCTGACCGGCGGCCCGTTCCGCCTGTTCCCCGCCCGCCGCCACTCAGCACGAGGGACGGCGGCACGTCAGCGTCATAGAGCTGCTCCGCTCGCCATCCGTCCGCTACCGCACGCTCAACCTGTGGTTCAACTGGACGGCCAACGTGCTCGTCTACTACGGGCTCATCTTCTCGTTTGCGGACGTGGGCGACGACATCTACCTGAGCACGGTGCTGGGTGGTCTGGTGGAGGTGCCCGCCTACCTGATCGGTATCGGCGTGTGCCTGCTGCTCGGCCGGCGACTGCCCATCGCCGGCACCATGCTGCTGGCCGGCGGATGCCTGCTGGCCACCATCGCCGTGCCCAGAGGTGGGTCTGAGGGACCAAAATCACCGTACCCAGAGGTGGGTCTGAGGGGCCAAAATCACCGTACCAGGAGGTGGGTCTGAGGCGCCGCCATCGCCGTAGGTCAGGCCCTGCATGGGGAAGACGTGCTTCTTTTGAGCCATTTCTTTGCGTCGTTTGCATGGTGGAAATTAACAAAGCCGTGCGTTTTGTTGTTTTCTTTTTTTTATTTCAGCTTCGTGTGGTCCCGTGCTTGACGATTTTTTCCACTTCCACGGATACTGCCCCAGTTAGTTCTTGTTTCACGCAATTTCTGCTTTGTCTGGCCATGAGATTTCCAGTTTTCAAGCGGGATTTGACGAGTATTGCCTTCTGCCTGCCCGCCAAGGAACTTGCGTACCTACCTATCCCCTGGCAACTACACCTCGTTGGGAGGTAATTGCAGTCAGCCCGTCCCGGCTGGACGCCGCTGACTCAGGAACTCAGTAATCTTCTGGAGGGCGACACGAGCTCTCGGTTCTGGTTTTTACTGACACAGGAAGGGAAGGGCCGAGGGGAAGAAAAACAGGTGTCTGCCGACTGTGTCACTGGATGACAACACGTCGGCTGCCGGGTACGCGGAGAGTACTGACATCGACATGGGCGCGTTGACATGGGAGTGTTGATTACTGCCATAGACGTAGCGGCCTTCGCTAAATCACCATGACCTACAAATCACCATCGGTGTACACTTCCCCGTGACGGAAGATGTCTGCGCTAATGTAGGTACCTTTAAGGGACGACGAGCATGTCTTATCCCGTGAGCCAATGTCAGCATTTTGTCCCCACTCCCGCTGCGACATCTGCAAGGATGCGGTTTTACCTGCAGTCGCAAGCTTTAATCCATCAGAAATAGCTGCACTACAAGGCCGTATCTTCTCAGTAACATTCCTCTAGCTATTCGATCAGCAGATTCTAGCTGTCGTCCGGCATAGAACTAAAGATCTTGAAATTGATCGCCCAGTCACATACTTTTGGTATTTCTTTTAGTTTGCAGACTCCGAGCTCTAACAATAGACCGAGCTTACTGTGTGCCTGTCCAAAACAGCTCTGCTGCTTGCGGGCGCACGTACAGAAAAATCCGGCCGATTGTTACGGCTATTCTTACACGGTGCACAGTACGCACACGTTGGTGGTCTCGACCGACTAGGTGACGAGTCACCCTCTTCTGACGGAGCAGCAATAGTACCTAACTCTGCTCATCAGATGGGGAACGCTGTGACCTTGGAGACACCTGCATTAACTCATTCGCAGAACTTCAGGATGCCTGACGACCCTGCACAGTGTACACCCGGTAACCAAATTGTGAATCGTGCTAATTGTGCTAATCAGATGACAGGCTCGACCATCTATGGGCTGTGTACTCAGTGTAGTGTGTACAGGGACCCGCAGTTGCTACTGTACACATATATTACCAATTTAGAATTGCGCTATTATTTGCTAAGTGCTGGCCATTGGAGAAAGGAAATGTAGTGCAAAGTATGGAGGAATAACACATGTTTGCTCCTAGGACGTATGTTTTGTATAATTCCTCTTACCGCAACAAATATTCTTCCAAAACTACAATCGTGCTATTTTTCCGCGCCGGTTGCCTCCCCAGAGCCCGTCCTTGGTATCGCCTATAGCTTCCGTTCACGCTACGTGAATGAAAGTCACGTGACTACTACAGGTTTGCGCTCAGTACTAACACTCCTAGCCCGAGGGCCGGTCCGTAGCGGGGAGGGGTAGAACGCCAGACCTCCAGCGTAGTGGAGGTGGTGGTGGCCCGTATCATAAAGAGGCAACCGTAAGCAGAACTACAATTGCCGCAGTATAAGATTATGATCAAGTTTTCTTTAGATGTATTGATTGACAAGAAAGTGCAATGTTTATCCGATATAATAAAACGGTGTCCAAGGCCTTGGAAGAACTATAAAACATATTCAGCAACGTATAAATTTCTGATACAGGCCATGACCTTTCACCTTGCCTCCGGGGAGGACCGCTCAGGAAGCCACATACCGAACGAATCGAGGCCTCGCAGCGCGGCGGCAGAGGAGGTGGATAAACCATCGCCAGATCTTTCGGTTACTTATGTTTCCAGAAGACGGAGGGGGGGGGGGGTGGAGGGTGAGGGCTGTTTTCAACCCACTCACCAATCCTTTCCTTATTAACTTATAGCTTACCGAACAATGCAGCACAATGGTGGCCGTCACGAGATGTAGCGAAGAGTGCCTCAGCCACACCGGTTTTGAGTAAACTTTAAGCATTGGAATTCAGGCCAGTGATACTGAAGCATTATTTTATTTTTGTCGTGCATAAGCTGGGATGACGTGGTTCAAGTTAATTGCGAAGAAACGGTTTTAGTTTCAGAACATTTATGAGGCTAGTCGCGCCAAATAGTATACGTTTGTTGCAAAATGTCAAATAGAATGTTAAGACGTGCTATCCAGATGATGGAATTTATTTGACACAAGAAGTCAAAAAGTGGCATCGTTAGTCATCCTGCATACCTATAAATCGATTCGTCACCTTGGTTCGAGCTCAATAGTTCTTTTCGCGGATGATTGGTTTCGTTTTCTTTCTTTCTTTTTTTTTTTTGGGGGGGGGGACAGATTATGAGCCAGTAACCACCCTCCCCAGTCCCCCAAACAACAATTGTTGACAAATACTGTGATGGCCTAAAAAATGCCCTCAATTGTGTTACGTAGTGGAAACTGAGGTAAGTTGAGCCGCTTTTTGTTTTTCGTAAGCTACAGGCTAACTGACTGATCATTTTTCTGCGTTTACGGGTTGGACGGACAGAGTGGTGATTTGCGCATGTAATGGTGGCCAGAAATGTTTCATACCGTTTATTTTTGTACTGAAAAGGCTACGTCAAAAATCATCTTGCACGTTGCTCATCTTACCCCATGGGCGGGGTAAGTTGAGACACGTCGTGGGGAAAGTTGAGCATGGATAGAAAAAGCGAACCTTTTCTTTTCCCGGGCGCGGCGAAGAGTGGGCTCTTTTATTTACTCCATGGCCGATAGATACTTATGGCAAAGTTTTTTTTCCTCCATCAAAAAGTGAATGTTTTAAGCCTTTCAATAGCTCGTCAAGTTTTCTATTACGGAAGAAATCATTTTTTCCTTCAGATAATCTGAAAATCACAATTACAACTTGTGTAATCAACAAAGAAAAACAATTTCCTACCATTTTTATTCAGCAGAAACAAGCGTAGCTCAGTTTGGTTTTCGACAGCGGAGACAACAATGGCTTATCCGGCTCATCTTCCCCCAGGTGAAAATGGCTCATCTTGCCCCACCCGTGGCCATTTTCGATTAATGACACCCGCTAAGGAAAATAACCATGCACCGCAGATAGCAAACATCTCATTTTAAAGGCAAAACATGTCTTAGTTATCAGGGGCGATACCACATGTTACCGGGTGCTGAGCGTGAGAACGTTGCCGTCTCACGTGAAAGACTGCAGCATCGTAAGCGAACGGCACATGGAAGCTCAAGTCAATTAGCGCCATAGGAGCTGAGGAACATGGGGTGGCTAAACTTGCCCCTTGGCTCATCTTACCTCACTCTCCCCTATTTGGGGCTCTCAACTTTGATTTGTTAAAGTTTTTTGTCTGTTCATTATAAAAGCTGTTAAATTTGCCGTATCATTAAACTTTTATTGAGTTTCTATTTCACACTTATCTAAAATGAACAATTTTGTCACTGGCTTCTTTTATGAATGGAATTGGATGGTCGCACGAATGAACGAATGAATAGCTCCATTTGAGCATCAGCTGAAATCAATCCTAAAATTTAATCTACCAGTCTGCAACGAAAAGGTTTAAAAACCAGTGCAAGTTAGTTGCAGTTTCTAATCTATGCCGTTTTTTATCAAGTGTCTCATAGCTTCTTAATCTTGAGCCGCTTAGTCTTACGATTCATTTTATGTGGTGCTTACATTGTTCAAGAAGTTATAGTATTCGAGCTCGTTGGTCTTAAAAACTGCTATCGAAGTAAATTAAAGTACTTCGGGCTTCGGCACTTAAAAACCAATCGATATTTATCCCACTTAGGCATTTCTTTTCAGCGTCTTACATGTAGCAGAGGGGCGTAGAAACCCTCAGCCATTCGGCCCTTGATAGAAATAGCCAGAGCTTCGCTAAAAAATACAAAAAGAGCGAGCTGCTCGTGACGAGAGAAATCCGATGATTTGAAGGTCCTGGTCATCGCTGACGAGAGAAAGCCAATTATTTTTATGTTCTGTTCAATGCTGAGATCCTAGGTCACTGGTTGGCCTCCCAGATCAGGTTAATAACCCAAAAGCACGGAAAATTGGGTCCTGCTAGAATTTATACAAGTGAACTTTGCTGGGGCTTGGCTTGCTTCTGACTCCGAATTTGCACTTGCTTTGATCAAAGATGATGTATCAAAGCATTTGGGGTAGGACGGGTCACGCCAGATCACCCATTAGGCGTTCTGCCGGCTATCCATAGAATGTTAACAAGCACTTACAGCCTTGCAACATATTGCATAGGCATTATAACTGATACCTAAGTATGCCTAGTTTTCAAATGCTAAAATGAGTGCTAAATTTCAAACCAACACTTCCTAAAAAACACAGTAAAAAGGTGTAAATTTAAGGAAGTTAGCCGAGATTATTTCAAGTAAATGACCTTAACCTGAGTTTCACGTGACCTTGGCACCCACAACAATCAATGAGACAAACATTAGATACCTAGTATATTTCACATGTTGTCACGTTGCTAATCACGAAACGACTATGGAAACACACAGAAGATGTGTGCTGACTTTCAGTTGCTATTCTGGCCTGACATGATGTTCAGAAAAATGATCACAGCCAGGTTAAAGGCAATTTGGTTCATGGATTTAAAATTCTCAGACAAGATGCAAAAATGATAAGGGCTATTTAATTTTCCGGGAAGTTGTAAAATTGATTAACTGCAGGGCACCAAAGAATCGTCGCAATCCTTCGCTTTGCCGCGATTTATTGGTGAAAAACAGGGGGTGCGGTCTACTTACCTCGACTTATATGTGTGGTGAGGGCTAATATTCATTTTATCTGTGTTGATGAATATGCAACAATTTCTAGTTTCTACATGAACTGAGACCAGTCCATATGAGTATGTTTTTCTGACGGACAATGACAATATAAAAACAATAATGCGAATAGAAGCAAACGTTTCGGACAACAACGTGCCTTCGTCAGTGGAGAAAAAATAAGTGTATAGGTTTAAAGGAAAAGGGCCACCTTCGTGAAATATGAAGATATCGTTGTTTTTCATTTTGACATTATTATTTTTCATTTTCTTTTTAATACTGGTGCCAGAAGTGCACAATTCGCGAAAAAGTATTTAAAACTATTTAACATATTGGTACTATGTTGATACTCTCTACGGCACCTACTGTATGATGGCATAGCGATGACGTCACACTCAAGCCAATCAGCGTTCAGAAGACAGACTCGTCGGATTGTGTCAGATAAGCTGATTGGTTAAAGCTGAGCTGGTTGGAGCTGATTGGTAAAAAACCAAAGCCTCGCCGCGGGTGGCTGTATTGTCGGATAAGAACGCATTCCTGGGATAAGGACGCATTCCTAGCGTATTTTCTTTTAAAATTGCCGATAACTACGAATGGAGGCCGAAATCGGCCGTAAGGAGGTAGACAGATAGGTTTTCGGACACGGGCTACAAGATGGCTATCTCAGTTTCAATCCCCATGTTAAAGGTGGCCCTTTTCCTTTAACATCGATGAGAACTATATGCGGCACCGTCTCGGTCTGGCCAGCCGGGTTGCCGATAAAATACACAAATGTTTATAAGCTTCCATGATGTGCTTAAAAAAACTGCTGAAAATATATCTTAAAAAATAAAGATAACTACTTCATCGATTTTATCGAAAGAAAATATGTATGCCTAATTACTTATTTCTTGCAACTGACGGAGGCACTTTTTTGTGCAAAACGTCTGGTTTTATTCGTAATTGTTATTGTATTGTCATTCCCTGTGAGAAAAAAGGATAACTCTTCAGTTAGTAACCATAACAGCGAAACGGCTTAATGTAACACAATTCACTGTGTATACGAAACCTGTAAGTCCCTAAAAATAATTCTATTTACAACTTTTAAAAAGATACAGATTATACAGCTTAGGCATACAATTTTTTCTGCATTAAGATAATATTCATTTATCTCCACAGAATATGGTAAATTAGTGCTGCTGAAGTTCGCTTTCGAAGCGTCTCCTCCAGGCATTCCACAGCTCTCGTGCCATTTTGGATCACGGAACATGGCTGGGCGCAGGACAGGCCGTCTGCGAGCTTGGACGGACCACGTGACCACCTCCTCCCCTCCCCCTCACTCCCGTCCCCTTCCCCAGCAGGGCGTCCGATCTAACCGCGCCCCAGGCAGTCGGCTCGGTCCGACCCTCCCCTGGTCGAGCCACGGCCCGGTGCCGCCTGAGTTTGTGCCGGGTGCAAAACTGGAGCAGTAACTAGCGCCGGAACTAGTAGTCAGCACGACCATCGTCAGATGGCAGGAGTAAATGGAATAAGCGGTTCCAGGTTTCAGAAGGAATGGGGCAAGAAAAAGCGCTGAAAACAATGTTTTGCTGATATAGCCATAAAAAGTTCACTGAATTAGGAGAGCAGCACATCAGTTTAAAGCCCTTCAGATGGTGGTTTTAATAAGCACACAATCATTTCCCAATTCGCTTCCAACGGTGTCACAGGCAAAGAATACGCTGAAATACTAGTGTGTACAGAAGCAACTGCGGGTCCCTGTACCTACCCCTAGTGTGTAACTTTACTTTGTGCTGTGCGACTTTTCTGCATGAACTACGTACGGCCCTCCAGCAAAAGAGTGGTTGTTTAGCCTATGTGCTTTTGGTGTAATAAATTTGAATGACAGAGACACTCCTGTAAAATGACTGAATAGAAATGAGAAGAGGGTTCGTACACACACTTCGGCAATGGTTTTCAACAGCCATTAGACATATTCATCAATGCAAATCGCTTATTGTGATGGTGGCAACCAACCACTAAATACCTGGAGGGCCGTACATATGTATGTGACAACTGACATGTGTCCATTCCATGCTTATCTATGCCTATAGATATACAGTCATGTGTCTAAATCTGTACTCTTGGTGTCGGTGAAATGGTACGGTGTCCCGCTGAGGACGGTATGCCGTATGACGCAGTCGCTGTTATGACCCGCGTGAGTTTCTGACTGCGCGGTAGTTGCTGCATGACCAGTGTGTGTGTCTGTGTGCTGCAGGAGTGTTTGCCAGTGACTAGCCGCTGCTGGGGTCCCTCAAGCGCTGTAAGACCGACCTGTGTCTGTGTGCATCTGTCGCTCAGGGGTGTTTGTCCGTGACTGGCGCCCCTCGGTTGCTGTATGGCCATTGACCAGTGTGTCTGCGTTTGCCGCAGGGGCGTTTGCCCGCGACTGGCCGCTGCTGCTACTGACGCTGATGGCCCGGTTCTGCATCACGACCTCGTTCGGCGTGCTGTACGTGTTCTCGGCGGAGGTGTTCCCCACGGTGCTACGTAACACAGGCGTCAGCTCCAGCTCCACGTGCGGCCGGATCGGCGCCATCGTGGCGCCGTTCGTGGCCGACATGGTTAGTGGACGCCGACACTGACCGGGCACAGACTCGGACAGTGGCGCTGAAAGACGCTGACGGCACCGACACAGACTCGGACAGTGGCGCTGAAAGACACTGACGGCACCGACACAGACTCGGACATACAGCGTCACGGACCCGGGTAGGTACACGACTACATACATAGACTGATGCGCAATCATACCTTCAATTAAACTAACACACCGGCAGTCGGCACTGACAAATATCGACACCAACATCAATGCTGACATACATAGGCAATGAAAAATGACTCAGACACCGACACTGGCACATATCGACAGTGATACAGGACACTGACGAGTGACGAAGACCGTGACATTTAGTTACCGCCCCCGGACCCTGAGGCCTGACAGGTCGGCGGGCCAACTGCGGGAAGCCAGCATCACACCGGCCAAAATGGAATAAGGTAGCACGGCGTCTCAAGCATTACAAATAAATGTGTCAGACCATTTTTCAACCAATCGTAACTCTCCTTGTCGACTTACCCGGTCTTTCAACCCTTTGGTAATTTGGCTAATTAGCAAAATATCATTATAGAAATTTGATAACTTTACGAATGTGGGGGAATAGGCATTCATGTACTAATGGGCAATGAGTATAAAGCCTTCACGTTGCTGTGCCTGTCGTGGGAGGGTCTGACCGCTCGCGGTACGGCTGCAGGCGCGGACAATGGACATCACTGTTCCTACGCTATTGTGCCTGTTGTGTGAATGCCTGACCGGTACGACTGCAGGCGCGAACCTACGTGCACCTGCGCCGCTGTGCCTGCTGTGTGAATGTCTGACCGATGACCGCAGGCGAAGACGTACGTGCACCTGCCGGCCGTGGTGCTGGCCGTGGCCGCGCTGGCCGGGGGCCTGCTCATCCTGGTCCTGCCAGAGACCACCGGCCACAAGCTACCCGACACGCTCACAGAGGCCAAACAGCTCGGCAGGTAAGGCACTCGCTACCCCGAGGCACGGGAGGTGCCTTACACCTATCGCGGAAATAACGACTTTATTGTATGTAGTTTTCCGGCCCACGCCATTTCAACAATCCTGTACGGGTGGGTGAGAGAAAAGCGTTAGCATTCTTTATCACTGGTCATTTACAATTTTGTCATATTCCGCATTATTCAATTGTGTTTGTGTGGTGATGGTATGTAGGGTTCGGAAACAAAATGAGGTATATCGAAGAACATACAGACGACTCAATGTCGCCACAATTACACAGGTGGTTCTTTTCAAAGCATTCTGTCGAAATCAAGGCCAGTGTAGAAGGTAAAAGATTCTTAGAGTTCTGGTGAATAGATTTAAAATGCACCTATTAGGAACATAACCTCCCGATATCTCGTTTCTGACTTGTCCGAACCCTGCCCTCATATGTTGCAGTGACACCAAGAACGGAGCTGTGTCCGCGCGCCCGGTGCCTACTCTGAAGACCACCCCTCCGGCCGAGCAGTACAACAACGCCGCGTTTGAGGGTGACGGGGAAACTGGCGGACGGGACGGAGCGAAATGAAGGTAGAAATAAAGCGGACATAAGATACGGATGGAGTGGAATGCGTTTGGACTGGAGCGGAATAAGAGCGGAATGAGGCCCAGCCAGAGCGGACTGAGGCGGTAAGGAGAGGGATGAAAATGAAACAGCGCTACGTCGCCGAGACAAAGCCGGTTGAGACTGAGAAGGAGCGGACTGAGAGCAGAATGGTCGGACCGAGAGCGGACTGAGAGCGGGATGGAGAGGACTGAAGCGGACTGAGAGCGGGATGGAGCGGTCTGAGAGCAGAATGGAGCGGACTGAGGCCTTGACGAGGCCGAGCTGGAGAGAAATAAGGACGGACTGAAGCGGGCCCTTGTCGGTCGGTAACCGACAGGCGCCGCTGTGAAAACTATGCGCTTCGGAGGAAGCAGCGAGGTTTTATGACGAAATGCCCTTTTTACGAAGGCAGTTTTAGTGAAGTGTTATGAGTGGAGTGCCTGATCTGATTAGTGTAGATCCAAGTGTAGATCTAGCTGCATACGATCAACAAAGCTCAGACTCTAGTCTCCAATGGGGAGCGAGCCGAGTGTTTTATGTTGCCACAAGGAGTGCGAATCTTCCAGGTTAGCCCTAATAATAATCGATCTTTAGAGATGGTCGATCGTCTAATCAAGAGCCCCATGTCAGCAACTTTGTTAAACGCATGAAATGCAAGCTCAAACGGCAAAATTTCCTTTCTACCGAAACTTAAACTCGTCCCAATAGGAGCGGGGCCACTGTGGGCAAAGCTGTATCAACATTAAACTTTTTATATTCATATAGCCAAGGAACCGTAGACAAATAAATCGTAACAACGCACCACTTGGTATCAGAACAGTCGGCGTGGCACGGCCAAACGCGGGGCCGTCAGAACCTTCACCCTGACATCACTAGGATAGAAAGCACGCCGCACGGGCACACGACCACCCCCTACAGAACCCACCCCTTCCTCACAGTGACACCCATATTAGCCCGCCAGTCACCGCAGCTCAGCTAATCCAATGCCTGACTACCAGTCAGCACCCAGGCGCATCGTTCGTACATACGCACTGCGTAGTTGGGGTTGGGTGGTGGTGTTGGGTGTTTGCCAACTAGGGCTCCGGGACGGCGGCATTTTTTTCGCAGTTATGCAGATTGCACACCATCCCAGAGGCGGACACTGGCCGCACCCCATTGAGACCGGTATTCAGTACACACCGTTCGAACCGGTACACGCCGGTATTCAGTATACTCCGCCCGGGCGGATATTCAGTACATACCGGTCTGCAGCCGGTATTCAGTACACCACGCTCTGCTGCAGCCGCAGCACTGCCGGTACGGATGTGCAGGGGATGGCTCCCAGCTCCGTCACCACCACGTCCACCAGCTCCGGCGGCGTGACGTCGTAGGCCAGGTTCAGCAGGCTGAGCGACTCCGACTGGCGCAGGTCGGCCAGCGGCGAGTCGGGCGTCACCAGCTCGTTCGGGTCACCTGCCGGAGCGGCGGGCCGGCGGTCACGAAGGGAGCAGGACAGCCGGTCAGGGGTCACACCTTGGGAGGGCAACCGGCCGCGGTCAGGGAGGGAGCAGGACGGAGGACCGGCGGTTCCACGCAGGGAGGACCGGCGCAGCAAACCGAGGAGCCAGCCCAACAGGAGGAGCTACCGGCGAGCATCTGGGCCTCTCTCCATGACCTCACGTGTTCCGGGAAGCACGTCACCCTCCAGTGGGTACCGGGGCACGCTGGCATCCCTGGTAATGAGGACGCCGACAGGCTAGCCAACCGAGCCGCGGCAGAGCTAAGCCAGGCAGCGGTCCCGCTGGACATGGCCGGCGCCCGAGCGGCGATACGCCACAGATCCGCCGAGTGGACCGCAGCCCGAGCCAAAGCTCATCCTCACCTACCACCCACGCCCGGACACGAGGACCTGACCAGGTGGGAGCAGGTGACACTGTCTCAACTGAGAGTGGGAAGATCAGTGCTCACAAGGAAGACTCTCCACGAGATCGGTCTTGCGACAAACCCCGACTGCCTGAACTGCGAGGAGGAAGACTCGGTAGCACACTTGCTGACCGAATGCCCAGCGTACGCCCACATGAGGTCCCGCCTGTGGGGCGGACCTCTGCCGAGCCTGGGGCATGTGCTGGGCGGATCAGCGACTCTCATCTTCGAGTACCTGCGGCGGGTGGGCCGTGTCGACCCCCCGGTCGACGCTGCCACGGCCGTGGCCGCCCCGGCGGCCACGGCGTGACGTGTAGAAGAAGAAGAAGAAGCAGCAAACCGAGCAGACCGAGGGGCGGACAGGGCGGCAGATCGGCGGTCAGAGAGGGACAGGGCAGCAGACCGCGGTCAGAGGAAAGGTAGGTGGCGCAAGGCAGTCCACTCACGACGACACGTATCAGGGAGGAGCGCAGAGATACGAATACATATGAAGAAAATTTTCACTTGATACAAAAATGGATGGAAGCATTGCATTCTTGCTTCGCAGATAAATCATCACCAGTGTAATTAATTCGCCCCCTTTGTTCAAGGCTCGTCGGCCACGTCCCCAGTCAGCCAGTTCAGCCTCACCTAATTCGTTGTAGACCTGGGAGTCGGTCTGCACGCGGTCCGAGAACTTGTACGTCTCGCAGCAGACGAGCACGGGACGGTTCAGGGCGCGGCCGGTCAGACTGACGAGCGCCGTGCCGGCGTGCGACAGCACCATGCCGTTGGAGAGCAGAGCCTGGGCGCCCAGCAGCACCTTGGTGGCCTGCGGGGGAGCGGGAGTCACACGTGTCACTGTTATCGTCGGGAAGGGATCACAATCGCAAAGGGCGAAAACAGCAACAGACATGTCACTACACCTTTTTAGGCTGAAGTTCGAATAAGTCAAGTTCAAATTCGAATAAGTCAACTTCATATTGGAAGATGGGGCATTCCACGATAGATCGTACCACTTTTTTCCAATTTGACACCCTCATCTCTCGGAATTTGACGAGAATTGGTCTCGGGGGTAATCAGGGGCTCTGAATCCACCTGTAACAATTTCAGGCTTATCAGATAAATATTTTTTGAGTTATGGTGTATAACATTTTTTGGATCTTGCTTTGCAGCGCTAAGTTTGGCGGGCTGTAACTCTAAGACGGATTATTCAAATGCCAAATGTTATATAACATTGAACTTGCAGTGAAACAGAGATTAATATGTATTTTTGAAATTTCGAAAAATACGTCATTTTTGATATACGACATATCGAGTTTTCTTTCATTTGTATTTTTTGGACTTTGGGACCAAATTTTCTTGAATTTTTATTTCTTTAAAAAAGTATTTGGCTCATTGTTAAGAAGTATGCAAAAAATTAGGAAGGTGTTCTTTCTACAAATGTATTTATTTTACGTCACGATAACGATTTCGAATAGTGATTTCGGGAGGGGAGCTTACAAATGGCGTGGTAAAGCTGCCTAGTGACATCACGGGTTACTGAAATTTCAATTCAAGTCTGAGTCATCTGAAAAAAAGTGAAAAGAGGGTTCATTCAACCCTCTTTCCTGTAAGCGCGAGGGTGAAAAAGGCTGTTTGGTTCTGACATTGTTTTGGACGCCAATGACCATAGCTGTCCAAGATGAAAGTTACAGGACGCATACATGGTGTCCTCCAGAGGTCTCACAACTTGTAAATCTGGGAATTTTTCAAGGTTACATGAGGTCAGGTCGGTCACGTGACATCACTGTTATAAATCAATGGGGAAATATAAAAACTGTTATTTTGGCGCCGAGAATGATCTAAAACTATCCCACGTACATGGTATCGTGATTTCATGCACTCCTTGCAAAGTCCAATGCTTTACTTTTGCATTGTTAACCTTGCGTGACGTCATTTATGACGTCACTAGGGTCGTACGAGTTTTTCGTCAATAACTCCCGATCAAATGGAGCTAGAGAGTCGGGAAAGCCACCAATGGACTCGAGAAGACCTTCCGAATCGAATGATATGCCATATGATACCCTTTGCCCAGCTTCGTGACCTGAGGGGCTTTGACCTGACCTTGACCCGAGGTCAACTACTTAAGTTGACCTCACCCTAGCAAAAAGTATACCATTCGATGCACCTGAGCTAGGCGAACACAATGATGCCAAAATCGCGGCTCTGCGGCCATTTTTTGCGAAGTTATTTACTAAAAACCGAACCCGTAACTTCAGTCACGTGACCTGACCTCAGACGCTACCGGTTAACCTGAGACCTTAAAATCAGGTACCAATCGCTGCGACTTGTAACGGCACACACGCTCGTTTTTCCCGCGAGGCTCTAGCTCTATTAGAAGCGAAACGGCGTGCTGGGGTCGTATCAACCCCTCCGAAACCCATTTTGTTTGCGGGAAAATGAGGAACTTATAGAAAGAACACCTTTCTAATTTTTTGCATGTCGATTTGCAATGACATGAAGATTATTTTGAAAAAATAAAAATGTGAAAAATTTTGGTCCCAAAAGTCATTACAGGCAAATGAAAAAAGATTAAGGTTTTTGCTCAACAACGAAATTTTTTCTTTGGAATTTTTAAATAGTAATATTAATTTTTGATTCATCGCAAGCTTAGTGTTGTTTACTTTTTGTTGGTTGCTTAACCCGTTCTTGAGTTATAGGCCATCAAACTCACCGTTACATACCGAAGTTAAAAAAATGTAATGCAATATAACTCAAAAAGTTTTGATCTGAGAAGTCTGATATTTTGCCAGGCGTCTTTGGGGCCTATGATTACCCCTAGGACCGATTTTCATTAAAATCTGAGAGATGAGGGTGACGGGCCTGGTACGATCTATCGTGGAATGCCCCAGATGTCAAATACAAAATCGGATACCTCAAGCTTAAATTGAGATATACCAACATCAAATGGAAGAAGTCAAATGCAATTTCGTCTTACTCAAGATCAAATTCGAATAGGCCAAGTTCAAATTAGAATGAGGCAACTTCAATTTCGTCTTCCATTAGTACAAATTTGTTTTTTTTTTCATTCTTTCATCAGCGTTAATAATTTCTTCGTCACCGAATGCATGACATTTTCAGTCACAATGCAAGTACTTTGATAATGGACGAATGCGTTTGTTTTCTTTTTATGAGCTCGCGAAAAATAAGATGTCGCGAAAAAATGTACGTACATATGTTGCGCTAAAATATGTTCAGGGTAAATGCAAAGCATATGCAGTCTTCAAGTTAAAATTAAGCTTTACAATTGGAGCAAAAGAAATTGCACGTATACCTATATGGTAGTGAAAATTGACTCGAAGTAATGGACGGCTTGGACGGATGTCAGTGATCTTGAGCTGTAAGACAGTTCCGCTACACGTGAACCAGTTGGCCGTTGCACGGCTCGCTCTCCCCGCCACTGCCCAGTCTGATATCGCCGCTCATGGCTGACAGCTTTGTGCAAATATCAGTTCATTATGGCGGGATATTTTTGCATACTATGGGCAACAGTTTTCAAATGGCAGATTTCCGTTTCGTCTCAAGCATAGACCGCGTCGCTCTGACAGAGCTGCGAACTTAACCGAGTATATGACGCACAACCTTTTATCGAAACGAGACGGGGCGAGATGGGAGTCGACAGCCAAATTCGATGTAGGGCGGATGGCGATTAGCACATCATAATACTAATAGCATAATATAATAACAATAATGATAGCATAATAGGATAATAAGAATTCGACTTATTGACGGCAGGTTGCTGCGAAAATTGAATTAGTCTTATTCTAATTTGAATTTGACATACCGTTGTTTGGCCTAACTTTGTACCAGTTTTTGACTTTTCTTCGTATTACTTCCAAATTATTTTGTTAAATGTTCAGGAAATTGTGCAGTAAGGCAGTGACATCCCTGCTGGTCACCTATAGTCACTCTTAATTTTTTTGGATAATGACATATATTTATTTTTTTGAAATTAGAGTGGCACAATGTTACCCGCACAAAAATAACTTTGTACCATATGAATAAATGCATCAATAAAACAATGGAAAAGCCAAAAGTATCAATGTTAGCGGTCGTTATGGATACATTGGTCCACTTAGGGGCTTTTAAAAAAGGAACAGCAAACTTGTACATTGTACAAACATAGTCACGGGATGATGCACACCATCATGACTGTAGGTCGCTTACGTATCCCGCTGGGGCATTTACGCACAACCAAGGACGCGACGAACCACACACAATAAAAGGCACGGAACACAACGAACGATTCGACGACCCTCTTCATCATATGGTGTCGGAACTTTAAATCACCCCTGGATTTACCCTTCCTGCGGGTGGCCCAAAGTTATTGAATTAACGGCAAAAAATATGTATAAACATTGACCACCCCCAAATTTTAAAAAAATGTTTGAGGAAAATAAATTACCAATAGTCGAATGCAAAGTTCACATGATGTCCTATTCAGGCAAATTGCAAAAATCGATTCGGCTGGTAGCATCTGAGCCCCGTACAGGGACCTACCTAAACCTTAATATTGGGTGAAAAAAAGGAGCTTCACCAAAAAAAATCTAGAAAATCCAAAATTGACATGATGACGTATTTTTTTGTGTCCCTGGGTTTATCATTGACTACTTCATTGGTTCCGGCCCAAAAATGCCATTTCTCGCGCATAGGTATTAAGCTGATTAAAATTTAGCCATTTTTTTCCTCGTGGAACAAAGTTACCCACACGGCCCAAAGTTAGACCAAACAACGGTACTCGAATTTGATCTTGAGTAAGTCGAAATTGCGTTTGACTTCTTCCAATTTGATGTTGGCAAATCTCAATTAGAGCTTGAGGTATTCGATTTTGCATTTGGTATCTTCCAATATGAATTTGACTTATTCGAATTTGAACTTGACTTATTCGAACTTGAGCCTAAAAAGGTGTAGAAGGCTTTTTTGTACCGTCTGTACGAACTGGCATGGCTCGAATCTTCCGTCATTGATACCTATTCGTGTAACGTCCAATTTCACCTATTGGATGTCTTTACTTTCCACCTGCTCAGCTGAATGAGCCCCTCGGTCCGCGCTGTCTTACCTCCTTCATATGGTGTCCGATGGCCGTGAGCAGACCGTACGAGCACGGTACGTTCGCGTCGAGCAGCTGTCGCAGCATGTCGCGCCCGTCCAGCCGCGGCCGAGAGTCCACCACGATCACCCGGAACCGGCAGCCCTTCCGCTGCGCCGCATCCAGCACGTCCAGCACAGTTGTGGACCTGCAGCAGACCCGACCGGGTCACAACTCACATGTCAGGTCACAGGGGAGTGGGGACGGATGAGCGCGACTGATGCAGAGAGGGACCGGCTCATCGCACCACCGCGGGCTGTCTCAGAACATGAGGCCCTGACCACTGCAGCTGGTCAAGAGTGGAGGGTCACGAGCGAATCAACCTGCTGACCTCCCTCCACTACCCCCACCAGCTCACTGACCTGCCGTACGTCAGGATCACATCACCATCAGTGATCTTCTGGCCGGCGAACATGGAGATGGCCGTCATCGCCTTGCAGATGTGGTCATTTATGAAAGTCTCGATCCAATCAATAATATACCGCTTCGCCTGACAACAAAACCATGACAAGCAGTCAGTAACATTAAATGGAGGGGCGAATAACACACAACAAATGAGAAACTGACCACGACCGAAAGACATGGCACGATCACGAACTATGCCATCCGAAATAGGTCTACTTAAGTAAAATGAGACGCAGCAGGCAGCCAGCCCGCCCCCACTGACCGCGCGGCGGGCGCCGTCGGTGCTCTGACTGCTCACCTCATAGTCGCCCTTGTCGGCGGGCACGTCCTCGTGCCGGATGGCCTGCTCCAGCCGGTGGGCCACGTTCTCCATGGCCACAGAGAGTGGCCGCCGGCGCGCCAGCTGCGCCACCGCGGCCGCCACCTGGTCGGGCAGGTCGCGCAGCAGCTCGCGCTGCGGCGGCGTCACGTACTGGTCCACGAGGTCGGCGAGCGCGGTCAGCAGCGCCACGGCGCCGGCATTGCCGCCCGTCAGCTGGCCGGCGGAGAGGCGCAGCAGCAGCGGCTCCAGCGCCGGCGGCACACTGGGGACGACCGAGCGAGCGAGCGGCGTCAGAGCGCGGCCAGAGGGCAGACCAGACACGGCAGCCCGGGAGGCAGGGAAGAGAAGCCCGTACTAAAGGCAGTGAGTGTAACCTGGGTTTGATGGCGGAGTAGCTGAGCGGCATGGTCGAGAGAGGCGGCGTTCCCTGTACTAGTGTACACGGTATGTCCCAAACCTACTAGCTGCCCATCCATTCCATTCCTCCCAAACAAGTCCCACTCCACCCTCCGAGCCGTTCCATCCTCTCACCGGCCCACAGCAGGTGACTAACCCGTGTTTGCCGGTGGCGGTGTCTGCACTGCTGGCATCAAACTGCAGAAGGTGCGAGAACATCTGCAGGCCCTTCCTGGCGGGCGGCTTCTCCGCGGCGGCCTTTTTGGCGCTGCGACGGTCACCCTTCGACGACTCCTGAAATAACAAAAATGTACAGGCACTGCCAGGCATGCACGTCCAGACACAAACACCAAATGAACATGACTATTAAAAATATACAAATTTATGATGGATCTATGCTGTTTTGCTAGAAAAAAGTATCAAAACGTACAACATACACTATTCTGACGTTTGAATACAAACACACGTCACCGGAGCTCGCCAAACACATTTAAAAATGGTCCAAAAAGCACGCCGGAGTACGGCTTGAGACGGCTCACTTTGTGCGGCTGGTCCGCGTCCCCCGGCGTAACACGCTCCGGTCCTGGCGTTTTGGCAGCCTTCGCCCCCGCCTTGGGCGTCTTAGTCGCGGCGGCCGAAGCCGCGGCGGCAGCCTTGGCTGCCCGCTGTGCCTCCTGTGTGTCAAACAAAGAGGGAACGTCAAACATCAGCATTTGGTGAGCTCGGATGTGTCAGCCGAACACGGAGAAGGCACACCAGCTCAGCCTCACCCTACCCTCTACTCACCACCGTCCACTGACCTGCTTAGCGCGCCGCTCCGCCTTCAGTTCGGCCTTGGACTTCTCCCCGGCGGGTTTCTCCCCAGCCGGTTTCTCCGGCTCTGGTTGTCCGACCAGTGTCGGCGTCTTCTCAGACGGTTTCGCAGCTGCCGGCTCGCCGCTGGGCGTCGCCATCTTTTTGGACTTTGCCGTGGTCTCTGCCGGCGCTCCGCCACCGGACTGGGCGGGTTTGGAGGGCGGCCCGTCGCCACCGTCGCCATCTCCAGCCGCCGCTGCCGCCTGCTGCAGTCAGAGAGGGAACGTTCACGACTCGGCACGAGCAATGTGCCTCAACATATCTATAATCTACACAAACACATCGTAGAGAAAAAAGTAGGCCTTTCACAAGCATGATTAATCCAAATAAAATGTGGCAAGGCAAACAAGATATTTGACGCCAATATTACCCTAAACCTAAAAGAAGCTTTGAAAATTAACTACCTAAATGGAAAACCTAGCGCCACTGTTTCGCAAGGGTAACGGAAGACAGGCTTCCCGGCGTTCTTACCTTCTTCTGAGCTTTCGCCGCCTTGGCGAGTTTGGCCGCCTCGGCCTTGGCCTTGCGTTCCGCCTTGATCTGCTCCTTGGTCTTCTGCGGCGCCTCGGCGGCGTCTGCCGGAGGAGCCATGGTCGCCTGTGGAGGGGGAGCGGTGCTCCGGGCCGCGCTCTGGGCCTCGGAGGGCGCAGCGGGAGGCGGCTCGGCCAGCAGTCGGGTGCGCAGCTCCCCCAGCACCGTCTGCAGCGCGCGCACTGAGCGCAGCACCTCCTCTGAGGAGCTCACCACCGGACTGGTCTCCCGGCGCCGCTCCGGCAACGGCTCAGCGCCGGACTCTGGTGCCGGAGCGCTACACTGACTCGGAACGGAGGGTGCGGGTGCGGTCCGTTCAGTGGGGGCAGAGTGCACCGGCTCGGTCCGTTGAGTGGGGGACGACTTGGTCCGTTGGTCCGAAGCGGAGGGATCCGGTTCGGTCTGCTCAGTGGAGGCAGAGTGCACTGGTTCGGTCCGTTTAGAGGAAGTAGACGGCGCCGGTTCGGTCCGTCTAGTAGAGGCGGCGGGGGCCGGTTCGGTTCGTTCAGTGGGGGTAGAGGGTACCGGTTCGGTTCGTTCAGTGGGGGTAGAGGGTACCGGTTCGGTTCGTTCACTAGGGGCGGTGGCCGCCGGTTCAGCCTGCTGGTCGTTGGCAGCTGCACTGGACGGACCAGTGGACCTGCGTTTCCTCCGTTTGGCCGACTTGGTTCGTCCCTCTGTCTCGCCGCTGCTGGCTACCGGTGCGGGTCTGTCGGCCTCACGCGCGGCGTGTTCCGGTCCGACTCCGCACTGGCCGCCGTCGGTCCGAGGGTGTCCGCCCTGGCCGGACCTGCGGGAGGCCGGCGCGCTGCCCTCACCCGGCTCTCCTCCTCCGGCGGTGCGCGGCTCGTGCTCGTCAGAGGAGCCGGCCGGTGCGCTGCCGTCCGCCTGCCGGCGCCGCTCCTGCTGCTTCTTCCTCCGCTGGCGCCGCTTGAACGAGCGGCTCGGCTCAACCTGCGGCACAGGGACACGGTAAATGCACTAGTATATACTAGCGGAACAAGTTTTCGCCAACAAGTGTGTTCGGGGAATGGGTAGTCGGTAGGTAGCGGAACGGAGGGTCAATTTGATTACATGAGCGTGCTTAACGAAGTAAGTTCGCCGTGCAGACTTTACAAAAGGCTACGCAACTTCCACATATCTTCTACACTACTATGGTGTTACAGTTCTAGGGAAGGTTAGTATGCGGCTTGCGGTATCCAGTACACCATAAGCACAAAAGCCAGCCTTGCATTGGTTCACAGCAACAGGCATGCTACGCAGTTTAGATAAATACAATTTTAACTGAAATGAGGAGGAAGAAAAACGTCGAGAAAAAGTCGTCGGATTCATAGTTAATGAGCATGGTAATCTTGACTAAGTTCACTGGCGCGACTTAAACTGCAATTAAAAGGGTTTTGGACACTAAATCGTTTGAGGAAACCCTGCATCAGTGCGATATCGATAAGGACGAAAATTACGGTTCATTTGAGCGGGAGCGGCTTTATTGCACCTCACGCTCCGACGGCGGAGCGGCGGCGTGGGCTCCGGTTACATTACTTAGATATCAAATAACACATCAGTATGGAACGCGGTGTAGGTATCAAATAACACAGCAGTATGGAACGCGGTGCAGGTATCAAATAACACGGCAGTATGGAGCGCGGTGATTCGCGCCGAGTCGTCACCACAGCTCAGGTGGCCGGAGTCCGCCGTAGTGGCCGGGACGGAGAGTTCGCCGGCTCCAAGTCAAGCATGTACCGTCAATATTTCACGTCCCGACTTTTCTAGTTGGGGGGGGGGGGGCTTGCACCAACCCCACCTTCATCCGACAGTTAGGAAATGGTACTGAGGATTGTGCTGACACCAAAGCAGTGAGGCATATCGGAAGACCACAAGCGGTGAAAGCTAATTTCAGCTTTAGATCGTTACAGTGAGATCCGGTGTCGAAGAGGTGCTCGTACGCGGGACAAGACCGAGTACTATCATACGTCAGCTAACCTAAATCTTGGCCGTTACTGGCAACACGCTGTTGCAAGGTATCTCTAAGAATCTTAAGGCTGACTAAGTAACTTTACATGACTTTATCTTATGAAAAATAGTCTTATATACTGAATATTGTTTCACATTGCAGACACGCATTTAATTCACGTTAACATAAAAAACATGTTAAAAAACACACACACATATACGGGTGTCCGTCAAAATTCGTGGAGATATGCTGTCCCACGATTTCAATAATGCCTCACGTCAATAAATGAGCTTATTTTAGCGTAACACGGGTTCGTACGCGAGATTTGGACATTTGATTGAAGAAAAAAATCATTGAAAAGGCAACAGCAAAGTGGCAAAAAAAAAAATTTGGACATCTTTCCAGAACCGTGCTTTTGTGTGGTTTTTGGCAAACTTTTTTTCTGGGTCACGTTTGTTTCTGGGTCACGGTACTTAGCTCCTCATTCAAAGCATTACGGACCGGGTAAGCAGGGTCTGCAGACTTGCATATGGTCCTATCCCGCGAAGGCGCAGAGAGCGGGGGCGGAAACTGAAAACTGTCAGTTGGGCTGGGCGAACCCAGGGGAAATCATCTCCTGCGTGCCATAAGATTTCTTTATTCTGGGTCACACGCCCTTGTGGCTTGTGGCTGGTAAGTGTCGAAAAGAATCACAGTGTCGTGTTGCTGCGTGCTCAGGTACTCCAGATAAGATGTACTTGGAGATTAGCATTCGATAACAAACTTGCCATATTCGGAAAACTGTAAAAACCATTCCCCTGGGTCACGCATTTTTTCTTCTGGGTCACGAATTTTAGCGTGACCCAGGAAAAAAATCGTGACCCAGAAGAGTAATTCTGCCCACCTACATCATCAAGACATGCAAGTCTTTCCGCCTACGCGTGGAGAAGGTCATTGCCGATAAGGGGGTTATATCGCGCATGAGGTGAGTGAACGTATCTGGTTTGATAATGCGTGACCCAGAAGAAAATTTTTATTTTTTCTGGGTCACGGACCATTTTACGCGCATGCGCAATGGCCTTTTTGAATAATTTCAACTGTGAAAAGCCTAGGGTGCATGGTTTATGAAAAGGTAATGATTTCTAGGACATCAGTTGTGGGACAAATATCGACCCAAATCTCCACGAATTTTGACGGGTACCCATGCACACATTCGACTTCACAAGCTAGTATTCTGTATTAGTAGCACGTGTTTTTTACAGCCCTTGTAGGCAGGCAGGAACACACAAATGTAGGTTCAGATGTAGGAGAACACAAATGTGGATTCTGCGGATAAGAGCTACGCAGAGATGCCAGCTGTAAAATTAGCCATACGTCTACATATAAAGCATACACTGGCTATTCAAAGCTGAAAAAGAGAAAAAGAACGGTAGCGAAATAGGTGAGCGCATAGCATGCAAATTATCCATCGAGGCAGTGCTTTTAAATCACAAAAAGTGGGTAACGAAATTATCCGGACATTCGATTTCCGCACTTCTGACCAAAGACCAGGGAAATTCAATGGACTCTTACCCATGGTTTCAGCTCTCATAGCCAGGATACCTACTGACCTCGGGTGATAACTAGAAGTTCGTTCAGTACGAGTCGAATCACCTCCGAGGTGGAAGTCACTTTGCAATTTACAGTCATGGCGTCAAGCATCCGCTCTCCTTTCGCAGTAAAGCTCAGCTGCGGGAACGGTGCATGGTGTCATAAGCCAAAGGATGACCTGTCGACACCTTAATATCAGCATGAAACAGCTGCTCATCGGGCTGAAGCGTCACAAATTGTGGAATGGGCTGCGAACTCAGCCAGCAATGACCGCATGATTGCCCTTGGAAGGGCAACTGTCAAAATGGAGATGAAGAAACGATATCAAAATCAAACGACTCGAAAGCTGGCCGAAAGGCCCAACAACCCAGGGAGTAAGACGCATCATATGGTAGTTCACCGCTACCCGCGGAACAGCCTGGACATTCAGCAATTCAAGCTGAAAGTGACACCAAAACTGAAAGCGGCGACCACCTGAAGTTCACGTGAGGACACCTGCGCTGGTCAGACGAGACGAGAACAGGCGGCAGGCGATTTGGTCGGATCCGTCATCGTTCGGGCCGTGCCATCCTCTCAGCCGCCATACTTGTGTGTGGGTGACCAGCAACTCGAACGTGCCGACAGCTCCCAGAGTTGCACGGCTAGCAATGATCCACGTCTGGGGCAATATGCTCAACTACTCTGCTTGTGGCAGCCGCACATGATGCTCCGGAAAACGATAATCAATGGCAATTACTATCGACCCAGCATCAGAACCAGCACATTTATCTCAGGCGGACGGCAAATGAGGACTCTATATTTTGAGCTCGCAATAATTATCCACCTCACCCACACCGTGTTCATAAAGGCACTGCGTCAGATTGAAAAACAGGACAAGGAGTGCTGAGTTTCTCCGAGAAAACGACGGTTGATCTCACATGGTTCCGATCTCAATCTCCTTGAAAATGTTTCCAATTTCCCCCAGCAGAACGTGCATCATATTCATGACTAAGGAAAGAGCTGTCAAAAGCACGGGCCAATTGGAGGTGCATGTCAAAATTGGACAGGGCAAAACTAAGCCAGGCAAGTTCAAACTCAGAAAATCTGGCGGCTGGGATGCCCCAGCACATGCATGACTGCATTATCATGAAGGCTGGCAATGCTGGTGTTGGTAAACACTGCGAGATGGATGTCCGGATAATTTTGTTATAACTGCAAGAAATTGTGCAAGAAAAGATCTGCTGAGATGTGAGCAGCATTGCATCTAAGCTAACTGGCCAACAGCTTACCAGCAGCTCCATTGTGCCACAAGTCTGCAATGAGGCATACATATGTTATTGGAAAATGGCCTCTCTACCTGCAACAAGTGGATCAGGATGCAGGCTGCGACAATATGAATAGCTCAGCAACCTGCATCACAAACAATGCATTTGCTAACAGATCTATCTAATGGTTGGCTTAGATACAACATTTCAACCATGAAGCTCTATAGCCTGTGGGAAAGATCAGGATGAATAACACATTTTTGCCAAGTATTTTGGAAAAGACTACCGTTGAAATGCTCACTAGCAGGCCCTGACAGATAGATCTCTGGACACTGACACATGATCATCTTGGGTAGTTGTTACCTAATTATATTCGATGGTGTCCAGCCAGGCCAACACCTTGTTTTAGCACATTGACATCACTGCCCACACCACCACATTTAATACACAGTGACACCGACACAGGCTTACATTTCAAGTGTAGATGTAGAGTGTAGTGAGTAAATTTAACTAAAATTAAGGTAAAGTCTTGTCGTTTTGCTTGTACCATTTTTTGTAACCCGCGCCGGGCCGGTGCTCTGAGATTCCGCGCCGGGCCGGGGTGTGTGTCTGAACACCCCCCCCCCCCTTCTAACTCGGCTCCTGGGCCACGTAGCGACACGCGAAAAGCGGCAATCGAAAGAACGTCCAAAATAAGGACGAAAACACTTTGGGTCATTTTTTGGGTCAGGTCAAAGGTCAGGTCACCAGAGGTCACCAAAGGTAAAATGTTGACTATTTCAACATTTTGGAAACTGCCCACGGCTACCTCGGGAACCGATAGAGCTACAGCGCCGCAGAAAGGCGCATTTGATAGCCCTTTTACAGACCTGTCTGAGTAATGTTCTCAGATTTGACCTCAGGTCAACGGTTTAGCCTCCAGATGGCAAAAACTCCAAAAATAACCGTTTTTACGAAAAGCGTTTTTTCGGCAATAATTTTTGACTCAAAAGAGCCAAAACATTACTTTTGCCAGCACCGTGTTCCTCTCGTCGAGACGCGTTGAATGATCTATAATTTGACCTTGAAAGGTCAACTTGAAAATTTGACCTCAGGTCAAGGTCATGACCTGACCGGAAAAGGTCATGTTGCATATCAGTCGATCCGCAACGTCGAGCCGAACACATCTAAGGCGTTTTCAGCGCTCTAACACGCCTCTAGCAGGAGCTATTAGCGAGAAACTGTTAGATTCTGTTTGTGACCTGAGATGACCTCGGGGACATAACGAGAGGTCACAGTTGCCATTTTCCGGTTCAGTGTGTCAATTTTACCTACATCTCAATGTTTGAGAGTGTCTAGAATAGCGTTCGTGCAAAACAGACGCTTTTCAATTTTCTCCCATTGACGTATAATGGAGAGGCCGCAAAATTGATCTGACCGATATCAAAATTCCGAGATAAACATTTTATAGATAATGTTACTCTAATTAATCGCTGAAAGTTTTAAGGCAATCAATCAGTCGGTGTAGCTATGACAAGTATTCTTATTTTTCTGAGGTGAGGTCACTTTGCGTGACCTGGTGACCTGACCTAAGGCGACCTGAGTCTGAAATTTTCACAACATGTGCGAAACAGATAAACAAACAGGTGTGCCAAAAACGGCGGCGCTCAGCGCCGCCGTTTTTTAGATATCTGCGGAAAACCGCAGGAGGGGGGTGTGTTCAAACCCCCCCCCCCCGGCCCGGCGCGGGTTTATGATTCATATGTGGCAAATTTAATTGTCCATCTGTGCAACAATATTTCAGCACAATTACACCAGATGCTGCTCCAACATTTCCGCACAATCTATCTGATATGCTAGACATGTCGATGGTAACATGGACTTTTTCCAGTCTGGTCAATACCAATGCACACCCTGCTTAGGAGGCCCTGTATTTTGATTAAGGACTTGCCCTGCGCGTTACGGATGAAGGCAGTACATAATTTATTTCGTAAATGCTTATGAGCCATCCAGGGCATATACATTAATGTGTTTATTCTTAAGCATGTACATCATATACAGCTTGATATTAAAATAATGTCGGAAACACTTAACTATATTACACTACACACCTCACCTTGACCTGCCAACACCTATATCCGTAAGAATCTTGTCAATAACTCAAACGTCTTGTTATTACTCGATATTGATATTGAGGTTGATATAAAAATCTATTAGAAGTTCTATCAAGGCCGTATAAGTTAGTTCTATAGCCTTGGATAAAAATATTCCCTAATCCCTACGCCTGAATTGACTTTAGCGCGCCTTGAATGTAGCAATTTGTTAGAGCTGAGAATATTCGGCTGTTGCAAATGATTTCGGTTTGTTTTGAAAATGGATAGAAGGAATATTGGAAACAAAATTTATCTTTAAGTCATTCAAATTAGAAAAGCTATATTTTTGAAGAATAGCCCGTAGCCCATACCCTGTTTAGCCATCTGGCCATCCTCTGGCGATACACGATGAAAGTTTAATACTCACTACTGGCACCATTTCCTTTTCCGCTGCCACTTCGTCGTGTGTGGTGTTCCTGGTGAGCTGCGCGTTTAATGTATTCGTCTCCCAACACTAGAACCCTACATCCTGTTTTCTCATGTGTTTTGAAAGGGGTACGACTTACGGGTTCCCCTTGCCTGGTCTCGACGTGGGTAGTTGAAAATATCGAACATTTCCAACAGGTTCATGTTCATCTTGATCTAAGACAAGACCCTGATTTGGGCCTTCGGTACTGCACTGCTTTGCCACAAGCAATTTTAATAAGGTGGCAAAGTACTAAAATGAGCAACATGATTGAATATTGTAGAAGAATAACCTCATGCTCACTATCTTACCTTACCTTACCTTACCTTTCGGTAACGGGATTTTTTTAGGCTGTAAGGCCTGTAGGACCCGATCTTGGCGAGCTCCTGGTGTCAAGCATAGCTCAGTCTGTGTTGTATATGGTAAACGTGATTGACGACCAGTGCGCATCGAGTCTTGCCTTGAAGACGTTCAGGGATGGTGCACAGGCAACCTCAGCTGGCAGCCTGTTCCAGTCATTTATCACCCGGGAAGCGAAGGCATTTCTCCGAGCGCGGGATGCAGCCGGAAACTTCATGAGCTTCAACGAGTGGCCTCTTGTAGTAGCGTTTCCCGGCTTGAAGAAACCGCCTGCCTCAATGTCCATACCACTGTGCAGGAGTTGATACGTTGCTATCACATCACCTCTTCTGCGCATGTAGTAGAGGGACGGGAGGTTCAAGCAACGCAGGCGTTCTTCGTACGGTTTGCCGCGGATGTTGGTAACCAGCCGAGTGGCTCTTCTCTGCACGCGCTCGACCAGACGCTGGTCGTGTCTGTTGAAAGGGCCCCATATTAGGTTGCCGTATTCGAGGTGAGGACGTACCAGCGTCTTGTAAAGTAATGGGAGCGTGGTCTCGTCAAGGAGAGCAAACGTTCGTCAGATGACTGCTAGGATCTGGGTCGCTTTAGCCACAGCAGAGGCCGCGTGCTCTCGGAACTTCAGTTCGGAGTCGATTTGTACTCCGAGGTCTTTCTCGATAGTGCAGCTGGCTAAAGGGGCGCAGTCAAAGGTGAACTCAAATTCGCAGTTTGAGTGGCCGATGTGGAGGACCTTGCACTTGCCTTTGTTCAAGGGCATCAGCCAGGTGTTTGACCACCTAGCGATTTCATTCAGATCAGCCTGGAGGCGGTCAGCGTCGGCTCTGGTTCGGACCCCAGCGTAAAGCTTGGTGTCATCGGCAAACATCTTGATGTCACACTGGATCCGGTCCGGCAGGTCATTGACGTAGATGAGGAACAGCAGAGGGCCGAGTACTGAGCCCTGAGGGACTCCGCTGGTCACATCCGACCACTCTGAGTGTCTACCCTCGAGTATCACCTGCTGTTTCCTACCCGTCAAGAATGACCTAATCCAGGCTAAGAGCTTGCCAGTGAAGCCATAGGCCTCTAACTTGACCAAGTCTCTGGTGGGGGACCGAATCAAAGGCCTTTTGGAAGTCAAGGTAGATAGCGTCCACGGGTTTTCCATCGTCCAGATCTCTTGTCCATGAGTCCAACACTTCCAGCAGCTGAGTCACGCATGATCTCTTAGGGCGGAAACCGTGTTGGTGGCTGGAGATCAAACCGTGATCGGACAGATGGGCCATCATCTGGTCGCGTATCAAGGACTCTAAGACTTTGCATGGCACTGACGTGAGGCTTACCGGCCGATAGTTGCCTGGGAGCCTTTTATCCCCCTTTTTGAAGATAGGTACGACCCGGGCCTCAGACCACTCCGCGGGTAGCATGCCACTGTCGAGCGAACAGCGGAACAGATGCGTCATTGGGATTGCTATTGCGTGACGGGCTCCTCGCAGGATGCATGGGTGGAGGTCATCGGGTCCTGGGGCACCAGACGCCTTGAGGGCACCAAGCTTGCGTGCAACTGCCTCCCTCGTGATTTGAACGTCCGCTAATGTCGCAGGGACTTCTGGTGACCCTGGAACCGGTAGAGCAGTGACCTCCTCGTGTGTAAACACACTGGCGAAGAACGTATTGAATATTCTTGCCTTTTCTGCGGGTGAGCTCTGCGGTACTCCCGCACATATATAGTTCAGCAGGTCCGTTATGTCTCCAATCCTTGCTTTCGTCTTGAGCCTGCTGTTGCTGTATCGCCAGAATGCCTTGGGGTTCATCTTGATGTCTGAGACTATACGTGCTTCGAATACTCTGCGGAGCCGTCGTGTTTCCTTCCGAAGCTTGTTTCGGTAGATGCGGAATCTGGCTAAGTCGATCGGGTCCCCTGATGCGGAGCACTTTTTCCACAGCGCATTTTTCAGCTTTCTCAGTTTTAATGCATGACTGGTCATGTAGATGTTCTTTCGGTGCCTACGATTCGAACGCTCTGGGATGCATTTACCAATCATGTCTGTCAGTTTTTCATTGAATAGGGCGTACCCTGACTTGATTCCGACCGAGTTCAGTATGCTCCAGTCAAAGTCAGAGATCAGGGTGCTCAGTTTCTCAAAGTCTGCCCTGTTATAGTTCAGCCTTCTTTCCTTGTGATCGATAGGTGTGGTATAACATGCTAGCATGAACTGGAGCATGACGTGATCACTCTTTCCAAGACCAGGTAGATACTGAAGGTTGCTCAACATCCCTTCTTCATTTGTCAGGACCAGGTCAAGAACGTTTGGGGTCGTGCCTTCCCTGAATCGAGTTGGCTGGGTGATGTGCTGGAGCCTGGAACAACAGACAGTCCTGTACAACATCCAAGAACTTATCCTAAGAACTATCCTTTAACAATCCAAAATTAGCCTAAAATGAATCAGTCGGGGAAACTGGTAAAATCTGCTATTTTTAGCAGTCTGCTATTTTTAACAGAAATCTGTTAAAAATGGGTACGCATGTGACGTCATCGTACCCAAATATAGCAGATTTGGGTACGGCCCCATACAAAAGCAGATCTGCACCCTAATTGAAGCAAATGCGCATCAAATGCCTGGCAGATTCATGATGAGAATAGTGCTGAGAGTGATCTCTGCTATTTTTGTTCAGATCCGACTATTTTCAAATTCATTATTTGAAAATAGTCTGATCTGTGTGTGATCTGTGTGTGCTCAAATGGTAAGTGCAAGCCATGGACCAGTCGCCTTTCGGGACCCACACGGTCGCGGTTGCTTTCGCCGCTCGCGCTAGTCGAGATGCAAAGTTTATAGTCACACAAAAGGGTCTCTGAAAGGGTCTCGAAATGCTTAGCGCTAGACGGGACTAACCCACCCGGAGAATAAAACACTGGGACCAGAAAGCGGCCTTATTTCCAGCACTGCAGGAAACTCATCCTGCACTCGCTTTTCTTTCTCACTTTTGAGTTCTTGGGTTTTTTTTCCTCTTGAAGATGATGCTGGAGCCGGCCCCTTCTTTGACGGCCCAGGCTCCAGCTCTTGGCTAGTTTGTTGTTTCACGGCTCCGGGCAAAATGTGCCTGCTCCGGCGGCTTCGGCTCCAGTTCCGGCTGGGCACTCCTGGGTCAGGTCATTCACGTGACCTAACTATCGTAAGTCAATGGGGAAAATGAAAACAGCTATTTTGGTGCCGGGAACAATCTCTAAACTTTATCAAGCGCACGGAATCGTGATTTCATTCCTTGCAAGGTCCGATGCTTAACTTTTGCATTGTTGAGCTTGCGTGATGTCATTTATGACGTCACTAGGGTCATCAGAGTTTTTCGCCAACAACTCATGATCAAATTGAGCTAGCAACTCGGGAAAGCCACCAATAGACTCGGAAGACCTGCCGAATCGAATGATATGCGATTTGACTTTCTTCGGCCAACTTGTAACCTGGGGGCTCTGACCTTGACGAGGACCTCACCCAAACAAAAGGCATACCGTTCGACGCGCCTGAGCGAGGCGAACGCTATGATGCCAAAACTGGGCGCTGCGACCGTTTTTTTTTGTGAAGTTATCAAAAACCGAACCGTGCCGTGGGCCACTTGACCTGACCTCAGAGATCACCCGTAGACCTGAGACCTTATTATCAGACACCAGTCGCTGCGTCTCGTAACGACGCACACGCTCGTTTTCTCCGCGACACTCTAGCTCCATCAGGGGCGAAACGTTGAGGGGTCGTATCCCCCCCCCTTCGGCAGGCGTGCATGTAGAGAACCAATAGCTCTGACGAGGGCTAAATGAATACCTAAGCCATAGTTTAGGAAGATTTGTTGGTTGTAGCATGTAATGACGTCACTTTATGACGTCGCAGTGACGTCATAAAGTGTCGTTTTGTGATGTGGAGAGTTTCTGATGCCACTGTACTAAAAAAAAAAAACTAGGATAAATGAACGAAACAGCACTTGCTGTCATCCTGACACATCTAAGTACACTTTTAACCAGTTCCTGACCAGTGGTTCCTGACCAGTGATCAGTCCTTTCTATTCAGTATTCAGTCCCACATATCGGATATAACGTGAGGAAACTCAGACGCAAATCTGTAATTGGATTTCTGATGTCACTGCTGTCATTGCAACTAGGATGACACCTGATTTGGGCGTGACCTCGGCTAGCTATTCAGGAATGTGTGTTCAGCTTTGCTTCTCTATCTCTTCGCATTGCGACGATATCGTCTGAGAAGTAAAGGGGGTGGTACAACTAAAAGCTAAATATCTCAAAAACAAGTAAATAATTTTCGATGAAATTTGACATATTTTTTGTTTTTGTTTTTTTTTTAAGCACGGTACATCACTCTTATGCCAATTTATCAACGTTTTTGAAGTTGGGGAACTGGGAGGGTCCCAGTAACTTTTATGGTATTTAGCTGAATCTCTGATTAATTGCTTTTTTTTCTTTTTCAGTCCTTAAAACGTGATCCTTGATCCAGCAAGATGGTCAGGGAGGACAGGAGAAAGTGGAAGGAGAACTACTTCAGCAAGCTCTCTGCTTGTCTAGATGAATATCCCAAGTGCTTCATTGTGGGCGCAGACAATGTCGGCTCAAAGCAGATGCAGCAGATCCGCATCGCTCTGCGTGGTACCGCCACTGTGGTCATGGGCAAAAACACCATGATGCGCAAGGTCATCCGCGGCAAGCTGGACTCCAACCCTCACCTGGAGAAGCTTCTCCCTCACATCGTGGAGAACGTCGGCTTCGTCTTCACCAAGGAAGACCTGAGTGAAGTTCGTGAGAAGCTTCTCAGCAACAAGGTAGGCTACAGCAACAACACTTATTCTATATAGTCCTTCATTGAATTGCATCAGAAATGAATGTGAATGCATGATTCATGAATGCAGAGTTGTGACCACAGTCTGAAGTTGGGAATTACATGCCAGAGCCAGAAATGGCAGAACCCACTGGCATGCCCTCTGTTGCAGACACTGGATCTGTGTCTGATTCGTGGGTGTAATTACGATGCTTCATGTGTTCGATTGGCTCGTGACGATTGGACACTTTTTAGGTGAAAGCTCCGGCTCGTGTTGGAGCGATCGCGCCCCTGGACGTCGTCGTGCCCGCCCAGAACACCGGCCTGGGTCCCGAGAAGACCTCGTTCTTCCAGGCCCTGTCTATCGCCACCAAGATCTCCAAGGGTACCATTGAAATCATCGTAAGTTCCGAATTGGTCTGCTTTACTTGCAAATTTATGACTATCTTTGTTTCTGGTTTTCTGGTTGTAAAGTTAATGATAAAATTGCTTCTGTTCCGCTAACGGCAACCGAATCACCACCATCCCGTTTTCAGAACGACGTGAACCTGATCAATGAGGGCGACAAGGTGGGCAACTCCGAGGCGACCCTGCTCAACATGCTGGGCATCTCTCCGTTCTCGTACGGACTGGTGGTGAAGAAGGTATACGACTCGGGCACCGTCTTCGACCCGAAGGTGCTCGACCTTACCGACGACGACCTGATCGCTGCCTTCGTGAAGGGCGTGCGCAATGTGGCCGCTGTGTCGCTGACCATCGGCGTGCCCACGGCCGCCTCCGTGCCGCACAGCATCATCAACGGCTTCAAGGACCTGCTGGCCATCGCCGCCGAGACCGACATCACCTTCAAGGAGGCTGAGAAGGTCAAGGAGTACCTGGCCGACCCCAGCAAGTTCGCGGTGGCCGCTGCCCCTGTGGCCGCCGAGACCAAGGAGGCCGCCGCTCCGGCCAAGGTCGAGGAGCCCGAGGAGTCTGAGGACGACGACATGGGCTTCGGCCTGTTCGACTAAGTCGAATCGCTTCCGAGACGGCATGGTCTGCGCCCGATGTCAGTACTTGGGACGGGACCTTCGGCTCGCATATCTGGTGACCATACCGGCCGCAGCTGAGGTTCTAATATATTGACATCGTGTATAATTCAGTGTTTGCTTGGGATATTGGGATTGGGAAGGTTAGGTCTACGTCTTCAGCATTCTGGTCGTTGATGCCATGAGCGGTAAGTGTAATACAAATGCTTCTAATCGTTTCATTTATGGCAATTTTTGACTGTTTGATTTCGCGTGCTGCATCTGATGTGTTGCCGTGTGTGTCTGTATTTGTGACAAGCTTCGTTTTCTGTGCTAGAAAAGTGGTTGTTCGCGGCGTATTTGTTGCGCCAACGCTGACAGCATCAAATCGTGTGATTATTTCTACAGGCGATGTTGACAATGTGATGATTTCAGGTGATGTAACTACTAACAACCAAGTCCTCTGGATCGCACTGGCAGGTGCGTACGACTTAAAAACGCTAACGCGCCGGTATCGAGCTTTTAAATGATGATATCACTTAGAATATATGACTGCTGTGATATGTCTTTATGTTCCCTTGGCTGTCTGACTGAGTGTGTCCTACCTGTGAATACGTCGTAAGGGGTTGGCCTTGACGTAATGATGTTATCTTTCAGTGGACGACGACCGATCTGGGAATCAACCTTCCGGCTGTCTACTACAGGTGAGACCCTTCCGTTGCTTATTGATTTATTATTTGTGTTGTGTGATGAACTTTCAGCCTTTGTCCTAGGTTGGGAATCACACGTCGGAGCCAGAAATGGCTGAACCCACCGGCGTGCCCACTGCTGTCGATATTGGCTTCTGTCTGACTGTCCCTTTGAAAAATGACTTTGATGTGACTACCTGACGGAATATTGACGGCTTATTTCTGGTCCCCAGGCTAATTAGCTACAAGTTCGGGACAGCGTTTACGAGCTCTGGATGGTTCAGGTACGTGTCGCTCTGCCGTGCCCATTGTGCTGCTTTATTCAGGATTGGTGATCATGATGATAAATATTATTTGGATGAGATTTGTGATTATACCACAGTTTCCCTTGGCTGTCTGAGAATAAAGCATGTCCATTTGAGGTAATAAGTATTATTCGGTGTCTCATACTGGTGTTTTGATTACAGGTATCGCCCATCTTCTAGAAGTGTACGGCGGCCGTTTTCAAGCATCTCTTCCGACGTGAATGATGCAAGGTGGGTTCTGGTTCCGTGGAGCGTTTTCTTTTAAAAGTTTTCATGATGAAAGTTTGCTAAACGTCCGAGGTTGGGAGTTCCACGCCAGAGCCAGCAATGGCAGAACCCACTGGTGTGCCCACTGCTGTCGATTTCTGGCCGCGTCTGACTGTTTCTCTCGACGATATACGGTGTGATGTCGCGCGGCAGTGTGCTGAGACTCGTTCGCCTCTCCCCCCGCAGGTAACACCCAGTCAGAGGAGTCTGGCCGGCCTATCCCGACCGCCATCGGTCTGCTTGGAGGGCGCAGCGAGGTTAGCCGGTGACAAGTGACTTTCAAAGGACAAGTGCGTTGGATGACGAATAAAAAGCTTTACTCAATGCTCCAAATATCGTCTTTTTTCATACCCATTTGCGTCCCGACTCCTGTATAAACCTCCGCCGTGGCGGCAGTCCAGTCTTTAGGCGAGGGGGGGGGGGCGCGTGCCCCCTGGCTCCTTTATTATGGGGCCCCAATCGGATCGGTTTCAGGGTCAACGCTAGCCTCGCTGGGTCTCCATAACGTCCTTCAGAGCATCCCGAAGGCTCCCAGCTCCCCCACTAAATTCTAAAGTGACTGCGTGCCTCATACCAGCTGTCCGACGAAGCAGTTCAAGTTCGTAACACCTCGGGTCGACTTGTGACTTGAGCTTAAAGGGACCCTCCCACCTTAAAAAAAGTTAATGAATTGGCACGAAAGTGATGTCGCTCGGTTCAGAAAGAGCGAAAACGAGTATCTACCAAATTTCATCGAAAAATATTCACCGGTTTTCAAGATATTAGACTTTTACTTTTGTTTACTTTTTGGGATCTCCGCTGTTCCTAGCGACTTTATTTGAAAGTGCGGCATTTGTTGCGCGCAAAGCAGCATATACCACCGCGTGCTACCAAACGTTTTAGTAAAAGATTTAAAAATCGTTAGATCTCCGCTGACGTCACAAATTCTAAGGGGGCATACCAATGCACTAGCCCCTTAGAATCCGAAAACTGCAAGTTTGAAATTCCATATCTCCGAATTAAAGCATTTGTCGATGTTGTGAGTGCCCAAACCGGTATTTGCAGGCCATGGCCACCAATTTGGCTATCTCAACTCAAAACTAATGTTAAGGTGGGAGTGTCCCTTTAACAGAGAAGCTGCCGCAGGGAATGGAATAGGATGCGTTGCTTAACTCTCGCGGGCCCAGGGGGCGCCCCCCCCCCCCCGGCGAATATTGGCGATCCTGGGCCACGTGGCGATACGCGGAAGGCGGCGTTCGAAAGAGCGCCAAAAATGATGATGGTCATTTGTTTTTTTGTCTGATCAAAGGTCGGGTCACCAGAGGTTATTGATTGAAGGCTCGTCGATTTTTAGGTCGAATGTCGACAATTTCCAAGAAGCCAACGCATAACTCGGGAACCAATAGAGCTACATCGCCGCGGAAAAGCGCGATGGATAAGCGCACCCCAGTGGCGGTCTCAGCCAACTTCGCCCTAGTGTGGGGGGGGGGGGGGAGCATATGTTACCACCCACCTCTAACTCAAAAACTAAGAGGGCTAGAAAGATGCGGTAAAAAGCAATCGATAGCTCTCAATGCGTACGTTTTAAAGTATACAGGTCATTTTCATCTTAGGGCAATATTGGGGTCACTGGAGGTCATCAAAGGTCAAAATTTGCCAAATGTATTTCTCAGAAAACATGCATTTATCTCAGAAACTATGATAGCTAGAAAAACGCATGAAAAAGCAATCGATAGCTTTTGAACTCTTCTTTTGATAGTCATCATCAAAATTGACCTCAGGTCAACGGTTTAGCCTCCAGAGGGCAAAAACTCCGAAAATAGCTGTTTTTACGAAATGTGTTTTTCGACAATAACTTTTGACTAAAAAAAAGCCACAACATTTCTATTGCCAGAATCGTGTTCCTCTCGACGAGACGCGTCGAATGAACTATAATTTGACCTTGAAAGGTCAACTTGAAAATTTGACCTCAGGTCAAGGTCATGACCTGACCGGAAAAGGTCATGTTGCATATCATTCGATGCGTCTCGGCAAGACAAACACAATGAGGCCATCCCCAGCGTCCTTCCTACCTCTTTCCAATCGAGAGTTATTGGCAAAAATCTGTTTGTAGCCTCAAATGACCTCGGATGACCTTTCTAGAGGCTATCAGCAAAAAACACACCTTGGTCGTCACGGGTGGTCCAAATCGTTGTGATTCTGAAATATTTGGACTGTTCCTATGCGTACACACAGATTTAGAGGCATTTTCATTTTTCTCCATTGCCTTATAATGGTAAGGTCACGCCACTGACCTGACCTTAGGTCACGGATATAAAAAATCCGAGATATACAAATTGTAGGCGCCCATAACATCATGCAATCCACCAAGTTTGAAACCTTTCTGTCAAACACTGCAGGCTGGACATGATTGCAAACTTTTTTAGGCTTGATCAGTTAACTTGACCTGGTGACCTGACCTGACATGACCTTGGGTCAAAAATTTCACACATTGTCCAAAATTGATGTACAAAAAGCTACCCCAAGCGGCGCTGCGCGCCGCGGTTTTTTATTTACACGCTAAAAACGCGACAGAGTGGCAACATATGCCCCCCCCCCCCCCCACTGGGGCGAAGGTTAACGCTCTTTCTGGATATGGCTCTCAGATTTGACCGAGCGTCAACGGTTTTGCCGAAGTTATTTTCTGCAATAACTTTTGGCTGGAGCCTACCAGCATCGTCTTCCTCTCGTCAAGACGCATCAAATGATCTTTAATTTGACCGAAGGTCACCTTGAAAATTTGATCTTAGGTCAAGGTCATGACCTGACCGGAAAGGTCGTGCTGCATATCAGTCGATCCGTGTCATCGAGCTGAACACATCTAAGGCGTTTTCATCGCTCTGGCATGCCTCTATCAAAAGTTATTCGCGAAAAACTGTTGGCATTCGTGACCTGAAATGAACTCTGGGGCTTTAACGGGGGTCACGGGTACCATTTTTTTAATGTTCAGTATATAAAAGTTGCTTGTAATTCAGTGTTTTAGAGCATTTGTAATGGCTTTCGTCCAAAAGAGGCGCCTTTCAATTTTCTTCCTATTGACTTATGGTGAAGTCGCAAAATTGATCTTACCTTAGGTCACGAATATCAAAGTTGCTCTAAGTTTCAAAGCGATCGGTCACTCTGTGTAGCTATGATCCAGACATTGAAGCTTTTTATGAGGTGAGGTCACCTAGTGTCCTGACCCTAAATGACCTTGGTCTGAAATTTTCACTGGGGCTGTCTTGATGAACATATGTACAGGGTGTTCCAAAAAAAGTGAGCCCCCAAACTTATATTGCTTTTATCTCCGAAACCCTGTGTCTTACGATAATGAGAGACCCCTTGTTGGAAAGAACGGTCAATTTCGGTTCTAGTAGGCTACCTAGTGTGGTTCTGAATGATCACGTATTACACCGAGAACGACCAGAACAAAATGTGTTGCGAGATCGAGTGAAACTTGGCGACAGAGGTCGATAAAATCTCTGACCATCTGACCCTAGTCAGAGAAAAATAAGCGAGCGAAAATCACATAAAGAAGAAAATATCATGGAAGAAATTCTAAGATTAGCAAAGCCAACATTGTTACATCCATACACCTATGTCATCGACTAACAACAGCACGAGTAACAAATTAGTGATGACAGTTCTCTACCATTTCTCCACTTTCTCCATAGTCAGAGCTGGTCTGATCCGGTCAGAAGCAACTCTGTGCCTATTAGGTCGGTTTCCCTACCAATTCATAACCAAATATCGCTCTTATTGGCAGTCGGAGAAAGTGGTGTTTTTGTCGACCGCTTTGTTTTCTTCAGCTGCCAAACTCTTGAGACAAGAGAAAAATAGTTGAGATTTATCAATAATAGTCGCTAATTCTTGCGATGTTTATTGCGAATCTGAAGGAATTTCTTCAAATACAAGGAAAAGTCTCAATAACGGGAAATAGCCACCTTAGCGGCAAAGACGCTAAGGCAGGGGTCGGCAACCTTTTTTGGATGGGGGCCTTATATGTGATTTGGAAGCAACCGGCGGGCCGGAGCATGGTCACAATTTGTTACAATCACGCGCAGGAGCAACGGACCGGAACACAATGTTAGTTACTGATGCCAGCCGCGGGCCGGATCCGGCCCGCGGGCCGTAGGTTGCCGACCCCTGCTAAGGGCCCGACAGCGACGCGCGGTGAGGGAGGGAGGGAGTGGGTAGGGGGACTAGGAAAAAGGGGAGATGAGACGCGGGGCAGGAGGGCAGGAGCCAGGAGGCCGGCGCTGGCCGCGGGGAAGGTAGGGGTTGGGGGGGGGGGGACTCGCAGGAGCAAAACACACCTGGGTTTCAGTCGGCAGAGGACTGCGTGCGCGTATTGTATTGTATTGTATTGTATTGTATTTTACATCATTGGCACTCATCTGTGGCGAATAATCGGCGATACCTTGGCAACAAGTCGGCGCACGCAGCGATATGTCGGCGCCGACTCGGCGACTGTTTGGTGATTAGGTATATTCGTTTATCACAAGTTCGGAGAACGGCCACGAAATTTTCATTTTTCATGAAAAATTTGTGGCGGTCGTGACGAGCCGTAAAAGTCGCGCGGTGGACACCGAATGGTCTGCGAAATGCCAAGACCGGGGAAGAAAGATCCCGAATCGGTCCGCGACATAGGATGGCCTGCATATTCGTGCACATTCGTGTACCAAAATTTAGCAGTGTAACAAGAGCTTATGACTGCCGTATACCAGTGTTTTGGGTTGCGTGGATAGGTATCCAAATTCATCATTTCTCACAATCGCGAAGAAAAGCCTGGAGAAAATTGGCAGGTAGTCGGAGAAACTCCATGAATTTTGTCGGCCTCTGCTTGGCGACGGCGGTATGCCCCGCCTAACTATTATTGCTTTTATCTCCAAAACCGTATGTCCTACGATAATGAAAGACCCCTTGTTGGAAAGAACGGTCAATTTCGGTTCTAGTAGGCTACCTAGTGTGGCTCTGAATGATTACGTATTACACCGAGAACGACCAGAACAAAATGTGTTGCGAGATCGGGTGAAACACGGCGACGGCGGTAAACGTGTATTGCTGACGGCAACGCACGACCGATATTGGAGTGGTCAAAATACTGGTTGAACTAGGTCATCCATTCAGTCTTCATTTTTTTATGATAAAAGTTCACGCGCGAAGAATGAATAAAAGCACGTGAACTGAAATATGCAGTCAGATGTGAAGAAATTTTAACCATATCCGTTACCCCTAAATATTTCACTAAGAATTTGGTATTGAATTGTGCTTTTCACAATGCTGGTCGTGTTGTGCAAGCTATGTAACAGAATTACGACCTATCTGGATGGAATTTGATAGCTCTTTCTAATGAGCGTCTTTCCAAAGCTGTAGGATACACGGTTGCGGAGATACAGTCGATCTTAGTTAGGGGGCTCACTTTTTAGAATTGATGTACAGGGTGTAACGAAATTATCCGGACATCTATTTTTTCGCCATATCTGCTCGCACAGTTTCTCTTTTAATGTCAGAAGCTGGAAAATTGGATGAATGCATACCTCTGGTATCTGCTCTCAACTCAGCAGTGACCTGACCTTGCGAAATGACTCTTGCTCTGAGTAAGAGTCGAGTCGCCGACGGGTTCATTTGATAGTTTTCGTTTAAGGCAGTGGAGAGAAAGGAGTACAGTCTCTCGTTTCGTAGTAAGGCTACGTGTTGGTGGCATGGTGGCATGAGCCAGAAGCTGGTCTGTCAGCAGCTGGACATCAGCAGCAGCCAGTAGCACATCTGCCTGAGGCGTAATAAGCTGGGACTTGGTGGCAGACTCAGCCCGGCCTCGATCGCAAAAGGCGCCCTTTGCCAAGTGGTGAGGAGAGTTGTCAAGATAGCGACAAGAAACGGCACCAATTAATCCGCATACTGACTCGAATTCTTACCAAGGTAGATAATAAGAGGTCCCACATCATGATTCACCGTTACCCGCCCTTTAGCTTGGTTTTACTGCCCTTCAAACTGGAAAAGACAATGAAATTGACGGGAAAACAACCAGTCCACCACCTTTGGCTTCAGGCCAGGGCGTGTCCACTGGTCGAAGGAAGACACGAATGAGGTGACCTGGTCGGATGGGAAGCTGTTCGAGCTGCGATACCCGTTGAACCGTCAAATCGGCCATGTGTGGGCTGCCAGCAACTCGAATATGCCGGCCGTCGCCGGCGTCAAACATCCGGCCAAAATCCAGACCTGGAGCATGTTCAGCTGCTGTGTAATATTCAAGCTGTTCATGACGACACAGAAAACCACTATCAGTGACGAGTATTACCGGCGCAACATCCTGGCTAGCGATTGGTTGGAGCCACTCAACCAGACGGCACAGGATGGCTCGGTTTCTGAACGTGTACCGATACCTGATTCAAGCCGCGCAGTCTTCATACGGGGCGGCGCACCACCTTCAAGTCCCTAGCAGAATGAGAAGTGATGCCGAGAGGACCTTTTTGTTCTTCTGGGCTAAAGGGCTATGGCTTGGAAATAGTTCCCATGCAATTCCGTCGATATATTATGGACTATTGTCCATCAGGAGATGAATGAGGGGACACCCGCCACCAGCGCCGCCCAACTGCGGGCACAGGTTAGTAAGGCGCTACTCTATATGAAACCCACTGTGCTGGAAAATCCAGTGGCTGGAATGCTCCAAAAATGTGTATCTGCGCTCTTATGAAAGGTGGCTATATAATAATTCAAAAGGGAAAATATCAGAATGTCTTGCTTCTTAATTACAGCGCGAAGAAAGATGTCCGGATAATTTCGTTACACCCTGTATGATAAGGTTTGCGCCGCGTTTTTTATAGATATTCGCAGAAAACCACAGGGGGGGGGGTTCAAACACCCCTCCCCCCAGCAGGGCGCGGGTTATGATAGTTGATACCTTGGTTGCGACTTGCGTAGGTAAATCTCCGCGACTGCCTATGTTGCTGACACTGCTCTGTGGCTGGGACGTATGGGAATTCCTAATCACGCCTCAGTTAGCGCGGAGCGGTCGACGGAGTTTTAGGGCCTTGGACGGAGTGACGCCTTGGGATCACCTTGGGATTTAGCGACAACAGACGCGTTTACATAGGGTTTGTTGCAAGCTTATATCTCCGTCCGTGATGTTGCAAAAGATGCCAATGGTGGTGAACAATTTACAAAATGATCCCCTCTAAATATTTGAAGACCACTGCATCGAAATTATCGCCAAATTAACGAGCTAGAGCCTCGTCAAATATGCTATGTAAACCGGGTTAACGGTTCATGAAACTACCCGAGATAAAGCGGGAGAAAGTAGGGTACGTTTTATCCGTTCGCAGATTAAGTTCAGCCGAACCTCTTGTGCCTTGTGCCTTGTAATATGTGTTCGACAACTTTTCGTTGACATACGCTCGTCCATTTTATGTGGATAATTGACAAAGTGACACTACGCACTCAAAAGAAAGGCTCGGAAATGCTTATTCGTCGCACTCGCGCGGGATAACTGGTGACCAAGTCTGAAATGGTTTTCTGTATAAGCCCTTTGAACGGTACTCGTCTGTAGGTCGGCTTTCACTTACAGTCCTAAAAGAGACCGGCTATAGTGACGTCACCGCATTGCGTCGGCGGCCTTACGGACGCCGCGGCGCGTGTGAGTCACCGTAGCGAGGCATCTGCTCTGCCGGGAAACTATCGGAAGTGCAGCCTCATCCCTCAGGAAACAACCAGAAAATAGTGCGAATCCGGTGTGCCTCTGGAAGGCATGCCAAACTAATTTCACTAGTTTCCCTTTCCGACTGCGGTTTTCAAAATGATATTCATCATGAATAGCGAGCTGCTGTCTGGAGTGGAGTCGTCGGCATGCGACGGCCGGTCCTGTCGCCAGTGGGTCAGTGCCCCTCCCCCGGATCAGCGCCGGCCAGCCGGTCTGCCACCCGTCGACCCGGCTCGCTAATCCGTCCAGTTGTGGTGCGGCGGCGGCCGAGCCGAGATGTGCGCCCGCTGGTCGGCGCTGGTGCTGCTGCTGGTGCTACTTTGTGTGACCGTCAGACGGACCGTCGCCGTCGAGCTGGTCGTGGTGCACTATGAGCTGCTGGGCGAGCGGAGTCCGGCGCTGCTGGCCGCGCTGGCCGACGCTGTGCGGGCCGTGCGCGCCGCCGAACAGCACGTGCTGGTGCTGAACGCCGCCGGCGCCGATCTGGGCCTGCCCGCGGACGCGCACGCGGTGGGTGTGCAGTCGATGGGCGGGCTCGGCTCTGTGCCGCTCGTCTCGCACGTCGGCGGCCCCACGGTGGCGGCCAACCTGCAGCTGCCGGCGCCGCTGGCCACTGCCGTGACCGCCTCGGTGACGCTGGAGGTCGGCGCCGCCGGCCGGGTCGGTCTGGTCGGCGTGGTGCCGACCTCGCTGGAGGCCGGGCGCGCCGGCGGCGCCGTCACCGACCCGCTCCAGGCCGTCGGACAGGAGGCGGCTCGGCTGCGCGCCGCCGGCGTGGGCACCGTGCTGGCGCTGGGCCGGCTGGACGGGGAGACGGCGCTGCAGGTGGCGCAGCGGCTGCCCGGCCTGGACGGCCTGGTGATACCCGGCGGACTGCGGCCGCACGCCGTGTACCCGCTGCCGGTGGGACGGGACGCGGGCGGCGCGCTGCCGCTGCTCGAGGCGCCGCTGGTCGCTGCGCCCGGCTACCTGGGCGTGGTGACTCTGACGCTGGCCGCCGACGGCCGGGTGTCCGGCTGGCGCGGCCGCGTGCTGCCGATCCGGGCCCCGGCCCCGGCCCCGCCGCCGGCCGCCGCTCCACCAGTAGCCGCCGGGACAGGGTTCTGCCCGCCGGTCGCCGATCAGGTGGGCGCGACACTCTCCGAGCTGGACGGCCGCATCGACTCGTGCTCGCAGAGGGAGTGCTCGCTGGGCAGCACGCTGGCCGACGCGCTACTGCTGGCCGCTGTGACGCCGTCGGCCAGCTCGTGGAGCGAGGTATCGCTGGCCGTGCTGAGTGCCGGCGCCCTGAGCAGCTCGCTGCCGCGCTGCGCCGTCTCCGAGGCCGACCTGGCGGCCGCCGTGGCCACCAACGCGACGGCGGTGACGCTCTCTCTGGCCGGCATCCACCTGCGCCAGGTGTTCGAGGTGTCTGCGGCCGGCCGCGGCTCGGCGGCGTTCCTGCAGACGGCCGGCGTTCGTGTGGTGTACGACATGACCCGGCCGGCCGGTCGCCGCGTCCGCCGGCTCGAGGTGCTCTGCTCGCAGTGTGTGACGCCGCGCTACGAGGAGGTGCGCGCCGGCGCCATGTACCGGCTGGTGACCACCAGCTACCTGGCCGCCGGCGGACACGGCTACCGGGTGCTGCCCAGGCGCGGCCGCGCCGTGGCCGACTCGGGCCGGCCCGTGCGCGACATCCTGCGCCACTACCTGCGCTCCCGGTCACCGGTGCCGCCGCCCACCGGCGGCCGCGTCTTCTTCTCCGGCCAGGACGGACCGGTGAGCGACCCGCCGGCGCGCTCACCAACCGCCTCTACCAGTACGGAGAGAACGACCACGGCCGCGGCGGCCGTCACTTCCACCGCGGCGCCACCTGCGGGCGGCACGCGGCCGGCCGAGACCATCGGCGAGGCGCTGCAGTCGACCAGCGTGTCGCAGATGGTCCTCAACTCGGCCCTCTGGAGCCTCAGCGGATTCTTCATGCTCGGAATGATGATCACGGCATTCTTTTAAATAGGCCGTGACTCGTGATACCAAAATATGTGTTGTGTTTTTGTTCATTGTTTCATTGGACTACCGATGTCGATGTTGCGCATGTAAACATGTCGATGTTTATTTATTATGTGTTCCATATTTCGGGGATAAAGTCGCCCATAGCATACAGATCTTACAACGTTTGCCTTAGTTAGGTCGGCAACTTGCCGCGTACGGCTCGGCTGTGACATACCTACCTATAGGTTGGTGACGCTTGTATTGTTATTTCGTGCTCGAGGTGAACTTCCTGGGATATTTTTCCCGTGAGAGTGATAATCTCAATCTCTTGAGGAATTAGATTCGAAATTATACATGGACCTGAATATTCGATGCGAGTATCATGAAATGAAACGGAAACTGCACGTTATGAGTTTTTGTATGTTGAGTTAACGAAGGAACTGCGCCAACCTCCTGATCCAGCTAGCATATTAGGTACTAAAAAAGGGGGCTACGCAGGATGTGATTTTTCCACTTCGATCACATTCTTGCGCCTGTTTTCTTCGGTCTCCCCGCATGTCGGTGGACTAATATTGACAGTTCCCGGCTGTTGGTGGGGTCACACTGACAGTCCCCTGCCGATGGGGTCACACCGACAGTCCTTGCTGCCGATGGGGTTACACTGATAGTCTCCTGCTGCCGATGGGGTCACACTGACAGTTCCCTGCTGCCGATGGGGTCACACTGATAGTCCCCTGCCGATGGGGTCCACTGACAGTCCCCTGCCGATGGGGTCCACTGACAGTTCCCTGCTGATGGGGGCCACTGACAGTCCCCTGCCGTCAATGGGTTACACTGACAGTCCCTGGCTGTTGGTGGGGTCACACTGACAGTCACCGGCTGCTGGTGGGGTCACGATGAGTCCCCGGCTGTTGGTGGGAGGTGGGGGGGGGGGTCACGCCAGCAGCTGTCGGCGGCGACACCGACGGTTGCCGCCTCTCCGCCGCCGGCCACAGTCGTGCTGCGGTGTCGGTGGGGTCACACTGTCGGTCCGCGGCTGTCGGCGGCGACACCGACGGTTGCCGCCTCTCCGCCGCCGGCCACAGTCGTGCTGCGGTGTCGGTGGGGTCACAACTCACACTGTCGGTCCGCGGCTGTCGGCAGTGACACCGACGGTAGCCGCCTGTGCGCCGCCGCAGTCGGGCTGCGGACGGCGGTGGGGGCGGGTCGGGCTCTCCGTGGCCGCGGCCGGTGCCACGTCGGTAGTGCTGGGACACTGGCGCTCTGCGGGACTGGGAGTTGGGACAGGCGGTGGCGGCAGCGCCGCAGACGATGCCTTTAAGACCAGGTGAAGCCGACGGAGGTCCTACGCGGACCATACTTCGGCCACGAGCGGCCTCACGAGGACTGAAATACGACGGAGGGCGGCCTCTCGCACAAACCGAGCAGAGGTCAAGGAGGACGACCATACACCGACTGAACTGCACCAGAGGACGTTCCTACAAGGACGAGCGGCGGGGGTCGGAAGAGAGCAACACTGTCCGAGCTGCCACTGTACGGCCCACGGCACTCACTGTGACAGGTTAGTGCGACCTGCGAATGTCGATAATCGATAATTGATAATTGTGCGAGTGCGATAGTTGTATTTGGTGTTTTTTTTTCCGGTTTCCAACCGCCTGTCGGGGCTGCTTCACATAACTATAGCTGATTTCCGTAAAAGGTCTCCTAGCCATCGTCCTACCGTTAGCAAAAACGTCTTAGTCTGAAACTTCTACAAAAGCTTATGCCCACCTAATCTTTTTGAGCCGTCTTTCCAGGTAGTAAAGGATGCAATTAAATTTGACTAAGTCGGCTTGGTATTGGATGAAGCCAATTGCATTTCGGGCGACACCTTCTTTTCATCACGACATAATGGCCTCAAAACGTCTGCAGGATTGATTGGCCTACCTATACCTATCCTACACATCATCAGCAGTTTGTATTCACCCACATATTGGCATCTGAATGAGTTTATCCAGCTGTGTGAGATACGATGACACGACAGTTGTAGTTACCGTCGAGCCATTACGCCGAGGTCCTCTTCAGAGAGCGGAGACTGCAACGGCGCACAGAACGCAATCACCACAGGCCGGGCGACTGCAGCGAAACACAAGACGGTAACATGAGCCATTTGGGCGTGTTGTAACCGGCCACATTACGAGTTCCAATAGTGACTCGATGGCTTCCATCCCTTGTCCAATGATTCCTCACCAACTGATCAGTACTCCTCATCCAATAATTAATTCCTATCCAGCTTCCATTCCTGCTCCTAATGCTTCTTCCCCATGCAGCTGCCGTTCCTCCTATACCTTCTTGGCAGCTCCCGTTCACAACTCCTCGCTAGCTCCATGGAGACGCTCACCAGCTCCCGTTCTCGGTTCTTCAATGATTCTCAGCAGCTGACGTTTCCCCATGGCTTCAGCAGTAGGTAATCCTTAATGGCTCCTCACCAGCTGTAGGTAGTTCCTGCAGTAGCTCACTACCGGCGATGACGGGCAGATTCGTGCGCCGCGCCGGTCATGTCTGACGCCCTGAAGTGGCCCCTGTCCCGAGTCGCGGCGCACGCATGCCATCGATTCCTTCCGTCATCGCGGCGCCGAGACAATGGCGACGAGCAGCGGCGCGGTTCGACGGCCGGCCCGATGGTCCTTCATTACCAGCCGGCGCCGTCTGAGGCTGCGTCACCTATAGGGAGTTGTCTCTGAGTGTGGTTGAACCAGCTGCCGGAGAGCGAACGGCACTTCTGGCAGTCTGCACGGATCACTAGCTGGCGGCCGCCGGGGAACGGTCGACACCTCTGCACGGATGGTGGGCCGTCGCACCCCTGGTCGCGCTAGTCGACCCTCAGTGCCCCCACCCGAGGCTGTGCATTCGACCGAGCTCACTGGTCTACGGTGGGCCGCGTGGAAGGGCTATTTGTCGGGTCATGCGTGTCGCTCCGGGGCTCAGTTGCCGGGTCACGCGCGGCGCCCTGTTCTTTTAAGCGCCGCTGCGGCCGGACCGGGGCCGTTTTTGTTGTGCCCTGTGGCCGTGCGGCCTTACGGCACTATGTGGCGACGTTCACCGCGCTGTGGTGTGTGATTTCAAACGACGGCAGATTACCGGAGGGCGTGAACGGGTCAAACACCCTTCATCACAACAACGGCTTACAGAGGCCGGGGTAAACACCACCTTACGGGGCACTGCGGCTAGGGGCAGGCATCGTCTGCAACCGGCAGGTGGGCAGGTCCTATATAAGCTCGTAGCTGCTTGTGGATAAACAGCGACAACGCAGAGACCATACCCATACATGTACAATGTACATAGATCACAGACTGCAACGGTGGGCAATGACCAGTGGGGCACCGGAAGTCGTTCAATTGGCACGATCGACACGTTGACCCTTGTTGAACATGTTAAAGCCGTCGACAAACGTATAAAATACAGTACCCACTTGTCAAGGCTTATGTGTCAAGCGTCTCACATTGGTTTAAGCATGAATAACACGTAAATAAGTATTGCCCCTTTGTTTCTGATCAAGCGACAAGCTGCACAATGCACAATGCGCATTGCACATGCACCAAGGAGCTGCATTATGCAGCTGCATTTCTCGGGGAAGCCGGAAGGGGCAGTAAAAGGCGGTGTTGATGTATAATGTTGGTGGTGACTGTCAGTGACATCTGTGACCCCCGATGACACGCCCTGACCCTCGTCGGTCGGCCGGCAGGGTGCCGTTCGCCGGGCGGGCGGAGCGGCGCGGCCATGGCCCGCGGCCGGCGCCGACGTCCGCTGGCGCTGCTCCTGTTACCGCTGCTGCTGTCGACTGTCCACTGCCGGACTGACGGAACCGAGTCCGTCAGCAGCCGCACTCTGCTGGACTCCTGGTTCAAAGTCCAGACGACCAGCGAACAGCGATTATATGGAGTCCTCAGGTCAAGGGCCAAGGTAAATATTGATCGGTTTTTGGGTGCTCATGCACATAGTTAGGTATGCCTAGTAAGAACCTCAATAGTCATTCATTTTGTGGATGTAGACGTCCTACAAGTATCCAAGCAGCACATGCGCTGAATGATAATATGCTCGCCCGAGTCGTTCACCGGTCGATTTATGATCATATGATGAGATCTCCCAGACGATACCGGCTTGACTGATGACGCAGGGGTGAAGTCCCACGCTCATTTTTTTCCCCGGGTGGTCTCTCAAACCGTCTCGCCAGTCGGTGGACGACACGCCCCCGTAATCAACCATGATCTATTTCTCTGGAAGGGACTGACCACTGTTCAATAGGCTGCCTCCCATTCCGTCCGGCCGTTCCTCCGCCGGCCCGTAAGTCACCGTCATCGGAGCGGCATTCGAGCGGCGCCATTGTCCCATTGACTGGCCGATCGGATCGCCCGTGCGGCCGCCGGATTTATCTCCAGGAAACGCGCGTCAATTAGTGTCCCAGGAGGCGGCGAGGGCCGTTACCGCCGCGCGGCCGCGCGCTGACACAGCGCCGCCCGCAGCGTGGATCGGGAGCGAAACCGGCCGGCGCAGCTAACGAGCTAGACGCGTCGCGCTCGCCGCCCGCCACACGTGCAGCCAACAGCTTTATTGTGGGCAACACGGCGGAACATAGACAGAGAAAAACACGAGGAGCAGTCGGCGGTCCATTCCCCACTTGTTGCTTACACACCGCTGAAATTCGTGCATTGCCCATTGTGAAGTTAACATTTTTAGACAAGGTAGGTCATCACCATACTTGCCTACCCCCCCCCCCCCCCCAGTCTGTCCCCGCAACATTTCAGACACCATTGGCGTGATCAGTTCAAAACGGATGCCACCACTATGAGGCCATATCCTGATAAATTGGATAAAAATCGAGAATATCGGCGACGACAAAAGCAGTTCATTTGTTTCCGATAGTATTGGGTCGTGGACGATTATCTTTGCTGGTTTCTCATCCACAGCGACCTAATTTAAATTGCAAGCTGTACTTGCTTTCACTACTCAAATACCGTGTCTGAGATATGATCAATTATAGGATAGCAACGACCTAATCGCTTAATTGCTGAATCACGATTCGTGGGCACATTTACTCGTCTTTGAGACACAGAATGCACGACACAAATGTCTGGGCGACTACATCACATCCCCGCCCCTGCAGCCGGGCGGGGAACCAGGAAACCAGAAACCGGGAACCAGTAACCAGGAATGTTGTATTTTTCAGACGCGACATCGCCATTCATACGTCGGTGGTCGGCCGCTGCCGACGTGCGCTCCGCAGCAGGTAAGATGGCGTCTACCTCCCTGGTGAATAATCATGCCCTTACACTTCTCCCAAATAATGTGCGTCGTTTTCGTCCCGTCTCAGCCTACTCGCCTCCTCCCCGGCCCCGCCACACCGTGTCCGACGTTGGCCTTTGATACTCCTCTCGATGTGCGGTTCCCGCGTGTCGCCGACCTCCCACCCGCCCGCCCGTCGCCGGTGCACGCCGAGCGCCCCGGCGCTCACAGCCGGTGTCTGTTATAGGGCCTGAATGGAGAGTCGCTAGGGCGTGACGACCGCTGACCATATCGCCATCGCCAGGTGTGGCGATGGAGTGGCGGTCGTCCATGAGCCACTCCCGACTCCCAGCCGGAGTCTGTATATTGGAGGCACTTATAATTTGCAGGGATCAATTAATTTCCATCTGGAACGGAGCACGGTTACGACACTGTTGTGCCAGTGGATAACAGCTAGTGTCGTTTGGCAGGTGTGCAGCACGGCCTATCCCCGGCTGCAGGTGTCCACGGCGCAGTGTGTGTGTCCGCGCGGCTCGGCGGGCCCGTGCAGCCGCAGCCTGCTCAGCACGGACGGCCACAGCGTGCCGCTGGTTACCGACCGTCAGAAAGGGGTGAGGACGAGCCGCACTCTCCTCCGTCACCGGGCCTCCCCGGACAGGGCAACGATCCGACCACCCACACTTCAGAGCTGACCATCTGGCGGCGCAGAGCTGTCGATGATTCGCCATTGAGTGTCGGTTGGCGTGCATAACGTTTACAGCTTCACTTTAGCCGGGTCAAAGATCGCAGTCTATATTCGAGCTAAAGTGACCGTGAAGACTGTAGAGCATTTCCTTCTAGAGAGCGAATGCGCCGTTCCTTCCACTCCACTATTGCCATCTCACGAGGTCAGATGTCGCTCTGCAGTGAAGTGCACGCTGACCACTGTCCCGCACTCTGCTGTGTATACCGATGTGGACCCGCGCTCACCGTCGGCCGTTGCCGCAGGCGCTCACCACTGTGAAGACATGTGAGCCGAGCGGCGTCCTGCCCGCCTGTCTGGGCGACGACTGGGCGCTGCTGGCCGTGCAGAACGCGCGCACGGGCCGCTCCAACTTCCTGGTGGTGTGCCGCTGCCCGGCCGACGGCCTCCTCGGTCAGTTTACATCCAGGCCATTGTCTGCTGTACTGTGGTGTGTTCAGTGCTGGCCTGATCTGGAATATTAACTGCGTTTTCCAGCTTAGTTGATGACAGCTAGGTATTAAATGCTTCACATTTGCAATCCATTTGGCGCAAAGGTCATAACACACATTGCTCGAAATCAATGCCGGTATTATGTTCGTTGAGCCTGTGTCGCTGTAAGCTGCCTTCCGTGTCCTGTATCGCTGAAGTGTCGTATCGGTGCTGCGTTCCAGAGGGCCCGCTGCAGCACCGGCAGCCCTACCACGCCCAGGTGCCCATTATCCGGGTGTACGGAATGATGTGCCGACGCCGGTCGCGGCGAGCTCGCCGACGCAGCGCCCGCAGCGCAGGTACGATACGCGCCGAGACTCCTTTGCGGTCTCTTTCGCAACAGGGATATGCGAAATAAACTTAATACACGCATGATACATACACGCACGATGTGCGTTATGCAAGTTCACACACCTCCACGATAATAATGCGTAATGTGCCATGTTACTTCATCCCGTCGACAATTCAATCACTCCGCTACCCATAGCGTGATAACAGTATACGGCGGTGAGCCATTCAATGCCCTTGAATTTCGGATTGGTTTTCGTACTCCTGTAAGCGAATTGGTTTTCGTACATCCGTCCCAGTCTCGCGCTGCTACTATAAAACACGCACCGGATGCTGCTGCTCGATCGCTAAGCATCGATCACGGTCGGGGGCGCAGAACTAACCCGCTGATTAGCGCTGGGCCGGCCGCCGTGGGAGGATGGCGCGCCCGGCTCCCGCGGCCGGCGCGCGCCGCCGAGAGGAGCTCAGTGGACGGCGGCGGAGTCCCCGGAGCCGTGCGTGCCGATGAAATACGGAGGGAACGGGCGACGACGGCCGGCAGCACCGTTCGTCGGTCCGGCAGCGCGACCCGGCCGATCGCCGGCCGGCCGGAAAATGACCCGATGGGCACGCCTGATCGCGAGAGTTTTCACGGTAGGTACTACTGACCATGGTTCAGTGTTACGTGCTAGTAAAAAACTGGGATCAATTCAGGTGCGGCCTGTTGTCTCCTTCCAATAGGAAGTTACTTGAAATTGCAGACAAAAATAACAATTGAGTTTAAAAGTTAAATCCACCGTAAATCGTCCAATTCAATTAAGTTATTAAGTTAAAAACATGATCGTTATCACAAGCTCATAAAGGCTCAAATACCGCATTAATTCAGTCCGCTGTCGCTAAGTTCATGCGTCTTCATGGCTCCTGTAGCTGCCAACGGGGTTAGAATGTCACCGCTTGACCTCGACCGATTGACCGCCTGTCGGTGCCATAAACTCGTCTGTCCTACTGCCGCGGGCCATATCCCCTCCCTCGGGAACACTGCTGCTATAAAGGCCATCTTGTCACTGATGGGGCATGACCAGAGGCCGGTGAGAGCTCTAGCAAGGCTGTAACGCTGCTCAGTGACCGAGCAACCTGCCAAGCCGGTCATCCCTCCCCCTCCCTTCCCCCGTCCGTCGGGGTCGCGGTCGGGTGTCACGGTGTCGCCGGGGGTCGCGCTCGACGGCTCTGCCTTTTCTCCGGTTCCTCCCCGCGACTCGGGGGCGGATCCTGCCATTGAATTTTCACTCCCAGCGGCCCGGAGGCGGATCGTGTGCCATTGTGTTCCGCCACGCTCAGGGTGGGCGTGTGCATTCACCGGGGACGGAGGGGCGCGGGACGCCGGCGCTCACATTGAACACGCGCAGTGGTGCGAGCTGCAGGCCGCCGATGGGCGCTTCTCGAGCAAATGCGTAGCGTCGCACCGCGCAAATTCACACACACACACACACACACACACACAGGATGTGTGTCCGTGTAGTTGTGCGGGGGACAGTGTGTACCTCTGTTTCGATGTGTATGTTAGTGGTGGATGACAACTGCAATCCAGTATGATGTGCCGATATGACGGCATCTGAGGGTGTCTCAACGTGCATCCTAGGATCGATGGCAGAAGACAGGGTTTAACTGAATACGTTAAGGGTATCAGCTACAGAGCCTCTTTGTTTTAGGGTGCGCGAATCGAGCCTAACCGAATCTACTACGGGTCTGTTCACTCATGAGTAGTTGCAAATCACCACCTGTTATTGCACCTCGTGGTCACGTAATGCATTTACCGGTTCACATCACCGTTAAAACGGCCGGCCCGTGAACAGATGCCTGCGGATCGGTGGCAGACGACGGCAGCAATCGTGAATCGCGATAACAAAACAATACCACTTGGCTAATGAAGCACCAGCGATGACCAGACAATAGCGGAATGTGTTAGAGTCCATCCAGCTACTTTCGTCAGCATCTGTAGTAATATGGTCTCAGTAGACAAAACGATCCCGGAAAACATAGAGAACCGGCGATATGTTGCTAGCTCACTGGGATTTTCGGATGCGTCAACTGCGGGGTCATTTGCGCCGGTAGCCGATATTTCGAGGGGAGGACACCATATTATGAGTTCATGGACGGCTCACGACCCCTCCCCTCTTCCTGGTCTGCTGCAAATTGGCAGTATGATCGGTACTCACGCCTCGACCTCCTCTCGCCGACCCACTGACGGAGGCCGTCCGGAAAGCGTAGCCCGGACGTGACCCCGTGTCCGAACACGATCCATCAGTCGGTGACACGCGACACGGACGGACACGACGCCGCGCCGGCTGACACGCGACACCGGCAGCGCGCGCCGGCGGCCGGTGTCGGGAGGCGCACGAGCGGCGGGCCGCGTGCCGGCGCGCTCAGCGCTCGGCGGCCCTGCTCCTCGCCGGGGCACGGCGGCGCTTCACGGTGACTGGCGCGCCTGCCCCCGGCGATCCGTCACCGAATTTCACCGGCACCAGTCCGTCACAGGCGGATCGCCGCGCGGCGGCGGCCCGCGGTGCGACCAGCCGACTCGGCGCCGAGGTCGGAGCAGAGGCGACGGATGGATCACGGGTCAGAGCGGAGGGATTACGGGTCAGGGTCGAGGACGGATGGGTCGCGTCTATAGACAGATTACGAGTCAGGTGACAAATAGGTCGAGTCATAGGACGGATGGATTACGGACCGAGGCCGGGGGACGAAGGGATGGCGGAGTCAGGTCAAGTTCCGACTAAGGACGGGCGAATACCCAAAAGCTTCCAACACTTGGGACGGGTGTCTTAGGTCGATGCCGACAATGATTTGCTGTTCAGCTCAACCGTGTAAATATGTTGCACAGACCACACTGACAATGACGTCTTCCATTCCTGTTTTAGGACTGAGCCGACTGACGGCAATAAGGAACCTTCTGAGCCTGGCTGACGGTGACTGAAAGAAGAAACTACCACCAGACGTGTTATCCTAGCTGGTCCTGACTGAAGGCCGCTGAGCTTAGTCCAGCTGAGGCAGCAGCTGAGACGAGCACTCTCAGACGCCGCCCAGCATCTATAAGGGGCACGCCACTGCAGCAAGGTTGAGGACGGAACAAGCCACAGATCACGATGTCCGGTTGAGTGCCCAGTTGAGACCGAATCTGAGTGCCCATTACCTACCTCTGCTAGTGTATTTGAAGGCATCTACAAACAACCCAACTATGACCAGGGAAAAGTGGCAGTCTGATCGCTGCGGATACAGCGAAATCGAACTGACTGTGGCCGTTTCTGGAGGACAAGTGAATGCAGAGTGGTGATTATACGATTGTCATAGAAACTATAATGAGGTGAGATGACGCCCCCATGATGTATTCATAGTTCAGCTACTATACAACGAATTAAAAACTAGCGACAGGGCTTCCCGACGTGGTCTTTCAGATTATACCGTGCCGCCACGGGTTAAAGCCGTGCACATTGCAACTGGTGACGGAATTTCCATGTAGCTGGAGTAAGAACTAGGCGATGCGGAACACTGTTGATACGTGGTTGGGTGTCTAGTGTATGGTTGTGCGTGTTAGTACGCTCATAGAGTACCTATAAACTATTGTGTTACTTGTGCATGAATCTCTGCCGCCTGAGCTGGGCTTATCAGGTTGGTGTCGAGGTTATTAATTGTTCATCAACAGCCTCTGCAACGTGCGATGCTTGAGTTGGTGCTGATTAACCAGAGCTCACTGCAGACATTACAGTTTGAAGGAGGAAGGAGTTGATGGATGTTTTTAGACACGAGAAATCGAATACAAAGTTAAAACCAAATTTTTAATTTAATACTCACCGCAAAGACATCGTCGCATGACGTGGAATAACCATTGGTGCCTTACACCACCATGACTTGTGTTACACCAGCATGTTGTGACAGCGTAATCTTCATCAATAACCAGATTCTGTGAAATGTCCGATCACCAGTTCTAATAATAAAAAGGACCAACGTTGCAGGCTAGCCAGAAATAGTACAAACGCCTCCCTCGCGTCAGTCAAATATCATCGTCGCTACACACAGCTTTGAGCATTCGCGTTGTATTTCAAAATAGCCTCAAAATGGTCACACAGTGTCCGGAGTCCTGGACAGTGGACCAAATCGCGGACCGGGATTGGACCAAGGTCCGGTACAGTGGACCATATCGCAGACCGGGATTGGACGGATGCCCGATACAGTGGACCAACTAGGCCCATTTCAGTGGACGGACAGCCAGTAAAATGGACGGAACGGCTGCAAACGACTCACTTTGAGTCCCTTAAAACGAGTCACTACTACGACTGTTGGCGACGCCCCGCCAACGGTCCTTACTGCTACAACCACAGCACGGCCCAGCAGCAGCTGCCGGAGCGTCAAACAAGGCCTCGCTTAACACTGCGCGGGCCTCTACACACTACGGTATATGGTACTGCAAACCGGCTAGGTGTGGCATGTGATTATCGATTTGACCTTAAAACATGATTATCTTATCTAATAGTCACAACCAACTGGGTGTGGGGCGTGCAAGAGCAGCGGTGAGGATACATGATACCCACGAACACTAGCAAAGCAGCTGCTGGCATAAAGCAGGACGGCTTCACGGTACGTAACACGCATTCAGACACGTTAATTGTTCCACAAGTATAAAACTAGGGTTGGCTACGCTATAAGCATCCCGTATCACGGTAATGGAATGCATCGTTGAGATTCAGTCTTCTTCTGATGCAACATTCAGATCAACATGTAAACATGCTAAAAAAATGCGAAATGGATGCGATGCGAAACTCGCCTAGAAAATTCTCAAGTAGCAAAATATGGAATGTCCTCAGGCATACCAGTTGATCGAGATTCTGACATACACCGCCGGGCGCGGTGTAGAGGCGGGCAGTGGGGCCGCTCGGGGCACCCGGCGACTGTAACTAACACTAGCGCCGAGGGGAGGGCGGCGCACCGCTGCGGCCCGAACAGAACCACCATCGGCGGTACGCGAGAATGGCCAACATCGGCCGAAACTGGGCATACCTATATACAGAGCTGGATAGAAGCGCGGCACGCGCACGGAGAGACCAGCGATAGCCTCTCAGATCAGCTGCACTGTGCCGCCTGTGAGAGGCGCGCACTCCATTTGGCCCACTAACGGTGAAGAAAGACCGCCCGTCGTGAACTCACCAATCCGGACCGGAGGCCTTCCGAGCGACCAGCGAGCCGGCTGGGATCACTCTGAAGCCCGGCAGGCCGCCCGGGTGGCTCAGCCCAGCAGGCCAGCTGAGGCGACTCAGCCCTGCAGTCGGCGGTACAGACCAGCCGCTGCGAGCAGTACCACCAGCACCACGAAGCTGATCTGGGAACGGTCGGCTCCGGCCAGACGGCACTTGTAGTAGTCGAACCTGGCGGGAGGATACACACCAGTCAGCTCACATCACATATTAGACACTCAGCAATCAGCAGACACTTGAAATAACACAACTGAAAGTTGGCACCTGTCACCACCCCCAAACCCTCATTGTAACTGTTGTTGTTTCCCTCCAGCCGCTACCGCGGTGTAGCCGTACGGCTCTGGAGAGTCCTCACAACTCGGAGCACCCCGTGGCCAGGTGATGACGCGTGCGGCGGCGGCGGACCGGCGGCTCGCTCACCTGGTGGGCTCATCCTTGACCAGGTTGAGGAACTCGGCCTCCACCAGCTGGCCGTCAAAGTAGGTGATGGGGTCCTCGAACGGGTACTCGTAGCCCTGCTTGCAGTCGCACTTGTAGCCGCCCGTCCAGAAGCCGCGGCCCTGGATCGGCACGCACTGCCGACGGCGCGGAGGGGCGACACGTCAGCCGCGGGCAGACGACCGGCGCCCCAGCTACAGCTGCCACCCACCGGCCAGACACGGTGAAAGGGAACGGCCACAGTGCTGAGCCCATCCCGGCTGGTCTCATCTGTCCCAATCGCTCTCATGTAAATTTAAACCGAAAAACGGCTATACTGATGCCAGTAACTTACGCCTAGAATATCTTGCATCGCACCTAATCGAGATAGGCGCTTAGATCCCAATCAGCTCAGTGAGATTCCTCATGTCCCCGACGCAGCTGTGCAGCCATGTGTATAACTCACGTAAGACGACCTCCTGTCGCATTTGTGCGTGTTCTTGAAGGCGTTGGCCACCCAGTAATCGTGGTCACACTGGTTGATGTCCAGGTTCTCGGCACTCATGGACACGCTCACCATTCCCCTGCGGGCGGAGGCGGACAGAGGACATCACGTGCTACTGTGAACGAGTGTTGCCTCCGGCACTGGGGTGTCACATGGACGGCGATGGCCCAGCCATAAAACACAGAGCATGAAATGTAATCGATAAAAACGACGATGTAACTAGTTGCTCTCTCCATAGGACATGTAATAACGCATCCACAATCGAATTGAAATGAACCGAAAACAGGCGTTACACCTTTAAGTCGTTGTACCTGGTTCACTCTTATCTGGCGACAGGTTAAACGCAGCCCAGTCTTCTGAACTTACTTGAACTCAACGCTATGTTTGAGGTCGTCCCAGCCGAAGAACGGCGCCGCGTATGTGATCATCCACATGGGGTGGAAGCCACCGCAGTCGAAATACGGCGCCGTCCAGTAGCCGTCCTCCAGTTTGGCAGCCCTGTAAGCAGCCGGCCGGGTCACAGAGGAACATCTAACATCGTAACAGGCCGGGTCACAGCGGAACAGGTAACATCGGGACAGATCACAGCGGAACAGGCGACATCAGGACCAGTAGCATCTGGACAGGGGATCGCGAGGGGGATAAAGACGTCTAAGAAGACAGCCACATGCAGCGCGGATCAATCGCAGCAGGAGCGGTTTCAGAAAGCGTCAGAAATGACCGCAGACAAAACCATACAAACAGACGTTGCAGAAGACGTCAGCGAACGGGTGATTTTTACACATCACGAAAAAAAATTGTCGCTTTCACCGTCAGCTTGTGGCGCTACTCACAGGAAATAGTCCGGGTATCTGGTGTATTTTCTCAGGAACAGGTTGTCGCTGGTCGAATGAGAGCGGAACAGCATCTTGATCCAGATCTTCTCCAGCGAGTCAAAGTTGGTGGACCAGCGCGCCTTCACCGCCCGGAACACGGGCTTGTTGAGGTAGACGTCCTCTGCACAGCGGAAATAGAGAACAGAGGCGATCAGTAACTGGACCCGAACAACGCTGAGACAGGTCGACAAGCAGCCTCACAGAGCCATCAAACAGATTGCACAAACATGAAAAAGGCGGCTCAATGCGAAGTCGGCCTCTCTGCGGAGCTCACCGGACTTGTTCACGCGTGCCAGGTCCTCCATTTTGAAGGCGCGCGTGTTGAGTTTTTCCTTGTAGGCGAACGGCGCGAACAGGGTGCGGTTGAAGAACTTGTTGCGGTCCCAGTAGATGCCGGCGTTCCAGATCCAGGTGTCGCCCATCAGCAGCGAGACCGCCTCGCCCATCATCTGATCCTCAGTGAGCGGCCGGTCTGCCAGCCGCTTGCCCGAGAATACCTCGTCCGGGTCGGACACCTGCCGGTCAGCAGGCGGTCAGCGCGTCAGGCAGTGGGAGGACAGTCCGTGGAACACCGGTCAGCGGGCGGGCGGTGGGAGAGAGGGCAGTCGGCATGGGAAGGCGAGCAGTCGGTGGGAAGGCGGGTAGTCGGTGGGACAGCGGTCAGCGGACAGTCGGTGGAACACCGGTCAGCGGTCCGGTAGTCCGTGGAACACCGGTCAGCGGGGGGGTGGTGGGAGGGCGGTCAGCGAGCCAGCAGTCGGGGGAACACCGGTCAGCGGGCGGGCGGCCGTTCAATAGTCTAGCACAGGGTTACAGTGCGCATCTCAAACATCATCAGCCGCTCACTAGTACAGCAACTGAGAGGACGCGACACAATGCTCAGTTCAGACGTGCTACTGAGCCCCCGGGCCTAGGGGCGCGGGTCGGCAGCCAGCCGCCGGTCGGGCTGCGTACAGGCGCTGTGCCGTCTGCGCGGCCCGTGACGAACCTGCAGGAAGGCAGAGATGAAGTTGGCCAGCCGGAGCGCTAGACGCGCCTGGTTCTCCATCTGCTTGTCGGCGCCGTAGGTCACGTCGCCGCGGAGCTGCAGGTCCTTCGGGTGGTACCTGGCGGCAGGCACCGACATCAGCGTCAGTTTGATGTCGTGCAGCTGAGAGACCCAGCCACTTTCTCATTAATTTTCACGTTTTACATTTTTAGGAATTAAACAGTTCGTACGAATTTTAAGGACCTTTTGTGCCGTTACCATGCTTGCATGCGATGCGGCACGGCGGATTCGCACAGTTGCCCCACTTACTTTGTGCAGTCGCCGGCCTTGACCTCCTGCATAAACTCGAGCAGCGACATGACGTCCTCGACGGGCGGCTGCGCCAGCGAGTCGTTCAGGTGCGCCGTGTGGTTCTTGTAAAAGTGCCGGTGCATGTGCTGCATCCGAGTGTACTGGTCCAGACGCTCCTTACCAACGATCGTCTTCTGAATCCCTACATAGAAACGAACATTGAGGCGTTAGGGTTAGATAGTCCTATTGATTAAATAGACGAGATACTCATGTTATTCATATACCCTGTGGTCACAATAGTGGTCTCAGTGACTAGGCATCAGCACCTGAATACAGGCATTCACTGCTAGGAGGCTTCACCATTATGACACAAAATTCCACGTTATAGCTGCCAAGGCTGGTTAAAGTAATACCCATGTAAATTGATAGTATCTCTACCGACTGGGCTAAAGGGCAAGCCGCCACCCATGAGCGCCCTGCCGTCACCATGCGGCGCTGCCCGGCCCGGCCGGCCACTCACAGCCGATGTTGTCGCAGTGGAAGGCGTAGCGGTACTGCTCGCTGGTAGCCCGCTCCAGCACCTCGCCCAGATATGGCCTGCGTACCACGTTCGGTAATCGATGTCCGGGCTTACAGCGGCACTGGTAGCCACCGCGCCGGAACCCGTATCCGTCCAGCGGCTCACACTGAAAACACGGCACAGAGTCAGCTGACAGAACCCGTACACACACGACCGGAACCCGTACCCGTACGGCGGCTCACACTGAAAACACGGCACAGGGTCAGCTGACAGAACCCGTACATACACGACCGGAACCCGCACCCCGTCCAGCGGCTCACACTCCAGCGGAACCCGAAACACAGGGGCAGCTAAGTAAGAAAGTACCGTACACAATACTGACCGCACAATGCACAATAACAACCATACACAATACTGACGGAGCCCGCACATCACCAGTGAGCATTTCCCCGCCGAGATCGCACCTAGCAGCAGCCGACTGGCGTGTCTACCACCTATCATTACACTGGTCATCCACCACTCACCTCCGTCGTGTCCTTTTTACACCGGGCCGTGTCGGCGAAATGGTTCGGACCCAAGTTTCCTTCGCCGAGTGGACATTGATTTATATCTATTCGTTCAAAGTCCATTTCAATGACGGCCACGGCAGTGTAGCTGAAATCGGAGAGCCGGGAGTTGGTTGGTACCGTCACTCCCGTTGGTCGGTGCAGTTCAGCGAATTCACAGTCAGTTGATAATCAGCGAGTGGGAAACATGTAATTATTGAGCACAGCAGGGCTGGGAAAAGCGGACGGAGACGGCCACTGGGGGAAAAGAGACACGAGGGGACGGACATGGTGGGTGAGGTGGGATGTATAGCAGTGGAAGATACAGCGGAAGAAGGAGAGGGAGACCCGGAAGAGCCTCACTCACGTCGGGTACTCGATGTGCCGGAAGCCGGTGTGCCGATGGTAGAGGTCGACAATAGGAACGGCCGCCCCCATGATCCACTTGTTGGAGCGGCCGCAGTCAAAGTAGGGCTGGGTCCAGTTGACAGGGCCGGGCGTCTCGTCGGCGGCTAGTGGCACGGAAAGGCACGGCCGTCAGACCCGCGCCCCGGTACTTACCCTCGGCACATATAACAGCACGCATGACCGGAGTACACCGCTGCATACACACACAATGACGGCTAACGAGTAACCACTGCGGTAACGGCAAACAGTGAGTCGCCACCAGCACAGCGCAGGAAAACAATATTATCAAGACCAATCGCAGCACAATGTCCACCGGGCAGCCCGTGAAACGTGTACGTGTCGTTTGTGTCGTACTCACCGGGCGGGCCGTGAAACGTGTACGCGTCGTTTGTGTCGTACTCACCGGGCGGGCCGTGAAACGTGTACGTGTCGTTTGTGTCGTACTCACCGGGCGGGCCGTGGAACGTGTACGTGTCGTTTGTGTTGTTGGCGTAGCGTATCTTCACTGTGTACGTGGTCTTGGAGGCCTGGGTCTGACGCCGGTCCGGCAGCCATTTGTAGTACCTGCCGACCGGGTGGGTACAGACAGAGGAGGAGGGAACAGTCACAAAGTCGCGGTGGGAATCACCTGCGCACAAAAAGGACGACCCGACTGACGGAGAGCTATGTAGAAACCATACTTGGAACGTCCATACGACCAGAGCGGTGACCCGACGGGTACCGAATCGTTGGTTAATCGTTCTTAAGAGTTTTAGCCAGAGTTCGGTCTTAGCCCGCTTCAATTAAATTTGTGCCAGTCAGTGGCTTTAGTTAATTTAATCCGATTTAAACAAGTCAAAAAACATATAAAGGCCAGTTAAATCCAGCAACAATAGTAAACAACCAAGCACAAGGAAAAACGTAAAAAATCTAAACATAACAGCTGCTGGTTTCCTATTCAAATAGGCTCATCTGCTTCTCAGGCAGTTGGCGAAAGGAAAGGGTCGCGGGTGAGATCTCATTCATATCTATGACATTCATATGCAGAAGGCGCACTGCCGTTCAGCCCCATCCTAAGCCAATTGTCATGACCTTGATAGCAAATTGTAGCCGTGATGGTTAAGCAGATGCAGCACATGTTTTGCTTGTTACTTCTTCCCAGTACACCTCATGAAACATGCATACATATTGTGCATTGCAAATTTGTTGCTAATAAGCTAGGTACCCAGCACTGCAGAGGCGCATTTACTATGACTCATAGTTTGAGTGGTTCTAGCGTAGTTATCGGACTAAAAGATATTTATTCAATAAAATACTGGACACTCAAACCTGTGCTTGACTGGGAGCAGAGTTCCTGTAAAATTGTGAACAACTGAAGTTTACACCGCGACAGCGTTCTATAACAAACCCCTCTCAATCTTGCAACAGCCAACAGCCATGACTGACCAGCGATTGATGCGGTACTCCTCCTTGGTGTAGTTCTTGCTCTGTCGAATCTTCTCGAAGGCGCCCAGGTCCGACACCTCGAACGTGTTCAGTGTGGAGATACGCTCCAGGTGGAACGGGTAGTTGTAGTCGTCCGCCCTGTGGATATGGCGCCGGTCAGACGGGACGACGGCGCGCACCATCGCACAGCGGGGAACACAGCAAAAAACAAGTACATACGCATCACACATCACGAGCTCAGCAGTTGAAACGACGGTCGGCGCATTAGCACCCTCAAACTCAAACAGGCAGGCCAATACTAGACTGCAGTGTTACGGAACGTAGCGGGCCCGCACCTGTGCCGACCACTCACCGGAAGGCGCGCGGCGCGAACAGCGGGAACGTCTGGTTGAAGTTGGACGTGAAGGAGGGCGAGTAGGAGGTGTTGGGCGCGAAGTAGATGGCGCTGGCGTTGATGTAGGGGCTGCTGCTGAGGTCGGCCACCACGGAGAGGAAGTAGTACATCATGCCGGGGTCCAGCTCGGACTGATCCTTGCCCTCCTGGGTCGGCCGCTTGTACCTGTAGCCGCACAAGAGCTGGTGAAAAGGCGCCGGTCGGCGAGCGAGTAACGGCTCCACGGACCCGGCAATACGCAGACAAGTCGAAACCACGAAAAACAGGCAGGTTCTCCTCTTGTCCACCGTACCCAAGAGATAAAAAGGAACCCTTCTAACAGTGAGTAAAACTGAATTGGTGAAGCTGTGATACATGTCCTGGCTCATAAACACCAGATCAAAGAAAAGGCTAACAATGCAACTTGAACAAAATCAAACATTTCATAATGGTACACAGCCTGAGATACATATATCACTTTGCGACTGTGAGCTGCAATAGCTGAAGGTCGTGTAGGCCCAGATAAATAAGTGGCGAGCGTCACTGCATTGCAAATGCTCCTGATTTGTGATGCGGTGTGTGCACCGCTGGTGCCCCAAACCGGAACGGTTTGGATAATGGATATGCGAGTAGGAGCGACAGAGGCGAGCGCCCCGTGCTCACCCAGCCGAGAAACGCGGAGCGCCGGCCTACCTGCTCTGAATGACGTAGCTGTAGAAATAGCCGCGCGACAGCACCAGGTTGTGCAGGTACAGCATGTGCGTCCGGTTGGGCAGCACCGGGTTGATGTTGATCTCCTTGATGTCCGGCTTGTGCGACACGGCGTCCTCGGGCATGAACAGCTCCGGGAACGGCAGCAGCTCGCAGTTTTCCGCGCGCACCCGCTTGAACTTCTGGTCGATCATGTCAAAGTTGTCCTGCGTCTGCCAGTCGAACTGGGCCGCCACGGCGCAGAGGTAGACCAGCGCACAGGCGGCTGGCACTTGCCAGCGGCGGACGCCACCCGCCACTGCCATTATACCTGCGGACATGCACTTGCTTAAATACCTAGTTTTGTAAAGTTTTGTTACTGTCTAGTTAACCATGCTATGATGATTTTCGGTATTCAGGATTGATTATTGTCCCTCCCACTGCTGTTGGTTTAGGATGAAAAGCAGAGATCCAAGCATTCCTTTACACTGGCAGATCTAGAAAGGCAGTCTTGGAGGGGCATACCCCAAAAATACTCCAATTTCCAAAGAGCCATCAGATTTCAATTCTTTACGCACTGCCGTGCAGTTTGACACAAAATTTCTAACATAAAAGTTGTTTCGATTTCTTTTTATTCTCGAAAAAAAAACTCGTCGATTTGGAGAGCCGCGGGAGGGGAAGGGACATTTGCACCACGTTTAAGGCCGGAATAATTTATTATGCGCCGAAATATTAGGCCCAGCTGGGGCCTAATATTTCGATCATTCTTCTTTATCCCTGTGAATACCTACTCAACAAGCTTGTCAGGAATAGGTCCTAGTTCCTAATAATCTGTGCTTAACCCTCGCCGGACCTATTGGTTTTCTACATAGGGGAGAGTGGGGAAAGATGCCCAGGGTTTTACTATGTCATATATTATTCGAAAATGACGATCGGAAAGCAAAAACTTGGAGTTTCAACGGAAGCCGACATCATTTTTCTCCAAAAATATCACACTTTCGTGCCTGAAATATGATAACTTTTTTTGCTATTAAGCATTTTCCTGAAGAAGTCAAAGGGGGCATCTTACCCCACAGGGTGGGAAAGACGCCCCCTGGCGTTGGGGAAGATGCCCCCTGCACTATAAGTGACATAAATGGGCACGTGAATCGCCTGAACGAATCAGTAGTCCCTTCGAGCCTGCAGTAGACACCAAACGTCATCGTAAGGGCCCTCAAAAGTGGTCGTAAGGTGCTTCAGAGGTCATCGTTAGGGTCATCATAGTCCAGCGCGGCCAAACAAGCCTCCGTGGTGGCGTTCGGAGACCACTGTGGGGCCCTTATAGGTCTTCATGATGCTTGAGGGCCCTCGAGCCCATCGTGGGGACCTCAGATGCCAGCGCGGCCCGTGGAGCCAACGTGGGAGCCCTCAAAGGATATCGTGAGGGGCCCTGGAGCCAATAATGGGACCCACCGAGGCCGTCGTGAGGGCTCTCAGAGTCAGATGCCGCCCAAAAAGTCGCTGTGTGGGCCGAGAGACCGGCATGGGGAGCACCCGACCGTACTGAACTCTCAATAGTCCCAGACCGGCTTTTGTCTCTCATCACAAGCATGTAATAAATGATTTGACGGGCTGCTTGAAGGACAGCCTACGGATTTAGGGGGGCGTCTTTCCCCATCAGGACAGGGGGCATCTTACCCCAAGGTACCGAAGTAACATTAAATCAGTACAATATGTTAGCCATAAAACTACACCCTGAAGGCTGAAACAAACTGTTTGGGACACAGTACACGCATGTTAATGTATCACGACTATATCAAGGGACGCAAAAATTATCTACCTTCTTTGATATTTACAATGTTTTAACACCAAAATATTTTTCGAAAGCAGCAAATAAAAAACATGCATTCACCAGCCAGCCGTTGCCCAACTGAGCTTCGCAAATTTTTGTGCAGTTAACAAGGCAGGCTTCCGCTTTACGCTAAGAACATTAATTTCCGGGTTCAATTCTTTGTTTCGCCGCTAGAGGGGGTGGGGCGTCTTTCCCACCCTGGGCATCTTACCCCACTCTCCCCTACGCACCGGCCGAGGGGGGGGGGGGGCGGGTACGACCCTCCTCGCCGTTTCGCCCCTGGTGGAGCTAGCGCGTCGCGGAAAAAACGAGCGTGTGCGCCGTTATGAGACGCAGAGATTGGTGCCCGATTTTAAGGTCCTAGGTCAACCGGTGACCTCTGAGGTCGGGTCAAGTGCCCCAAGGTACGGTTCAGTTTTTGGTGAATAACTTCGCAAAAACGGCCGTAGAACCGCGATTTTGGCAGCATCGTGTTCGCCTCGCTCAGGCGCGTTGAATGATATACTTTTTGTTCGGGTCAGGTCAACTTTCAATTACTTTAAAGTAATTGAAGTAATTGAATCGATTGAATTGATTGAAAGTAAAGTAACTTTCAATTACTTTACTTTAAAGTAAAGTAAAGGTTGGTAAGTTGGTAGGTAGGTTGTAGGTTGGTAGGTTGGTAGGTAGTTCTGCAAATTATTTTGATTTCAGACAATTGAAAATAATATGAGGCCTGGTCGGTATCGGCTGCTGTGCTGTTGTCAGCTGAGATCCAAGCCCATGATTGGTTGAGATCTTGATGACATATCACACCCTCCCGCGCTGTGACATCATACCTCTGCAGACAGCCGACTTTTCGGCTGCTGGGAGAGGGCAGCAGCACGTCAGCCGAAATTCAAAGTGGCTCGAAAGTGGCGCATGTATAAGTCAAAGAGCAGCTTTATAGTGCAGGTAGTTGTTTTTATGTACGATGTTTTGACATATTTTGCATTTAATATTTTTCGCGAAAGATAGTAATTATTTCTTTTTCATGGCGCAATGTGCGAGTCAGCCTGAAAACAGTATCTACAAATCGAAATGCCAGTACCGCCTCAATTATCAATCCTGTAATTTTGTCTATAGCCTCGGCAAATAAACCTTAGAAATATAATGTAACAGAAGATAGGAAGTCGTTGAAAAAAACGTGAAAATGCTACCTCTCAAGTCTCAACCCTATCTGTCAAGCGCCATCTTTGGCTGACATTTCAATTTCCTGTCAGCCGATTATGAACAAGCCCATCAGCAGCGCGGTGTGGGCTGGGCCAGGGCTTATTCTCGACAGACAAAGTTCTGTCAGCCGATTCCGACCAGGCCTAAGGAAAATCAAGAGGTAGGTAAGTACCCGTCTCAATCTGCATTTACTACCAGTAGGTAGGGTAGGTAGATTCCATGACGGTTTTTCGTCCAGCAGATTTTCGTCGGACAATTTTTCGTCCGCAGATTTTCGTCCGACTTTTTTTCTTCTCGCATTTTTTCGTCTGTACATTTTTTCGTCTGTGCATTTTTTCGTCTGTACATTTTTTCGTCTGTACATTTTTTCGTCCGGACATTTTTTCGTCTGTACATTTTTTCGTCTGTGCGTTTTTTCGTCCGGACATTTTTTCGTCTACAATTTTAACGTAACGTAACCTAACCTAACCTAACCTAACCTAACCTAACCTAACCTAACCTAACCTAACCTAACCTAACCTTACCTACTGATGTTTGCCTACCGGGGGATAAGGAAAAAGTTACTTGCATGAATAGATTGCAAGCAATGGTAAGTCAAATATTTTTAGGTTAAGTGGTTATGCATCAGGCTTCAGGCCTTCGGCCTGAAGCCAGATACACAACCACTTAACCTAAAAATATTTGACTTACCATTGCCTGTAATCTCTCCTAAGGCATTGCCTTCGGCACTGCACTGCTTCGCCCCGAGTATTATTATGACGTCATTTGCCTCCACAGTTGAATAGCATTGTAGTATGTTTTCACTCAACCTTGGGTGAACAGGCGTAAAATTTATGGAACGAAAAAATGTCCGGACGAAAATATGTACAGACGAAAAAATATACGAACGAAAAAATGTCCGGACGAAAAAATGTACAGACGAAAAAAGGTACAGACGAAAAAATGCACAGACGAAAAAATGTACAGACGAAAAAATGCGAGACGAAAAAAAGTCGGACGAAAATCTGCGGACGAAAAACTGTCCGACGAAAAAATGTCAGACGAAATTTTGTCCGGACACGGGGTAGGTAGGTACCTCACAAGGCGCTATCTCTGTACCTACCTTGTTTAGCAAGGTCTGCAAACAAGTCTCCCTTTCAGTCTCAATGAGGGAGCTTAAAATGGATCAACAGCCTCCACGAAAAATAAAAAAGTGTTTGGACTTGGTTTAGCCTGCGCGACTGTCGCGGTGACAAATCACACATTGATCACAAAGCGCACAGCTAAGCGACACAAAATTTACGACCAACACCCAAAAAGTTACTTGCGATTCATAATTACATGTACTGCTGTTCGACAATGATCCCATTAAGTCCGCCAAATGATGTCTGAACGAGTTACCTAGCAACCTGGATAAATAGAAGGAATCTTTTTGAATTTTGCGACCAGTTGCCTGGTTACTCGCATTACATCGTGTTCGGTAATGATTTTGAACACGGTACTTCCTGAATTGTAGCCATGATTGCCGCAAATGATGGAAGGTGTAGGCAGCTAAAATAGTTTTCGTGTTCGAACTTATGGATATTTAATATGCATTGCCAATATTATTTCGAAACTGGCCTTCATTCAGTCATATGAATTCAATACGAAACTCATTCAATATGAGATTGTCAATAGCAAGGGCATGCGAATTGGTGCAGGAATGGAGATATTGATGTAGGTGGGTGGTATTTATGTTAGATGCTTCTCGATTGCTATCGATGATCGGATTACGCCTTGTCGAAGAATCGGATGATCGGATTGTTCAGCTGAATAAGAAATCCAAGAGTAGGTATTGACCGTAAGACACTACCAACCGTTGCATCGAGGTCCAAGAAATCTCAGGAACCATCAAAACCTAAAATCCGCATATTCGGACGTTCGGCAATGGTTATGTAAGCGTCAAGCGATAATCAGGCCTCTCGGCAAGACCGTAGGATTCCGGATCGACCAGGTGATGGACGCAGTGGATCATTTCAGAGTACCAACGTCCTCGATAGTCGATAGAGACACTACCTAGTACCTGCTGCATCTCCCATGTCCAGCGGTCTTCCCAGCAAGCTGTCGCACAGGAGCAGTGTCGACCGCCCCCACGAATCTCACGGGCATTGTCTGAGCCCGCTTAAAAATAACATCTGAAATCTTAGAGACATCTGCAATTTGTCTGCAATCTGCATAACGGGCGATTGATGGCAAAAAGTATATTAAAATTTTTAATCGCTTTGAACGGCACGTCCTCATTATCTACTCCACGCAACATCTTTGCTGCATAATGAAACATCAATTGAAAACAAATACAGCCAAAGTCGAAATACAATATTGTACACAAATGTTTGTTGTCCGACAACGTAACGTTGTCATATGGGTCGTGACATCTTGTAACTGTTAATACCGGAAGCTGCCATTTGATGCGGCCGACATAGGTGCTAGCGGCTAATAGGTGCGCCGTCCACGATCACGAGCCGTGTAGGTATTTTTGCAGCCATGGCGAGTCCTCGTACAGCTCAGGATCGCATAGCTCCAGTGCTGTCCTCTTGTAAAAGTAGTAGTGCAGGACCGATACTGAAACATATAATGAGGATGAGGCAAGACAATCATATACTGTACAAAAGGACGTCTACTTTTTAGATATTTTACGCACTGAACAGCGTGGCTTGAGCGACGCATTGCGTAAATACCTATTGCAAATCATATACTGTACAAAAGGACGTCTGCTTTTTAAATATTTTACGCACTGAACAGCCTGGCTTGAGCGACGCATTGCGTAAATAGTAAATACCTATTGCAAAGGCCGGGGTGTTATCGACGATGTCACAGCTCGATTAAAGAGATTGATGTATCGTGATCGTAAAGTAGTGCAATAATTACCTTCAGATGTGCTACATCGGAACGATGCCTTATTGATTTAAAAAAGGCGAAAAAATATACGACGCATCACGTCGTGTTAATATCCTAATCCACCAACACTATAATATCCCCGGTTCCCCCGTGTCGTAGCCCAGTGGCGCTGACAGCGGTTCGCGTCAGCGTTCCTCACCGATCCTGTGCACTGAGTAGAGGGCCAGCAGGCCGGGCGTCCAGACGACCAGGTACGGGTCGGCCCACTGGCGGTCCAGGCTCCACGAGTGCAGACCCACGCTCAGCGCCAGGTAGGCGGCGTTCAGCGCCAGCGTGGCCCGGAATCTGGTCAGCAGCACGCCCACCAGGCCCGCCTGCCGTGCACGGCCGCCGGACTCAGTAGGTATTCGTGATTGGATAAGACAGTACACAACAGTACCTTGCGAGGTTCACGGCAGCCTGCGATCGTATCAGTCGAAGTTAACGCCATGCGGCTCAAACAGATACGGGTAAGTAACTTGTCTCCTTTAGGCATGACAGACAATTTAGAAATCAAAACATTTCGCGGCTACTGACCTGAAAAACGTATGTACTGACGAAGTTGAGAAAAACGACGATCAGCGAGAACACTAGCGCCACATCTTGTATGCTGAAATCAAGACAAAGTTGAACATTGGTCACAAGAATGATGGGTTTGCGCTATCACCAGCGTCCAGCGGTCACAGCTCGGATTGAAAGGAGCAGGGGCAGTTGGCGAGGTGGATGTTCAACTCCAGGTCATGCACTGCCACGACCGTTGTGCTGGAAAACCGGGTCCAAAAGACACCCCGATTCCCATGATCTTCCCTCTCTCTGTGGCGCCCGACGCCCGTGAAAGATACAATGACACCTCATCTTTTGCCGGTGATAATTAGTGTCCCACCCTCCGCTGCACTGGCTGACAGGTATCGGAGTACTACAGTTCTGCGGATATCCCGGGTCGATATCAGTCGATCGATAACGGCCTACACCGGGGGTCTCGCGATGTGGCCATATAAGCACAAAGGGAAGTAACAATCCAAATATATGCAGCAGTCTCCGAAATCGTGAAACGGAGAGGCGGCGAGGGGAGGGAGTACCTACCTCTGCCTTCTTGGGGGAATACAAGAGTGACGGACAGTGTCAGTGACTCGTGAGTAAGAGGGATGGAGAGAAGGCGACAGATGGAGGAGAGAGCGATGAGATGAGGGGAAGAGAGACAGACAGACAGACAGACAGACACAAATTACAGCATGCAATTGTAGACTTATTAGTAGGGCCCTTCTTCGTACTTACATGAATAAGATGAGTCTCAAGACGTTTTCCATACGCACTGTGTCAGCAACGATATTGAATATCAAATCGGCAAGTATGAACAAAGTTTGCACTCCTAGCATGTAGGTGTATTTGCTGATTGGAACCGGCATTATGATTGACTGCCGCCTCCCTTGTAAAATGTGATTACAGCCCGTCTGTGTGCAGTGTGCACACTGCACACGAATCTTAAGTAGCCTCGAGAATTTATGAACACAGATGTTCGCACTTAAAATTGATATTAACACTCAGACAATGATCCCACAACGGGCTCCGTAGTCCGTACGGCCTCACCACGCTAAACTGAGCAACCGTCGGCTGACGGGCTGACGCCAGCTGTTGTCCGTTTGTTTTGGACGGTTGCTATGGGAACCGCGCTCCACGAAGCGGAGGAAGCCCTGTCCATGGCCGTCCCTGTACTCATACGCTGGAGTGTTATGTGCACAACTCATGCGTACACTGTACAGGGACTCGAATGTATAGCCTGCTTAGAAGGCCGTGTAAGCAGGCTCTTATACGTCCCTGCATATACGCACGCTAAGTACAAGTGCATGCTCTCAGTGCCATGGCGATTATGAGGGTACACTTGGACACTTGGCAGCGTAGGTCAGGACTGGAAATGCCCTGAAAGTGTGTGTTTCGGTCGCCTCAACTGGGCCCCTGAATTCCATCCGGTAGACAAGTGTTATATCGAAGCGTATTGAGTCATATCGTGTTTCAAATGCCCTGTGCATGTCCCATTTCGTCCCAGATCATATGTCACAATGCCGAGGTAATGTTCGCCCTACGCCCGCTTGATCCAAGATTTGAGCGGAGCAGACAGAGATCATACATACAGGAGCAGGAGGATAGTCTGAGTGCACGTTACCGAGTACGGATAGCGGAGGTGTTTCGGCGGCGGCGCGCGTCATCTACGGCAGGTGATGCTGCTGGATCCGGAGAGCCACCCGGCGCACTTTCCGATGAGTTGCGATACGTTTGAGGTCCTGACAACTGACTCGTCCTTCCATCACCCGAGTCCCGGCCGGGCATCTGCAGGCGCTGGGAAGCCAGTCGGGTGGGCCCGGCATCTGGCCGCCTCGCTAGGCTAGCTCGCCTCCCGGATGAAATCAGCAGGACAGGAATGTGTAAATACCAGGAAATAATCAGAGAACGAGCTATATTTGATAACACAGAACGAAGCTTCTATTGAGTAATGCAATCAACAAACAAAAGACGAGCCCAAACACCTCCCCACCACCGTCACTGTTCGGACTGATAGTCTCACACGCTTAGCACGGCCTTGACTCTCGATCACATGGATGGCAGAAGTACAACGATAATGTAGCCACAACATTTCACTGACACGACTCTCACCACGCCGGACTGATATAATGGCCGCCTGACGCGATGTGTATGCATGGACATTGGACATCTCAACCGTTTGAAATACTTTATACATAAGGGCAGATTGCGGAATCCAAATATCTATATAAGTAACTGGAATACTGTACCAGGGATTAACCATGGGCTAGCGTAGATCATTCAAAGATAGAGAATCTTTAGTGTAAATCTACACATATTTCAGCTAGTTCATCCCGCTATGGGTAAATAAAAAATATCGAAGCGAATCCCGCGGTGCTAGCCTTACCAACGAAAATTGTCATGAAGCTCGAAAATGGGCGGAAAATCTTACTCACTGTAGTGCCTGAAAGAAATCGCCAATCCAGGAATTTCGATTATTTTATCCTTTTTTACCGCAGCATTTCCATTTGAAGGCTGTTCTCTCCATGAATGCATGCTACAGGATTACACAAGGGATACTAACGCGTTTCAGCCATGCTATTGTCACATCCTCATTTCACCTAAAGATTAAACAGCCTTACCGCCGAATGCAACACCTTGGGTGTTACTCCAGAGGTCTTAATATTTAGAAAAAATAATTACTCCTCAGTACCTACTATCTGTACACTGTACAGTTGTATACCAACCGCCCGTCGGTATTTTTTCCGCGATTAACAGCAACGCCTCGTCAGTCCGGCTTAGCGGAAGCCCGGCTTTATCACGAAGTTCTCAAAGTCCATAGCATGACTCCACCTAACCACTCTTATTTACTGTGACCGCTTAGTCATTTTATCTCTGTCACAATACTGCACTCAGCGGGTGGTCGTTTCGCCCCTGGCACCGGCTCAGTCGGTGTTAACCTTTGTTTCAGGCCTAACCCCTGTCTCTAATCTTCACTCTGTGCCCTTTCTAGCTCCGTGGTGTGAAACCGCACTCCGGTCAGCTGAGCACTGAGGTCCCACAGACTATCCATGGCGCGCTCGTCCTGAGCCACAGGGGCGTACTGGGCACGCTTGCAGTCGACGTACATGTGACCCGACTCCTTTTCCAGATCCTCGGAAATGGCGCAGTTGAGCTGCGTCTGCACGCCCTGGCCTACGGTGCGCATGAACAGGAACATTATTGGCAGGGCGGGGATCATTTTCAGCCAGGAGAGTCGCGAGTGTCGAGACAGGCCGGTGTACACCCACCCGGGACAGCACGAGTACACGTGCACGCCGCTCCCCTCGAGCAGCCGCGCCAGCCGGCGGCCGAACAGCACGTTGCACAGCTTAGAGTTGGCGTAGGCCGGGTTTAGGTAGCCCTCCTGTTTGAGGTTGTCGCCGTTGGCGATGTGCGCCAGGTCGAAGCGGCCGTTCTTGTACAGACCTGAGGCGACTATGACGATGCGCGAGGACGTACCCGTCTGGAGTCGATCCAACAGCAAGCCCGTCAACATAAAGTGGCCCAGGTGGTTGACACCGAAGTGGATCTCGTAGTTTTGGGCGGTGCGCTTGTGCGCCTCCACCGGATAGACGACGCCGGCGTTATTCATCAGCACATCCAGACGGCTGAACTGCTCCTTGAAGTGACGAGCGAACGATTTGATAGAATCGAAGTCGGCGAGGTCCAGCTCCATCGGAATCTGCAACAAACACCAATCGACATATTATGGGAGAACTAACGGCCCATTAATTTTGGTACAGCCGCAGTGCTTTTATCACCAGTTCAATTACCGCAATAACAAAACAGCTTGCAGTGGTAACACATCAAGGGAAAGTAAAAACGCAAAGGCTACCCGGGCCCTGTGTGCGGTCGGACCGCACACAGCCTCCAAGCTCCGCCCACTGCGTCCCTACGTCAGCCTTCCGTCACCGCACACAGCGATCGCTGTGGCCGGTCGGGACTGGCCACAGGGCACAGCGGACCGTCCACCGCACGCAGCCGTGACGTCAGAGCCGCCTACCCATCCCCTACCCCCACGCCTGCTGGACGCACCGCACACACCGCACGCAGCGGTGTGCGGTGCCCGTGAACACCCCTCCGGTTACTCACTGGTTCACCGGTAGGTATTTGGGCTGAGCGTTAAACATACTTTAGTAGATGGCGACACCGCGCTCTGAGATTTAGGCTGGGGGGATCCATGTGATCGCAAGGCACCTCGCAGTTGCGATCAAACGTAAGTTGAATCGGAACAGATATTGGAGGGATCCATCACATCGTAGGCTAAGTAGATACGCAAGTTGTATCGCAAATGGTGAAGATACGAACTAACTTTACGAATCTTCTCGGTCGATCGGAAGGCCGATCGTAGCGAAGCTTTACCTCTTTCTCAAGAGAAAAATATAAGAAATTTTCAAAATTTTCACAAAACCGAAATATATGTTAAACAAATATGGTTGATGAACACGTGTGCAAAATTTGAAGTCGATTTCTTCAAAAATGGCTGCGCTAGAGCGTTTTAAATTTACACGTTGAAAACGGTCACTTTCACGCCATTTTTGTTATCACTTTTTTCAATTTTGAAATTTAAAAAGTGTTTTGGGCAATTTTTCGCGTTAATTGCGAAAATCTGACCAAAACATGTATCGCACCATCAATGATCCGATACGCCATCAGAGGCCGCGCCGCGGACAGGTGGGCGCGGCGATACCTAGGCCGCGTGGGGGTTACACTGGTGTTCGGGAAGGGCTATGTCAACGCGAGGCAGGCCGCGGGGGAGCCGGTTGCGGCGCCGGTCCGTATTTGTCGGCGCCTAGCAGTGCAGCGGTGCGTTTATGGCGGAGGGAGGGGAAGCGGTGTAGTGTCGGCAAGGCCGCACACAGGAGAGGGCACACGGGCCTCCCCCCATTCGAGTTGGGGCCCCTAATCTTTAGACCGCCGAAGACCATGTAAAATGAACTGAAATAATGATTGAAAAGACCGGGAGGGCCCATCTCGTTCCCCAGCAGGCCCATACGAGTCCATAAATGCCCAGTAGCGCAGCCAGGGGTATTGTGGTGAAATTGTAATGGCCCTCAAAAGACCTCAAAGGGCCCACAGATGGGGTCACCGGGTCCTCAGATGGTCTCGAAGGGCCCTCGGTTAGCGTCAAATGGCCCTCATCTGGTGTCAAAGGGCCCTCAGATGGCCAAATGAAGGGCCACAAGATGGCCTCAAAGGGCCCTCAGATGGGTTCAAAGGGCTCTCAGCCAACGTTAAACCTACCTCAGAAGACCTTAAAGGGCGTCAAAGGGCCCTAAACCTGCGTCAGAGGGCCCTGAGCTCGCGTCAAACGACCCTCCGAAGGCCTTAAAGAGTCCTTAGCTTGTGTCAGAGGGCCCCCAGCTGGTGTCAGTGAGCCCTCCTCAGCTGGCGCCAAAAGTCCATCTGAAGGCCTCAAACGGTCGTCAGCTGGAGTACAACGGTCCTCAGATGCCGTCACGGCCCTCAAAAGTCTCAAGGAGCCCTTATAAGGTCTCAAAGGGCCCTCATTTGGCCTCAAAAGGCCCTCCGCTAGCGTTAACCGGACTTCAGAAGGCCTTAAAGGGCCCTTATCTGGTGTCAGAGGGCTCCCAGCTAGTGTTAGAGGGCCCTCAGTTGGCGCAAAATGGCCATCAGAAGGCCTCAAACGGTCCGTAACTGGAGTCCAACCGCAACGGTCCTCAGGTGGCGTCAAGCGGCCCTCAAAAAGCCTCAAAGGCCGCTTAGAAGGCAGCAAAGGGCCCTCATATGACCCCAAAGGGTCCTCTGCTGGCGTCAAACGGACCTCAGAAGGTCTCAAAGGGCGTCAAAGGGCCCTGAGCTCGTGTCAAATATAAAAGCGCCCTTAGCTGGTGCCAGGAGGCCCCCAGTTGGTGTCAGCGTGCCCTCAGCTGGTGTCAGAGAGCCCTCAGTTGGCATCTACTGGCCATCAGAAGGCACCAAACGGTCCTCAGATGGCGTCCAACGGTCCTCAGCTGACGTTAAGAGGCCCTCAAAAAGGCCTCAAAGACCCCTCGGCTGCTGAAGAGGCCCTTAGCCTCAAAGGAAACTCAAGAGACGTTAAACGGCCCTAAAAAGGCTTGAAAGGGCCCTCTGCTGGTGGCAAAGGGCTCGCATATGACGTCAATAACAGCTTTGTCAAAAACGGACCTGAGAGACCTTGCCGGTCCCTGGTTATAAGGGACTCCTGTCTCTTGCAGTAACCTGAGTGGCCCACGTTTACTGAGGGGCCCCTGGTTATTGAAGGAGTCCCTGATTACTGGAAGGACCCCTGGTTATCAGAGGGTTCCCTGGTCACCTGGTGGGTCCCTGATCAATTGAAACCTCCCGATCATCTGAGCGCCCCCTGATTGCCTTGGTCTTGGCGTTGGCGTACAGTTTAAAGTCGTCGGCACACTGCGGCCTCCTCTTTCTCAACAAGTCCCTCTATTTCTTCTGCAGCGAGGGCGATTTCGTCAAAATACTCCTGCATCGCGAAGCCTCGTGCGCAGACGCAGTCTTCGGGGCGCTCGCTGCGCCAACTCTTGACGCCAACTGACGGGCTCCAAATGGAACAGATGGACTCCGAAACGAACATGGGAATGCCGACACATGATCCCTCCAAATTTACAGAGGAGGAGATGTCCCTGACAGCCTATTTGCAATAAGTGTCACTTTTACACTATAGACGTATGGGGAATTCGACCTTATCGACATGGTACTACGAGGTCAGCTGATCTGTTTGGCATTTAAATCGTAGTAAAACTGGCATTTAAACGCTGCGAAACAACTTACGTACAACGTAGCTCCGATTTGCCGCTCTTTCTTTTTCATCCCTCCGATTTTCTTCCGATCAAGAGAAGTTTCGTACCGAGAGAAGTTTCGCAGCCACGTCCGATATAACTTACGATAGCACGGATCCCCCCAGCCTTAGTGCGGCCCTTTCTCGCCAGGTGCCCTTTCTCGCATTGGTTACATAATGCGTGGACGAATGCTAGCGGACTTATGTAATCATGCCGGTCCAGTAGTTTGTTGATTTTTCACTCGATATCACCGTAGTGTATCGTATTGCCTGCATTAGCTTGCATTGTGACATGCTACATTGCAATTAAAAAATATTTATCAAATATATCTCATTAATAGGCGCAAAAAGCATAAAAAAACACTTCCTATCCAATTAGCTTGAATAGCTTGGATATTGGATAGAGCCGGAGGTCAAGCTAAGCACCATGGCAAAGCAGAGCTTATTGCGCAGGCCGCGACCCTACCATGTGATCGGGCAATTCCAGGTAACGGGAGAATTTAATTGTCACAGTTAAACGTAGTGCCTATCACCCGTCACCGTCAAGACACGGCCAATCCGATCCAATCGACTTCAACCATTGATCTTCAACCAACTGACTGAGGTCTGTCCCCACCAGCCTCGGACCATCCCCGTCATGAGTCTCGTATATCGTGCGCCTGAGCGGCTCGAGCCAGCGCTTTCACCGCCGGGAGTCCAACGCTCTACCAACTGAATATCCACGGGAAAGGCTTTAAGTTTTAACACCCTCGAATTCCATTCTCCTTCCCTCCCCTGCTGCTGCTTACCAGCTGTCCGTTCTGCGTGTGCCTCCGAATTTTCTGCAGCGCCTCCTCTGCCTTTTTCATGTCGCGGCATGCCATGACGACTGCGGCACCGCGCTCAGCCAGCAGGCGCGTGCTCTCGAGGCCGAGCCCGCTGTTGGCGCCAGTCACCAGCACCACCTTGCCGGTCATGTCGCGCTGGCTGGTGCACCGGCCCCACTGTCGCACCCGCCACCGTCGCACCAGGTACAGGCCCACGGCTACCGCGCCTGCCGCGCACAGGTACGACGGCAGACCCATCGTGCAGCGCAGATGACTCTTCGTCCACTACCTGCCAATAAAATTGCATGGTTAGTATGAGTAGTAAAGTTATCTTGGTTAGTATGTCATGTACAGTGGGTCTACAAAATAAGTTCCCGCCGTATGCGGGTCACCAGTGGGCAGTTAGCGCCTGAGCGCTACTCGGGCGCCACCTGCCCGCATACGAAGAGGACTTATTTTGTAGACCTACTGTACACTGTATAGTAAGGTGACATATCCATGGTCGGAGAGGAGGAGAAGCTTGCTTGCAACATTTTTCAACCCAGTTGGTTATAAAGAGGAAGTTAGTTCTCTTAATATCTAGGTCAACTTTTTGTTTGTTATACTTAAAGTTTATATAGGTATGTAAAACGTGCACTTTGAGTCAAACTAAGGTTATGATGTGTTAGTTCAGGTGACCTAACTCTGAGTTAAGTCAGGTCAGGTCAGGTTATGTAATGTAATGTTTATTTCATCTCTTCTGGTTGAAATAACTGTACGAAGACCTGTCCAAACAAAATTTGTCATGGAATTCTTGAAAGCCCATAACCACAAACTTGTTTAGGTTGTTTTGTTGGGTTAAGCCCTTTCGGTCTGACAAGATCACTTCAGAGCTGGAAGGATGACAGGAATTAGGAAGAGACATTGGTCTCTGGGCAGGAACCTAACCCTAGTGAATTGCTGGGGCTGAGCCCATGCCAAAGCGATTGGACAGGCCGCCCCCAGCCCCCAAGCGGCAAGCACTCACTGCACCTAACTACAGGTGTGCTCCAATGGAGCTGTCCGCATGAGATTAAGTTACCCGTCCAGCCCGGATCGGAGAGTAGAGGCGTTGGTTGAGAAGGATTCGACCCCCTAAGGATGGAAACGACGGAACGGTGAAACCCACAACCGCATTCAGCATTGGCATGGCTGAATTTAAATTGGCACGTACAACACAAAATTGGCAATAGTCTTCAGTTCGCTATCAGGGCACATTATTTCAACTTATTGCTGACCTGAAAATGATGTAGATACTAATGAAAATCTTGATGAAAATGATACAGGTAACTAAAATAAATAACAAAGAGAAATAATATAACTGCTGCACCTCAAATGTATCATAACATATCAATCAAGGCCCTATATACCAGGTAGGGTCGTCCGGCGATTCTACCTTTTCGTGACGTCAGCTCGTGACGTCATTTGGAGTCAAGTCTCGAAGCCCCGTTCAATCCCCATGTAAATGAGCGATTTTCGAAGCACTGTAGAATGAAGTCTGCACAAGATATATCAAACTTAAGTATCTTATCTAAAAGAGCAGACAATTTTCTGCAAGTTATCTATTACGTGTTTTTCGCTAAATCTTTTGCTTTTTTCACAAAAGCGTAAAATGTCCCCCCATGTCTCCGCAGCCTCCCTGCCGCCGGCCGCCGCGCGGTCGCGGTAGTGTAGTGGTTAGCGTGCCCGCGCAGTATTCCAAAGGTCCCGAGTTCGAATCTCTGCGGTGCGGAACTTTAATTGCAATTCCAAGGTGAATATACGCACATCCATAATAAATTATTATTCGTATAGCTAAACTGTCACCAAGCTATCCATATAAATTGACTTCACCCAAAATATCGGCAAGATTCTATTAAAATATAAATTCAAATATGGCGGCTTGGACTGCCGCGTGCGTTAGGCTCCGCCCATAGCTCCGCCCACATGCGTGACGTCATTCGTGTTAGTGGACACGCAGAGAGATAGGGGACGACATGGGCCTGATATCAATATCATATACAAGGATACAAGGAGGCCGAAAATATAAATGCCATTAACACTTTTTAAATGACGTCAACAAAAATAAAAATTGGGTAAATATTCCATTGAATGGTGTAATTCTTCAGAATATGAATTTCAAGTTTCTCCATATTTTTTCTGCTCATGTCATTGCTATCTTTTATTCATATTGGATTTTAAACCTTCTTTCTGTTTCTAGTTATTGCTGTAAACGTCATTTTTGACAAGAAAATAAGAATTTCGTTTACAGAAATGGCGCGATAGGTACATAATCAGGCCCATGTCGTCCCCTATCTCTCTGCGTGTCCACTAACACGAATGACGTCATGCATGTGGGCGGAGCTATGGGCGGAGCCTAACGCACGCGGCAGTCCAAGCCGCCATATTTGAATTTATATTTTAATAGAATCTTGCCGCTATTTTGGGTGAAGTCAATTTATATGGATAGTTTGGTGACAGTTTAGCTATACGAATAATAATTTATTATGGATGTGCGTATATTCAGCTTGGAATTGCAATTAAAGTTCCGCACTGCATAGATTCGAACTCGGGACCTTTGGAATACTGCGCGGGCACGCTAACCACTACACTAACGCGACCGCGCGGCGGCCGGCGACAGGGAGGCTGCGGAGATATGGGGGGACATTTTACGCTTTTGTGAAAAAAGCAAAAGATTTAGCGAAAAACACGTAATAGATAACTTGCAGAAAATTGTCTGCTCTTTTAGATAAGATACTTAAGTTTGATATATCTTCTGCAGACTTCATTCTACAGTGCTTCGAAAATCGCTCATTTACATGGGGATTGAACGGGGCTTCGAGACTTGACTCCAAATGACGTCACGAGCTGACGTCACGAAAAGGTAGAATCGCCGGACGACCCTACCTGGTATATAGGGCCTTGGTACATAATAAAGTCAGCGCTGTTTGTATGCGTGCTCAGTGAAAACAACAGCAATAATTATTATTTTTATACACTGGTTATTATGGCAATAGCGATATGCTATATATTAGCGTAATAACAGCGTAATGCAATATTGATTTAGGTCATTTGAAGCCGCCCTGATTTGAAGAAGGGACACAGCAAAAATGGCCATGTGCATGAGTATTCAAGAAGTTCACGATCTTTTGGATAATATTTCAACACTTATTGGAGGATTTTTATATGATAAAGCAAAGGAATCACTTGTAAGTATTATTCCTTTTGAGCTCTGTCTTCTTAACCATTCGTTTATAGATAATCTGTTTATCAATGAATAATAATCAACAATATTGAATTGGAATGTTTTTTATTTCACATAAGTAGTTGCCCGCACTTTGATGTCTGTCTCTGCTTGGTCTCAGCCAACTTAGCCATGGTGGGGGGCCGGGGGGGGGGGAAGAGCCAAGAGGAGGGCAGGGATCATATTTGGCTAGAACTGACAATCTTGTAAACTAAGAGTTAAGACAGCCAGAAAGATGTGGAAAAAGCAATTAATAGCTCCCTTGAGTCATTCATAAATGTACAGGTCATTTTTCGACCTGGCCGTTACTTAGAACACTGGAGGTCATGAAAGTTCAAATTGTCACTAAAAGTTTCTTCATTTTGACATTTTTTATAATGGATTAGTGCATAAATTTGTGAATGATTAGAGCTAGATATTTTCAAAAGTGCATTTGATTGTTCTTTCAAAGCTCTTTCTGTGATATTTATTGGGAGTAGATCTGAGGTCAAATAATGTTTGGCTCATGGAGGGCAAAACACATTGAAATAAACTGATTATGCATCACCAATATTTCATACAAACTTACAGAAACTGGCATCAATAATTGTATGACATTTATTTTGCTCACATCATGCTCCTCTTGTCCTGACACATCAAATGAATTGTAAGTTGACCTTTTCAGGTCAGCCTCAAATTTGACCCTTGGTCATAAGTCATATGGTCATTTGGCCAAATCATATGATCATATAATTGGATAATGGGAACCCAACCAGGTGAGTTGACCAGGTGAGGTCAAGTTCATGGCTTGACCAGAAGGGTTGCACAACCATCGATCCATATTCATTCCCTGAACACCCTCCACATTTGGGTGATTTCATTGCCTTACCATGTTTCCATCAAGTTATTCTCATTCTCCTTTCAGGAACGGGAAAGGGAGGCTACAAAGCTGAGTCCTGTGACATCTTGGAATGTGCTGGTCAACGGTCTAATACAGTTGTCTCTTGCTGAAAAATCGTATATGAGCTTGATGTTCCTGGCACACAAGAGTTTTCTTCGAAAAGATGTACGTATGCTTTGTTGTTAAATGTGGGTTGTATCGCTTGGGCTACTTTATTACGTAGACATTGCTCACAAAATATTGCTTTTTTGAAAAAGGTGTTTGTCCGATAAACAAGAATGCAATAAATAGCCTATCCTTTGCTGCTCCCAAAGCCCAGTCAGTCCCACACTGAGTTAATTGCTAGGTGGGGAGTTTACCACCGCGGGGTCGGTACCACCGACTTCAGTGGTCGGTTATACTCTTTCAGGCCGTTGGTACTTAGTACATTCATTTTATACTCATTAAGTGCAATTTTGAGACTCACTAAATACCTGTATATTACTCTTTTATAAGATTACTGACTTGCCAATCTGGTTGCTAATTTCTGCAACTTGTTATCGTCATATTGGTCTCATACTATACCTACTGTTCACGAAACCTACCTGTTACAACATGTGGACCGCTCACAGAGCTCTGCGCGTGTGTGTTACGAGGCGCTCTCGCTCGAGTACCAGCGGGTGGCGGACGGCCTGACTGACAGCACACTGGACCTCTGCCTGCTGCGCGCCTACCGGCAGCTGCTGCACTTCGTGCGCGGCCGACTCACGCTGCTCGAGTTGTATCCTTTTGCAGCTGTTCGATGGGTATCTATTTCTATGTATTTGTTTTTTTTTGCTGATTTGTCTGGCACAACGTTGTCTCACGCGCTCCGTCGTCAGTATTGGACTTTATATTTGTGAGTAATAACTAATAAGGTTTAGCGCTCAAATGCTCGTTTTCGGATTGTTTGTCTACGGTGCGATCGTTTCCGGATGACGTTTGCATAGGGACCCTGCTGCAAACGGACGGGCAAGCAAACGGTGTGCGCATTCTCTCGCTGTGTAACAATGCAATGCTATCATTCTGAGGTTTCCTTTTAGTTTCCATAACCGCACGTCAGCTATGAGAAGCTGTGGCTGGTCGGTTCGGGCAAGATACGTGGTGTTTCGGAGCTTACTGAACAGCTGGAGAACTTCGCCAGCGACCAGGAGGCCAACTTTGACCACCCGCACCTGGCGGCCCTCAAGGCTGTGGTCCGGTGAGAACCAGTCTGTCACTGGCCGGACGTGCCATCAGGACGATGGGTTGCTTGTGTCCGGACGTGTGACAAGGTACGAGTCGCTGATGCTCGGACCTCTGGCCGGGTACGAGTCGCCAATGTTTGAGCTCGTGGTCAGGTGCCTTTACACGATTGGTTACTGATGTGGGTGCGTGCGGTCAGGTACGAGGTGCGAACGCTGCTATCGATGCTGCGGACCCAGGAGCAGCTGGAGACGTGGCAATTTCTGCCGGCGCTAATGAGTCTGAACGAGGCGCACACCCACCTGAACAAGTTCTCTGCGTGCGTCCAGTCGCGTGAGGTGAGTCCGACCCTCTCCCTGGCCCCTGCAGATATAAAAAAAACGCTTAACAGCAATTTTCGTCTTTAATGCCTGCGATACTCGGACGTGTCGCTGTTAGTGACTGCACCTTTCCCGTATGTTTGTTGGTAACCCGTTTTCCAAACGCCGCAGCACCCCGGTGTGTGACTACCGCGTCCTCGTTTTCCAGACGCGGCGCCTGCTGTTCCGGCGCGCCAGCCAGGAGCCGGAGCTGATCCAGTGGCTGCAGCGACTGCGCGCCGCACTCGTCGCCACCTTCTCACTCTATTTCCGCGAGGTGCTCAGCGCCCAGAGCTCGGGCTCAGAGTTCAAGGCTCTGTGCGCCAAGACGGCCGCCGACCACTTTGCCAGGTGGGTGTCGACCGGTGCTGTGGCTGTGGGTGTCCGCTGTGCGTGCCCAGGATTCAGTGAGGGGATTCAGCCCTCACCCATCGGTCGCCGACCGGCCAGCTGACGCCTGACGACCCGTCCGCAGGCTGCAGAGCTTCCAGCGCAAGATGGACGCCGCGCTGGTGGCGCTGGCGTTTGACGGCACTGAGGAGGCGGTACGGGGCGGGCTCGGCTACAGACACCCGGAGCAGCGCGTGCCGCCGGCAGGACAGCACCCCAAACCGTACCCGGCCGTGCTCTGCTGCTCGGTGAGACTCCCCTCGCCGCAGCGACGCTCCCGCGGACAGATAATGAAATAGAGGCTGAGCTTATTTTGTGTACTGTGCATTGCAAGCCTCAGAATATCGCCCTGGCCCCTGACATGAGAAAGGAATGCTTTTTACCGCTAAGTCTGGATGAGGGAAGATAATGCAGGTAGTGCTTATCGGATCAAGTTCAACTTTGTCTTTACTTTGAAAACCCGATTCCTGCAGCGTTAGGACCCACTTCGGTCCGGACTGAATGCGCGTTGCCATAGCCGTCTGCGCGTCATCGAGTGATCGCTGCTCTGACCGCCACCCCCCACTGTCCGCAGAAGAGTGACGTGCAGGCGGCGCTCTGGCCCGAGGTGGTGGCCGCCCTCGCCGAGCCGAAGCTCGAGCTGTCCTCCAGCCGCGTCAGCCACGCGTGGCTGGGCCCGAGCGCCGCGCAGTCGGCCTTCTTCCTGGCCATCAGCGACTGCCTCACCCTGGTCGTGGTGTTCGACGGCCGCCGGTCGGAGAAGGACAGCTACGTCACATCCTTCATGCTGGAGACCGCGGCAGCGCTCCGCTGCAGCAAGATCTACCACAGCCTCAGACCCGGCGCCAAGTGAGCCGCGCGGCCCAGTGAGGGCGCTGTATGAGTGATATGTGGGTCCCGTGACCAGTAATGGCGGTCCGTGAGCCGCGTCGCTGACTGACGGTGGTCAGCGAGTCTATTGGGCGAACCGTGTCTTTGGTAGGGTCGCCCACCAGGCTGTGATATTCCTCGGCAATGGGAGTGAAGCACGCATTTGCGTTTGACCTGGTTGAATCGTCGCGATTGGCCGTAGCGTTAACGGGAAAGTGTACTCGTCGTAAGGATGGTCTAGCCGCACGTGTTTTAAGATAGTGCGCGGTTCGATGCGATATCATACCGTCAGTCGAGCATGTTTCAGCTCAGGAGACCCGGCGCTGATATGGATCTCGCAGTGACGCCATAGTTTTACTATTACGTTTAGCGGTATTTATCGGGAAAATACTTGTACGCTGATTATATTTGGTTTCGACTTTCGAGGGTACATCGCGATGCGTCCACGCATGATATCAATCGCAGTCAAATAAATATGCAAAGAGCTATGAGGGCGTTTGAATGGTTTTGCGAAGGCGGCAGGTTCTTCCCCTCCCCTCCCACGCCACGCAGACGTCCTGATACTGAGGCTAGTTTTACCAACAGAAAAATAGCCGCCTGCCGGAATTTTTTGTCTAAAGACCGCTTCACATACGGAGCGTAAACGGTAAAGCCCTTTCCCTTTACATGTCCATCGCGCTTACGCTCCGTATGTGGAGCTGTATGGCAAAAAAAAAAAATCCGGCAGGCGGCTATTTTTCTGTTGATAAAACTGGCCTCTGATCTTGGGCTAGTGAAACCATTATCCGTTGTCATGTTCCAAAATGGGATCACCACGTCGCGTGCGTTCAGCGCAGACCACACCACCACTCAGTTAGCCCGCGGACGCCCGGGGGAGGCTCGGGGGAGTCGCAGCTCGCAGCACACCTGTTCTAAGTGCTTGCGTAGGGAATGGGTGGCGTGGGATGCCCTATCTCCCTCAAGGTCTGTTATTGTGTAATTACTTGTCAGCGTACGAGTTACAAATACCAATGCTTTACAGATACCGATATGGTTTATTACGATAAACAATGCCAAACGGTTACACCCTTACCCCGACGGTATGCATCCATTTATCACATAACAGCCGTCCTCCAGTCTCAGGGGCGAGGCTGGCCAGGTGAATCAGACCGTGTACAATGAAACCGACCACACAACATAATACAATGACTAAATGTAATACTGAGAAACGCGACGACCGCACCAAACATGTGGAATGTCGACAGATTTTCAACAACATTACTTAGCCATGCATGTCACCCGATATATAGATGATATAACGATATGGATCATAGACCACTATATATCTGGACTGTGCACGGATTTTGCCGACTGCTATTAGGGCCCTGCTGGGAAATTCGACGTAGCACGCGGAATTGTGTATTGACGCTCTAGTAAGTAGTAAGCCCATTTAAATGAAAGTAACTTCTTAAATGTGATGTATATTTTAATAAATGTATAATTTATAGCATGATTCTTAACACGATAAATAAATAAAAGCACTTATAGACAGGTATATCACACTGTATTAAGTTCAAAGCATCAATAGACAGGAACAATCCGTGATCGGTCGTTTTTGACAAGAGACAGTCTGACGACATATTGGACACACTGCAGATTAATTTGCCTGTCTAAATCAGACACGCACCCGGCTCAATGCTTTGAAAGCCCACACTATCTGCGCCACGGAATTACGAAGATTCCTATGGGTAAATAACAAAGCTGCCGGTGCTGCGTTTTTAGCGAGACCGTCCGAGGTGACCTGCTGGGCCACAACTGTTCCCTGCTTCCACTGAGGCCGATTTCATGCTCAGCATAGGGACAGACGGGTTCTGTCATCTGTCCCTCTCGAGAGAAGGGGACTTTTGAACAGCGTTGTCAGTGACGGTGGCCGCATTTTGCAGCGGGTGATGGCGATCGAGATTCGAGATTTAGACGGAGTCACGAGATCTCGGTTCACTGGACACTGCAGCAGAGCTTCGCACTTAGGAATGCACTTTCTTATAGTTCTTGTGCTACATTTGCCTTTAGTTACTATTCGAATTGTAAATCCACATCTGAAATTCTCAGCCATGTAGGTATCTTACACATCGACGAATAGGATCGTAGTTATTGATTGCATAGACAAACTGATCCCAGGAATGTTGCATTGTGTTTACGTCCTGCGGCTCAACCTTTCTCATTTTCATGAAGCTTTCTTATTTCATGAAGCTCTGTTCGCGCATCGCTGGTGTTGAGTGACGGTATACTGTCCATATTGACTCCATGAATTGCAATGTTTGTTTTTCGCTCAACTATACACATCAATGTGTTGAAGGAATGCAGGTCGTAGCGTTGTAACTTGAGGTGCTTCTCGACAGTGTGACTCCCTCAGCGAGCAATGTGAAGAAAGTTATCGTTTTCCTTTACAATGGTAGTCGCGCTGTCTTGAAACACACGTTTGAAGCTATACGTGTGCCGAAGAGAGAGCGACTCGGCAGCTGTTACCAGAGCAGGACCCATTGCTTGCATGCAGGAGCGGAACACAGATTGCTGATGTGGGCACGCCAGCTCTCCGCAAGCCATAACATATGTGACCATCACTTGACCAAATTGCAAGACTTTAGCTAGTTTTGGGCTTCACTTGTGACTGATATTATAGGAGCCGCCAGTCTGGAAACGGATCCGCCACCTCTCCTTACAGTTGTCTTCTGCTCAATTTTTCGGTCTCGGCCAGCGTCACAGCATGTAATAAAACTCACAGGGAGCCCAGTGGTCAGAATTCCAAGACATTTTCAGCTTTAGGGCACATAGAAATTGACTTCATATTGATGCCTTAGCCAGGAACCGGAAAACTGACATTGTTGCATGCACTGTCTTGGCTCTTTGAATATGCTCACTCCCTGTTCTGTTCATAGGATATTCTGAAGTGATTATCACTAGCGGCACATTTTACTGTATTTCAGTGGCATGTATGCATTAAAAGGTTTCATTTTATTTAAAGACAAAAGAGAACTATCCCGCATGTCAATGATAAACAACAAACAACAATAATCTTGCAAAAATCTTCGCTACATGTCTGTGAAAATTTGCTAATTCTCGTGAAAATTAGCTGGGAACCATCATCCACACCATGTTAAATCATGGAAGAAATGGGCAGAAAATGCCCTTCTTTTTTCGATGATTGCGCTAATATTATATATTTTTTGCTCAATGTAAGATATAACTCAGATTACAAATTGACTAGTGGTGATGTTTCCCAAAGCACATCATCATATGACGAATAAGTTGGCTGTGACGACCTTCGAAAGTTAGGGCCCTAATGGCAGGGCCCTAATTTCCGTGCACAGTCCAGATATATAGTGGTCTATGTATGGATACATAAACGTACTGATACTGCAAGGGTTAACAGCTCAAAACGTAGCACCATTACATGCCAATTGACAGCAAATAAACAACTAGACGGCTCGCCATGAGAACACAACATTTTCCTAGATACAATGCAAACATGAAACACAAGGCCAAACAGATGCTTTACGAAAATGCACCCAAACTCAAAACTAATGAAGAGAGCGTTATACAAAACCCAGCCATTGGATCATGCAGTATAGTTGGTCACCCTTCCCTCATCCCCAACGTGAATACAAGCCTAATGGTAACCATAACATGATGCACATCAGCAATGAACGATAACGATAAGCTTCTGATATCACAGCGGGCGCCGGGCTGCTGGCAACTGCGCTCACTACACCTCAAGCGTTCAATCACAGCTCACGCAAAGGACAGCTTAGGCACACATACAGCGTTGTCCGGTTCGGTACAGCATACCATTGCCAGCATTACAACATTGCCATGCCTGACAGTCCTCTCGGACGATCTCGGCACGAAATCTGGGATCTAGAACGCTGCTGATGGAGGGAAGGTCTCGCCTCGCCGCGCCTCAGACGACTGCAGCGCTCATTGGCAGCAAGACGGAGCGGAACACGCCGTCTCGTCGGGGAGAACGGCCATCCCACAGCGCCAGCGGCCACTCTTCAGTGCGCCCCTCCAACTAATCCCATGGGGAAGCTCAGCCGCGCAGGCCCATCAGAGAAAGCCGAGACCTTGTGCGAACCCCAGCCATCGGTCGGGAACGTCGGTAAAGTACTTGTTCATCATGACGGCGAATCGCGTCTTGTATCGCACCGGATCCAGAACGGTGGGGCGGTTGTTCCCATCGCCCAGCAGGATGTTGTACGACTTGATGTACGTCTCCACCGCCTTGTCGTAGGTGTAGGAGCGCAGATAGTCGATGATCCCGACGACCAGACAGCGCTGCGTCTCGTCCATACCGACCAGCAGCGAGTAGTCCATCACCTGGCACGTCTGCAGAAAGGAGGTGTCGCGCGAGATGGCCTCCATCAGCACACGCTTGGCGTGCGGCCGCACGTAAAGCGGGTTCTCGCTGAGCAGTGTCACCATGTTCTGGTCGAGCAGCACCACTTCGGATTTGTCCTTGGTGTCGGCCAGGCGGTTTCGCATAGAGCCCTTCAGGTCGAACTTCTGCGAGATCTGCCGGCCATACAGAAGGTTCTCCATCACGACCATGTAACACTTCTTCGCCTGACCAGTGACGTTGTTCTTGTAACCCACCAGGAACACGCCCAGGATTTTGGCGAGCACAGAGGGTCGTCCGGTCGTCAGGCTGTCCAAGATGTATTCCACGTAGCGGATGCCAAAGCGCACAAAGTGATCCTTTTCGACTTTGGAGATGGTCTTAATGACGAAGCGATCATCACAAGACTTGTGGAACGTAGATCCCGACTTCCCTCCCTTGGCGTTCCACGGCTGACAGTGCATGAGGCAGCGGACGAAGCGTTCCTCGCCGGCCGAGAACACAGCTTGGCGCAGTCGGCGGAAATGCTCGGCGAGCAGCACCTGACAGTAGAAGTTGGCGTTGTCCTCGGACATGTTGATGTCGATGTGGTACTGGGCCAGATACTTTTCACCGCGCTCGCCGCGTTCAGCAGCGCCGCCAGTACCGTCACTGTTGGCGGTCGACGACTCGGAGATGCGGCCGCTGCGCTCCGGGCCCGGCTCCTCGGCGCTGTCGGCGGGTCGCTCCAGCTGCTGCCGGATCTCGGCCAGTCGCCGGCTGTACTCCTGAGTCAGCATGCAGTAGGCGATGATCGAGCCCAAGTCTTCGCCGCAGATGAAGGACGGCGGCACGGTTGGCGGCAGCCGATGGTGCTCATTGACTGGGAGCGAAGAGGTCAGCCGCTCTCCCAGCTCCCCACTGGACCATGCCAGCGACTTGAGCGCCTTGATGCCGCCGACAGTGATGGACTTGACTTTGCTGACTGACGATAGATCAGCCGCGTCCTCGGTCGCCGGCTCGGGATCGGCGCCCTCCTTCTGCTTCGAATCGTAGCTGGACTTTTGGTCGTTGGAGCTCTTCCGACTGGAAGTGCTGGTCTCTAACACTTTCCCATCGTTAGAGTGTTTCTTCGGAGGCTTTTCTGCCTCCGCTGTCACTTCTTCCGCCTTCGGTCGCGGAATAGCTTTGACTGCTTTAGCCAACTCTTGCAGCCGTGTATTCCACTTGTGCGCTGTGTCGGCCATCATCCGTTTGGCCTGCACGGCCCGGTCGGAGGCGGCGAACACACGGTCCTCGTCCAGACGACACGCGCCGTCAGTGGCCTCCCCCACCAGAGGCGCCACCATTGTCTCGATGTCGGTCAGCAGCGTGCGGAACGCCCGCTTCTCGTCGTCCACCTCTTCCTGGGCGGTCCGCAACGCCTCAGTCACTTTGGCGTCGCTGGCAGCCGCCGCACGCAAAGACAGCAAGCGCTCCACGATCGAACTGAAGAGCTGCACACCCTCGGAGAGTGCATGCAGGTCCTCGGTCAGACGGAGCTGGGTTCGCGGTCCCAGCTCAACGGTGATGTCCAGCTGCGGCAGCACGATGTCGTTCAGCTGTATCTGAGAGTGACTGAAGACGGCGACACGGTCCTGCAGTGCGAAGTAGTGCGCGCGATCCCGGAATAGGCTGTGCGAGCAGCCGTCCAACGACGAGTACTGTTCACACAGGAAGAACGTCTCCAGGAACTTGCCGAACGATAACGTCCACGTGTCTTCGGTCATGGGCCTGGCAGCCGAGCCGCGCTCACACTGTCGGCACCACGTCCACATCCAGATGCGCTTGTCGGGACACGGCTCGAGCAGGGTCCACACGAGCAGTGACACACAGCTGTTGTCATGGAGAAAGCGGTGCACATGTCCCTCCTGCGGCACCACACAGTCTTTCTTCAGGCATTTGAAGGCTGGTGTGAAACATTCGGCCTCGAGGAAGGTACCCAGCGTGGTGTCACTGTCGCCATTGAACATGACCATCATGACATGCGGGTCACAGCAGCCAACCGACACGCCGCTCGGCAGCTTCGAGTAGGTGTACGTCTGCACGGCGATCTTCTGGTGGTTGATGGGATTGAGCGCGTCACAGGGAACCACCCAGTCCTCTAGCCGGTCCTGGACAGTTCCACCTGATTGGGCTCGACTGGCTCTACCCGCGGGCACCGGCCGCCGCGCGCTCTGAAGTCGGCCAGCAGCGCCTGCATTTGATCGTCGTCGACCGTGCGGGTGAAGCAGCGCGTCACAAACTCGTGCTCAGGCAGCAACGTCGGACCTGGCCGAGTTTCGATCGGGGCCTTGCGGATGTGTGCGCGACGTGCCTTCTCGGCTTTGTCAAATTCAACCGACCAGTAGAGATTCGCTGTGAAGAAGCGGCGCAGACTACTCCGCTTCCCCTCCTCCGTTTCCAGGTACGGCATGGCCACCCTTGCATACGGCGTACAGCACACGATCGTGTCGCCCAACAACTTTCGGAACTTGTTGCGATCGGGCAGGATCTCAACCTTGAGCCCCGGCGTGCTGGTGTCCGGTACCGGCGCTGGCGCCGGACGCTGCAGCGGGTCACTGCAGTCGGTCACCATCTCGCCCGGTCGTCGCGGAGAGCGGAGTCGCTCGTCTCCTGTCGCCGGGGCCACCGTCGCCACATCGGGCGGCGCGGTAGAGGCGCGCGGCCGGGAGCTAGCCCCGTTCGTTTTGGAGACACTCCCGGCACGGGTCTTGTCCCTCGAGTCCTCTGGTGCCTCATCTTGAGCAAGCAGAACTTGGTTTCCGAATGGCGGTGGCACAGATACCAAGTCACGCAGGTAACTCTTCTGCAGGAGCCAGTTGTACTGCACTGATACCATGAAGCGCAGCACGTGCTCACACGTCTCAGCTGGTTCATGTGACCACCACGCACCAGCACCGTACAACCCAGGTGACTTGCACAGCCGTCAAAGAACATGAAGGTCTTCTTGCTGCCACCCTCCATGGTGAACTGTTTAGTGTAGAATGAGTGGCAGATGCCCAGCACGGGCGCCGCCAGGCGGGCATCCACGTGGTCCATCACGTCTGCCTGGGGTGCAGCGCGCGATCCGCGCCAGCACCTGTCTTTTCATGTTGGTGACGAGTGTGACACCGGCCTCGCGCAGCATGTCGCGCGCCATGCTGTCGACGTGCTTCTCGACGACGATCAGGTCGGGCGCTAGTGACAACAGCTGCGCAGTGATGTTGCGCAGCACCTCCCGCTCCTGCATCATCATCGGCTCCAAGGAGACAGCTCGATCCTGGTAACGCTGGTAAGACACTGGACAGCTGATGAGCAGGATCTGCGGATTCGTCAGTTGGGATGGCATGTCGTTATGCACAATGTTCTTCCGACAGACGACGCCCTGTACGATCTGTGATTCAGCAGGCTTGCCGCCAGGAATGCGCTTTATTTTGACAAACTGACGAACGTCGAGGTCATCGCACTCATGGCGAACATCGGGTTTCACAAGCCGGCTCAACTGGCGGGACAAATCAAGTATCGGCTCATACCACTTGGCAGGCAGGCCGGCCGAATCAAGCAGCTGACTCAGCAGACTCGACTCGAGAGCCTCGAAAGCGGCAGAGAGTCGTTTGTCGGCCTGCTGGCGCCGTGGGTCAGCCTCGGTCGCTGCCGAGTCCAGATACTCAGTGGCCGCCTCGTGAAGACCCTGCGCGGCGGCGGCGGGCTCCGGCGGTGTCATCTGGCGGAGCAGCTGCGCCCGCGAGATGGACGCCACGCTGCCCACATCTAGCTCGATGTCGTACATGGAGCCAGAGTGGGCCAGCGGCGCGCCGGCCGGCTCGTCGGTGGCTGCACCACCGCCGTGGCTCTCCTTGAGCTCGATCTGGGAGAGCCAGTGGGGCTCCTCCAGGTCGGGCTCCTCAGGCTCCGAAAGTGCCGGACGCCGCATGGCTACCGGCGAGGGCCGATACAGGCAGTAGTCGTCTCGGAAAGCAGTCGTGTTGTGACTGACACATTCGAGCAGTTTCATGTCAACCAGACGCTGTCCGATGGCCACGGACTGAGCACGCCTCGTCACCTTCCGCTGCGAGATCATCCAGTCCACCACTTCGGAGCCCACCAGACAGGCGCCGTAGTTTTTCAGCCGGTGCCGGTGGTTGCCAAGCCCGACGCCGTGGATAGGGTTTGTAATCATGTGCAGCAAGGTGGTCAAGTAGGTCAGATCCTGCTCCTGCTCCAGAGGGTCAGAGACGCTCTCGTGCGGATCAACCTGGTCACGGAGACTGGCATCCGTCATGCCGAGACTGTACTTTTTCCTGTGCATCTTGCTGAGCCGCGGAAGAGAGCTGGATCTGTCGCTGCTCAGTTGGTTCGCTGCTTCCAAGTGCGCGTGTACCTTCTCCAGCACCGCATTCTGGTCCACATGCTCGTCGGCGTCTGCGCCGGACGTGATGGTCTGGACGTAGGTCATCACCACCTTGGAGCAGTAGGTGCAGACGCGCAGGTCACCGCTATAGCCGAGCACCTTGCCCGGGATCACCTGGTTACAGCAGCGGGAGCAGAAATCTGTCCGCAGATGCGGCAGTGGTGGCGGCGTCTGAACGTGGTGAACTTGTCGCCGCAGTCGTAGCACTCGCGGCTGACGGCGTCCGGCAGCCAGTGCTGCTTCAGTTCGCTGTCGCCCGGCCCGCCCTGGCCGCCGGCTCCCAGGATCGAGCTGATGCGGCGCAGCACGCCCACGTAGCTGCGGCCCTCGGTCGAGTCGGTCGCGGACGAGGGCGGCGAGCCACGGCACAAGCTGGTGTCGCTGGCGCGTCGGTGGGAGCGCGGTTCAGAGACGTCGGCGCCGGAGCGCACCGAGACGCGGCTCGAGAAGAGTCGCAACAGACCGCCTCTGCGCGGCACGGCCGCGTCCAGTGATGGCAGACTGGCAGATGTGGTCGAATAGTCGTCATCGGGCCACACTGCAAAAAAAAGAAATATGAAGAAATTCAGAGGAGATGGATACACATTGTGCATGTAGATATGCTTGGTTAGGTTAGGTTAGACTAGGTTTACCAGCAAGCATGATATCATGAAGGAGATGTAGGAGTGGATGTTTTGGTGCATCTAGTCATGTAAGTAACAATTTTCTGGCATATATGTATGTTTATCTTAAGGACAAGCAAATTTGATTGGTACCTAGTGGATTATTAATTCTTAACCATGTGAGTCAGGTTCAGGCACAGTCAAGAGTAGATTCAATATTGAAATCTTGAAAAAAGACAGATTCTGCTTTTCATGAAGAGTCTGGTTTTCCTGGATATCACCTAAATCAATTATATATGAGCTTTGAACTTCAATCTGCCAATGCCATCAATGCTTCCAGAATCCATTGCTAGAATTTAGAAAAGCTTGGGTTGTTTTGTCATAGCATGATGTCAGAATAGTATGACATGATCAACATGTCAAGGAATTCAAAACTTGTTTGTAAGGTTATGAAAATAGAAGCTCACTAGGGTGACCCGCGTGCTCCGCAACGCGAAAAGGGATATTTTCGATCGGCGGGTGTTCGGTTGTTCTTGTGTCGGTTGGGTTATCTATCCATTTCGGTCGATTGCTTTTTGACGGCTAAACGTTTTGGTTTGTGGAAAAATATCCACCGCATCGAGGTGCCCGTGTCTGATAAGCATGCTTTCCACTTCAGAATCTGTCAAATGTGCTATATAATTGAGGTGCGTAGTTTTAAGACAAATGAAAGGCGTAGATAATTTTCGCTAAAAATCGTTTTGCAGAGGTTTAAAACATTTATATTTTAAAGAATACTGTTGCTTGTCATGCAAACGTGATGATTGGATCTTGGAGAGAATTGAATGCTCTTTCTAATGATAGCATTTTCAATTGTCAAGCGTATCAGGTTAAGCAGCAAATCCCGTGTATCTTTTTAGTGGCACATTATGGACAAATACCATTTTAATTCAGCGATTTTTTCCACATTGTTTTTGATCAATTAGCTTTTCACAATTTTTCCATGAGAGACGGTACATTTTTATTGCTAATAGGCGCTGTTTCAACTCATTCCGTCTGACGATCACCTGAAATTAATATAAATTCCAAAATCCGTTTAAAATGGCACTTTTTGAAATGAAATTGCCCTCACACTTGCACGTGGCGCGTGCCACCCCTGCACCGCACACTATTCGATTGCCCGTTCGATTCTCTACACGATGCTGTTTTCCCCGTGCCGATCGGGCGCACGGCTACCGAGATATTGCACGGGGAACGGACCCGTGTCGGGCAAATTTAGCCATTTTCGCCCGTTTTTGCCAGCCGATTTATACATGTAAAGTCTATGACGCGAATTTGCACTTTTTGGGCACGCGCCACGCGCTCGCTATCGATCCGATCGAGCCGAGACCGCTCAAAGGCACGTTGTCCATCCTTGTTCTATAACTTGCGCAAATTTCAGCGCGGTAGGTGCAACGGTGTGATCTGTAACCCGCGCTACGTAGCACCATGTCGCGACCTTCGTAATAGACAGAAACTACGCCCTCCTCAAATAGTAATAGATGGCAGTGACTATTCCAATAATTTTGAGATATAGCTTACATAGAAAGATATGCAATATGCATATAACATGCAAGATACAAAAGGAAAATGAGAAAGAATTACTAAGGTCTAAGGAAAAGTGAATATAAAAAAATATGAAGGCATTGATGATAATCATGGTATTTGCTGCAAATGATTTAACGTTCAGGACATAAAAACATGTAGGTACAAAAACCTTGAAGAACCATTGAAAACCATTTGGACCTTATCTTGAATCTTCAGTTTAACCAAAAATGGGTCAGATAAAATCAATTTTCAAGTTTCAAACATAGTCATCAAGTCAAGTCAAGTCAAGTCATACCTAGTCAAGGGCAGGTCAAGGCATGGGAAGCATCACTCAGGAAAGAAGCATTCCATGCTGCAGTTTATGGAAAGTGCAAAATGATTGCATTCCTGGTTCATACCTTGAATACAAAAATAGATATTGTTTCATGTGTTGCCCAAAAACAAATATGAAAGTTACGTAGCTATACTGGTTCACTTAAAGTGGAAAGCAATGCAGTAACTTACTTTCATCCATCTTGATCTCGACAGCTTATTGCAGCCAAGCCTTTAAAATTAACTTTCCAAAAATTACATGATAAAAAATTATCACAAGAGTTTTCGAACATCCTAATTTTCCCAAACCATGCTTTTACAAATGTCATCCGTCCAAAATGTAAGCAAACATTTAACACATTTAACACCTTTGCCTTAAGAAAAGCGTGTCTAAGGAATAAATGTATCTAGCCACGTATCTTGGTAACGCATTCTTGCTTCAGTTAATCAGTTGCTACTTACTGATGGAAAATCAAAATAGGATCCAAACTCGGATCGAAGAGGAGGCGGTCGCAGTCGTGGCAGTACACCTGCACTCAAGGCTGCGCTAGTCAAATGACTGCCCGGCCAGGTAATGGATCCATTAAGAAATTACTAAAATATTGACATAATTATGTGCCTGCCTTGCGGCAGATCAAGATAAATGAATTATCGACAGACGAAATCACAACGAAATACGAATGCAAACTAAGGTGTCTGGCAAAATGATTGCTACTTCAGAATCGTCTTTCTTGCGTATGTTTTGTAACAATAATATTGAATGGACACCTCAACCAAATTAAAGATATCGTGGTTATCAATGGCTTACCCGATATCTCTATGATTGAATAATGCATTTCTGGAAGGTACTTAGTGTAAAACCTACCCTTAAAAGATTTTCTGCACCTGCATCTCGCCTCTGTCATTCGCTTAGCCATTTCACCTCAAGCTTTTGTTTCTACCTTAGAAAACACCTGATTCCTAGACACACCGCCAAAGCACACCTAAATCCGTTTTCCTAGCACATCGGAGCTTGCATTGCACGAGCGGCCAGGACCCTCTTTAGCTATAGCGTGGCAACTAATTTGATCTGAATGCAACTGAATCAATTAAATCCCATTCAATTCGGCGTATGCAGTGTAACCTTTATGTCTAAAGAATAATGCATCCTGTGACCCACTGACGGTCACCACCACTCCATAATTGTAATTTCGCTGTTTGCTGCGATCGTTGGAATCATTTCTTCGCAAGCTAACCTCTACCAATGTTCCGCATGAGCCCCATATTTACAGCTTGCATTAACGCCCCACACCGTTTCTTATCGTTCTCATTTCGGCCAGCAGCTCAGTGGCAGCCAAATGCCAGTTACAGGGTTGCTTGAAGCAACCCTTTTTGGTGGCAATTTATATGCCACACTACTATGGATTAATATACTCGCGAGTTAATACCAAGTCCGTTACATAAAAAATAATAATTCCAGGCGAAACGAGCATTGGGGAAAATTCACCAGTATGAGAGTTGCAAACGAATGATAAATTGGTTTAATAAGTACATGTATTCATCTACGAACTTCAGAAGTCTCATTAATCTGGAAATTAAGAATAAACATTACATGCGTAAAACCTGACTTGACACTATGCTTGAAAAAAACTGGAATGATCCATCTTTTTAGAACTGGACAATGCTTGGCAAGTGGCAAACAATTCAGCATTGATGAGCCAAATCTGCTTATCGGATACGACTCACCCACCCAGCAGGATAGAGGCACTTTTACTCCGATCACGGAGAGGATGGGACTAGACATGGGTGAGGTTGGCTCCACAGCATTTTGTTTTCCCACGCCTCAGAAGCAGACGGCAGCAGCACCGAGCACGTCCCTGAACAGCAGGGCGAGTCGGCTCACTCCTTTTGGCCGGAGGGAGGGCGCGACGTGTCGGTCGGTTCGGCGGCGCTGCCACGGTCGGCCAGGTGGAAGGCGACTCCGGCGATGTCACACTGCGTGCTCGAGTGCACGGATACGATCCACTCGGCGCTCTCCGGCGGCGTGATCGAGAACCATCCGTGGCCGCCCGGGCCGCGCTGTGGGTCCGATGTGCTTCCGTACGCCTGCACGTACTCCTGCACCTTGTCCCAGTTCGCATCGGTCACGCCGGTCACGTGCATACGGGCGCTAGCAGTGTCCTCCGTGACCTGATGGGACGCCAGGCTCGGAGCAGAGGGCGCCGACTGAAAGTCAGCACCGCTCACAGACGAGGCGGCCGTAGAGGACTGACTGGCCGACTTCGGCCTCTTCCCAGCCTGGCTACCGTTTCGCCCCTCGGGCCTGGTCGTGGCGCTGTCCAGAGCGGCCGTCACCGGTTTCGCCCAGCCCGATGCCCGGGCCGCCCTGGACGAGGAGCGGTCCGGAGCGTCTGCGGCACCCTGCAGAGGAGGAAAGCTCTGCTCATCGAGAGGCGGCGGTCGGGGCCGCCAGACACGCCGGGGCTGCCATTCGTCCGACATATCGGACGAATTGGTCCGCTCCTCACAGATGTCTGGGTCGTCAGAGTCATTTCCTAGGTGTCCGAGTAGCCGTGAAGGCCGCCCTTGGGTGTCACCATCAGCTACCGCCGCCGCCGGCAGCAGGGCAGACTCTACGGCCACGACACCGCCGGGATCCAGGAAGTCGGCCAGATTCCAGCCGCCGCGCTGCCCGTCATCCAGATTTACCTGGCCGGTCAGTCGCGGCGGCGGCGTGGCGGCCGTCTCCGGCTCCAGCTCCGAGAAATCGTCGTCCTGAGAGTTGTGCCGCGGAAGGATGTACTGACTGTAGTTGGTCGGCGGCTCGTAAATCGGCAGGTCTCTCCGTACGCGATTTATCTGCTCCTGGATGGTCAGGTTGCTGACGCCGACGTTGGCGAGGTTCCCGGGAACCGGCAGAGGATCGTCGTGACAGCTGAGGCCAGAGGCGCGGCCGCGGCCGCGAGGTCGGCGGGCGGGCTCCGGCGGCGGCCCGTCCGGCGACTGGATCAGGTGACGAGGGATCGTCAACGGCTTAAACACCATTGGACTAACGCCTTCGCCGAGTCCCCAGCGGCATTGCAGAATGGGAATACTGGGCAGCTGGCGATGCACCGCTACCTCTTGGTCCTGGCTATCTCCCGGAGGCGGCGACATCCCAATCGAACGATGCTCTCTGAAAATAAAGAAAGTTTGTGTCATCAAACCCATGCTCCGTTCCCATACTCTATTTCGAAATTTCGAAATTCCCAAGCATTTCGAAATTTCGAAGCATTTCGAAATTCAGCATGATCATCCACATTTTTGAAGTTTTCTTTTCACGACGAACGCTAGCGTCTGGTCACGCTAGCGTCGATGGGCTGTTCAATATTCATGTTTTCATGTATGAATTTATCAATTATCATGCTTGAGTCACCCACATCCACCACAGACAGCACATTTTATCAGACCCAAAAATAAACGAAGAACAAACAAAATAATTTTACAAAGGTCGTGAAAGATTGTGATTTCTTGAGATTTTAAGTAACTGGCCTTGGTGAAAAAGTCAAATCATGCTTCTAAAAAACGTTTATTTTTTACGTTTTTTTTTTTTTTACTTTGTTATACATGGTGTCACTCAGTGGTGTGAGGTCAACCCGATCAACCTGACTTAGTGGCTCAAGGAAGACGAGAAAACTCAAATTGAGTTGCCAAATCGAATGGTTTGCAGCATGAACTCCCTCGGACAGCTCCTGACCTGGAGACTCGGCCTTTGACCAGACCTTGACCTGAGGTCAACATACGCCTCTGTCATTCGGGAAAACTGGGCAGTGGGCATGATAACAGATATGTTCCCAAAGTCGTTGCTCTGCAGCCATTTCAGCGGACAATGAATATATTTACCAACGACCGGACTCAAACTTTTTTTCTGACCTTAGTTAATCCGAGACCTTAACCCGCGCCCCGCTGGGGGGGGGGGCAGAATCTGCCCCCTCCCGTTTTTCGCCAATAACTTCTAAACGCGTTATGCCAGCGACGCCAAACTTTCAGTACCTTATCATACATCAATTTAACACGTTTCCTGAATATTTGAGCGAAATCCGTCGGGAAAAAAATTGGAGAAAACGACGTTTAAGTGACGTCATGACCACCATTTTTCGCCGAAAAAAAAAACAGCAAAATTTCAAACGCCGCCAACATCTTCATTTTTAAAGGAATCAAGACGTAACAAAAAGGCTATACGTGATTCTACTTTGTCTATCAAATGGGTATCTCGTTTTTTTATAGAAAATTTTGGATTTTGGCCCAAATTTTTCTTCTTAAAAAACTGACTTTTTTGGGAAAATAATTATAAACCCAAAAATTTTAGTTTATAAAAAAACGGAATATATGTCAGAGAAGCGCTCTATGTGCACCTACATACCAAATTTTAGAAGAATCTTTTCAAAAATGGGGAGTTATTCAAAATCCTATGACGTCACGACCCACAATTTTTTTTTAAAAATGTTTTTTTTTAAGTTATAGACCTCTTACGGAAACCAAAACAGCACCATTCGATTCGCCGTGAAAAACTGCATCAGATAGACACCTTTTTAGGTCTTAACAGCCAACTTCAAAATTTGACCTCACTTGACCTAACCTTAACCTGACTTCGACCTGAATTCATCCAGATGTGGTCCACATCACTTATTGAGTGTGCGTATTGAGTTCTATGAATAAAATGACCCATAGGTAAAACATGTGTCGCACCTGCCCTTTTCCATATTTAATTTTTGTTGACCTGACCTGACCTTGACCTTTGCATGATATTGTATGCAACGAATAATGTCTTGGTAGCCTAAGAAGTCAATAGCCTCTTAGTGTCCAAAGTTTGAATCATATGCTGATATTTTTTTGTGCAAAATCAAAAATACCGGCATGCTACCGGTAAGACATGCCAGATACCACGAAAAAACCTGCGGCAGTGAAAAATTACCGGCGTGCCGGTAGTGCGCTAGGGAAATTTTGCAACTCTACTAAGAACACGTTTTGGGCGATCAGTCTCAGGCCATTCTTCGGCAACTACGGTGCATGGCCGATACTGTAGAAACTTGCATTCTGTACCCTTGACCTGACCTTGACCTGACCTCTGACCTACTTAAGCAAAAAAAAAAAACGCTTTTGAGTTCCGCCTTGTTGAGAGCTTTCGATTGCCGTTTTCCTCGTCTTTCTATGACCATCGGTTCGGAAGTTAGACAAGGGGGCAGAATCTGCCCCCCCCCCCAAGCAGGGCGCGTATGGCTGAATAGCCCAGCGGGGCGCGGGTTAAATAAAGTAGCTACCGTTCCATACGCCTCTAAAAGGTGCATACACCCAA